ATAACCCAAAAAAAAAAAAAACAAAGAACAGGTTCAATTGACTATCTGTCTTTCCCATACTTGCAAACATATTTGTTGAGCTTAATCATGTCCTTGTAGAATGATTGCAGCGTCTCCCTGCTCTTTGTTTCTCTCCATAAGAGTTATCGTCTGGGCGACGTCTCGGACCAGCTATATCCCGCTCTGATATTGCTACCCGGCCCAGGGTGTGTGATACAGCCTTATCTGATTCAGGCTTGAACTGAGGTTTATGGACTTGGGTTGTTTATCAAGTTATTGTTGATATACTGCCGGACGGAAAGTCTTGTGATTTTGTATCCTGTTCGCCAAGTACTTTTGCCTTCAATGCTCTCGCAGGTATAGTTTGAAAATTCCAGATCCGCTTTCGACTCAAGCTTGGATGCATCACTTTTTTTGATGGTTGCAATTATCGCGGAACTTGAATTCGGACTTGTCGGGGGATGACAACTTCCTATCAGGACTAGCCGTAGAGTTGTAAAGCCTGTCGTTCTCCCTCGTATCGCTCGATTCTGGTGAAGGTATACTTGCTTCTGATATTGACAGAATCATAAAAGACGGCTTTAAACGTATCCTGGAAAAAATAGAGATGTTAGCAAGAGTCCTGATAATATTGAGACCTGTTCTATCTCCATAGTCTCCCCGGAAGCATTCTTACCTAACCCATCCTTGCTACACAACAAATACCCCCTCAGGATCTGATGAGTATCTCTACAAGGGGAGTCATATAGGCTGTGAGTCTATACGCGGAGCTCAGTAGCGGTCTTAGAATCCGGCCAGTTCGAAGTCGAGATGGGTTCGGGTATCTGGGAGCGCGGTTCGCACCAAGGTAAACTCGTGAAGAGTGATCCGGGGACCGATAGCGATGTACTTCCCTCTGCAGATTCTTTCTACTAGAAGTCAATGATGCCTCTAACTGACCATGAAACGGAACAACCTGCCTCGAATTGGTCGAATAGCCATAATCTTGACGACTAATTGTAGGAGAGGATAGATATGCTCTCTCCCAGCAAATCAACCGCTTCAGGACTATCGCATCAGGGAGGGGTACGGACCAACAGATGATAGGACTTCTCCATTCGTTGTCTTGTAGAGGACGGAAAGAGGATTATTCGACAGAAAAGGAGTATGTTGACGTGTGCTTTGTTCGGGCCTAGTAGGGATTCGTCAGGGCTACAATCTCTTTTCAGCACAGCGAGTTGAAACTTACTCCGGCCGGAGTTAGAAAATGTATGGATGGTGATTCTCCAGGATCGCCTAATGTGACCGTTGCGCATTTTGTCCCGAGACTTCAGACACAGTATTTTCATACTCCGTTGTTATCGTTGGCTGGGTTGACATAGATTAAATTCAAGTTGGCTTTCACAAGGCTGCAACGATGGGTAGTCAGGTAAAGAACAAACGTTCACCTAACAAACAAGCACAAGCTATACAGCAATCACGGCTCAACTGAATTCAGCTGAGACAAGGGGAATGTAAGTAGACAACATTCAATGATTATTATTGTCTCTCCTGTGACCTTTCTGATTTATCTATCTATGCTCATGCATTTCCTGATATCCTCGAATCTTTTTGATTTCCTGGTTCCTTTCCCCATACCATAATCAAAGTCGTATATCAATGTCTCGCAAAGGCCTTATCAACCTCCTTGGCCATATCAATGCTTTCACCCAGAATTGTCTTCTCCGTATCCGTCAAGGAATAAACCGTCCCGTTATGCATGCAGCTCATGTCCTCCTGGGTACGCCCCTTCTCCCATTTACCACCAGTCATCCAAAAGCTCGGAAGCCGGTACTTGTTGAGGTCCGATCGTTTGTTCTCTAGCAAGCCGCCGTTGTACCACAGTAAGCGGTGTTTGGTGTCAAGGTGCGCAATGACAAAGGAGCACACCATCTTGACGTTCTTGGCAGTAGGAGAGTCGCCCCAACCTATGATGGACCCGTACTGTGCTTCGAATTCGTAGGTTGAGCCGGAAAGCTCAAAGCCCAACCACCAAGACTCTTTATCTCCGTGTCCGTACTTGTAGGTGACATCAGTTCGAACGTCGTGGGTGTTTTGCCAAGCAACATGGAGTAGTCCGACAAAGACTGAGATGCGTGACTTGTCGACAACCACAACGCCAGAGTCACACTCCTCGCTGTAATGGTCCATCCATACCTTTGATTTAGACATCTCGGGTGAAGGCTGCTTGATCTGATCTTTCCACCAGATATGACGTTCGGGATAACGGTCTTTCCAGAGCAAGCGGTCATGAAACAAGTAAGCACCTTTTTCGACAAACGGCTTGTGGTCGAAAAGGATTTCTGGCTTCTGTAGGAAGACGGCATCTGCATCAATGAGAATAGCCTTTTCGAACCGAGATGAAAGTAGTGCAAAAGGCTTAATAGCCCAGCCGGCGCCTTGGAGTTTGAGTGTCTCGTTGTTGAAGACGCTGAGAACATCCAGGAATTCCATGTCTGTCGCGCCTCTCAAGCCTTGAATCATGGAACGGTGTTTAGGCGGCAAGTCTTCATCGCCAGCATAGGCGATCTGGATAGGGAGCTTGGAGTGAAGCACATGCCGGAGTGAAACTATCAAGTGGCAAGCGTATCGAACAGATTGCTCGCCTCCGCCGACAGGGATGATGATGCCCCGAGATCCTGGTTTGTATGATTTTCTCAGATCAGCGAGAGGAGTTACCGACTCAGGGTTTCTGGTAGAGCTTTTGAGGAAAGGGAAGAGACTCTGAGCGATAGTTTCGGCGGCGATGGAGCTGTCAATACCCTGTTCCATGTCGGGAGGTAGTGCATCAGATGCACCAATCCAATATCCAAGATGCTTGACTCGCTCGCCAACCTCCCAGAATTTGTTCTTGTAGGGAGGCTCGATAGGGCTCTTGAGATAGAACTTCTTAGTCTGAGCGACATCCATAAGATCGTGAGACTCAAGAGTGCTGATACTCTTGGAGTCATCAGGCCAGCTCAAGTTGCAGAGGAGCAAGAGAAACACTGCAAAGAAACCGAATACTGCAGCATATCGCTTGGAAATTCGACGCGGGGTTCGAAGCAGATGACCGCCTCGTTCCACAGCCAAATCCATAGCTAATGAATGTTACTAGCGATGATGTTGATGTTTTGGTGTGTTAGACGTAACGCGTCAGGGGTGATGAATGAGTGGGTGTTGATACGATAGAGATTCTGGTGGAGGGGACGAGGTAAGTTAGGTAGCTCCACTCCACTGTCAGATTGTGGTTTGCTGGGAGTTACTAGTGCAAGGGATCCTACAGCCGGAGCTTTAGACTGAACTTATTAGCTGGACATGAGTGACGTTCGGTTGGCTTAGCCTGGCTGCGTTGCTCCTAGTCAGGGCCGGCACTGACCATCCGAGTACCCACTACCCACTACTTTGATCTTATCACTCAACAGACACAATGATCGAACCGAAATCCTTACCCTCCGGCCCGACCGACTATAACAAAGACTTTATGATTTTCATTACCAATGTATGTCAAAAACATATAATATCTGATTATCTATTATCAACTAACACAATAGTAACTCATACAGGAGTGAAGATAAACCAACCATATGAGCATCACAAGGATTTATCACCTATATACGACAGTTGTATTGCCTCCCATCTGCATCAAAGCACCCCTAGTTATCGAATCTTCCTTGCCAAGACCCAGATGAATATTCCTCAAGCGAGCAGAATCATCATTTGGAGTTGACAACCTCACGGACGACGTCTCGGCATTGTGACAATCTCTCTCCACACCTGTAACATCAGATATTTGTGATAGCTCTGATCTTGGTTCACCCCATTCTTTCAACTGGTCACCTATCTATACCAAAGAATTCGTATTGAGGATGTAAGCACATCAGAAAGCAAAGTCCCATGGCGTGGAAACCAAGCAAAGCGCTAACAGTTGTGATAGCACACACTGGGAATTTTGGTTTCGTGATAGATCTTCCTGGGTTGTAGTATCTGACTCGACCTTACTTTTGGGCTTCATAGTTGACGAGAGCAGTGTCCGTCGCGAAGAACATGGCCATTTCCAGAAACCCTTCGCTATGATTCTCGTCCCGCGGTTTAATAAAGTATTCGCCCAAGAGGTCTGCCATAGTCGGCACCCAGCTATCGTCATCGACAGGCAGCTCTGCACGACTTCGATCCGATTGCCACACCGAATCATACCAAACAATGTCGCTTGAACTGTTCATCAATCCGAAGAATGGCAATGCGGACTGTCCGCCCAGACCGCTCACAGTCACATTATACGAGACTTTATCGGATGATATGATTGTGTTGGAGAACGAACCGCTACCGAACCACGCTAAAGCAGCTGCCATCATGGGACACGGGGCTGGCAGGTGAGCGGTATTGAAGGCATCAGTTCCGTAGTTGGGGAAACTTCTACCTCGACCCAGGTCTCCTTCTCCGAAACTAGTTGAGGAATGTAGTCAGGATGGATCCAGGTCGAAAGACTACAACAAGCCATGATAGAATGGAACATACTCTATTGGATAACTACCCCTTATCTGGGAAATACGTGAGATAATTAGTCGTTCTAGTTATTCTTGATTTCGTTTTACGAAGGCCACTCATTTAAAAGAGGCCCAGCCTTGTCTCGGTTGACCATACTTGGCAGTTTGAACCATCCTCGACTTGACTTGCTTTCACATTTTAGAATGTACTTATATCTTTGTCTTTCCAGGCCCGATAAACGCCGCTCATTCGGTGTGCCGCCATTGTACGCCATGCCTAGCCACATTCTCTCCGAGATTCTTGCTTGTGTCGACTCGCATTCCATGGAACGATATTGGAGCTCCCCTCAACGCAGGAGTTCGTGTGATCAAAAGTGCCGTTTTAGTAAGCAGGCATTGCCGAGCATCCTATCACCAGATGTGTCACTAGCAGACCCTAAGTAGCTCAACGCAGGTGTTGAAGTTCAGGTTCTCGCCGGAGAACGAAGTCTTGAAAGACATTTTACCTTTGCAGTGTCGTCGAAAGCTCTGTTCCATTGAACACTTGGCTGGGCAGTCCATTCTTACAGTGCGGTGGCGATAAGCACCTATCGAAGCGCCATTTGCGACGGAGAAGACAAAGTAGCGCCTTACAGGGAATGTGATCCATGGCGAGCGGCGGCGTGTGCGGAGGCCTGGCTGAACATTGGCCAAGCCTATTGTCTGTCGTGGTCTTTGAGGCTCATCGTCAAGATAGTTATTGGTAAAGGTCCTTTCGGGTTGGAGTTCAAAGTAGCCGGTCACATAGTCAAATAGGGGCCCTTTGTTCCAAAGCCGCAGGGCGTTCCACGTTGAAAGTATGGCGGCAATATATCGTTTTTAAGTCAAGGATTAGTCCACCCGGGTCGACGGTCTTGGCTATCGAGTTGATTGTAGCAATTTGCACTCAATAACGTGGTGTCATACACTTGGCAGCCATTACGATTCGATGGGAAGACAGTCTCGACTCTTGAATCCGGTATGTCATCTTGGCACGGGACATGATCCGTCACTTACACTTGAGCCTGGATTCCATTAAGAGAACGTCCATAACTCATGCCCTGGAGTCTTAAGCAGCCACCATACTAAGACCAATGTGATGTGTCGAAGATAGGTGCGCACGTGAATCGAAATCCAAGATAAGCATATATCTTCTCTCATGGCGACCACGGCTTTTCTTTCTGATCATCATCGAAGGCTGAGTAGCATAACGACACCTCGGAGCGGGGATTTGATTTTCTCTGAAGCCCACCTTATTCAAGGAGTTCGAAAGGCCTATTAATGGCTGTGGCAGGGCGCTCTTTAGCGATCAACAGTTACTTGTGAATAGTTCAACAGGTTTCGGTAAGAGAATGATCAGCTGCCTCTTGGGATTCCTTGTGTGGCGCCGTCGTCAAAGAAAATCCTGTTCATTACTATCTGTGTTTCTGCTCAATCATTGCATCTTTCCCTGATTCTGCAGGAAATACGATAGCTCCTCCGCACAAGGCTCTCGTGTATGAGCAGATAAACTCAACCTTTCTTGAGCAGGTGGGTAGTGCAGGTAGGTATAACGGCCGAAGTTTCTGTTGGAAAGTGGTGTCAATACGATGAAGAAGCAACAGGGAAACGCTCCCAAAGGAAAAGGAAGTGGACTGCTACCATTACAATTCAAGTTATGCTTTGTTCATGTTGTAATAGTTCGAGGTATGTCGGTGCAAAAGGCGTTTCTCATAACCAGGTCTGGAAGGTTGGTGGAGGTGAGGTGTCTACGTCTCAGGCAGGAGGACAAAGGACTTCTCATTCACTTAGTAATCACCACTCAAGTGAAACCACCACCCTGATAGGCAGGAGACGGTGGATAGTGATTATTTGCTATCCATGGATTCCATGCCATTCTCTTCTTAGTAACATGGATTTATGCTCACTTTTCTGCTATTTCCACTCAGGGCGTACTTTACAAAGGCCATCGCAAACACAAGCATGCAATCCGTGCCCGAAGTAACAAAGTGGTGATTCCGGCTGTAACTGAATTTTATTACTAGGTAGCTATGGATGAGTGAAATGCATTGTCTGTGACCCTACCTACTGTTAGCTTATACAACCAAGTTTGGTTGTCAACATTCCCAGAGCCTGTCCTTCGGGCAATATGTAAGTTTGCCTTTGGTCTTCGTGGGCTAATATAAACTTTCTCAACGAGCTGGTACTTTCATTTGACCGTCAGTTGTCTTCACAGGGTTGTGTGACAAACTTTGCGTTTGTATGCCCAAGATGGAAGCCCAACTGAGAAATGCTTTCTGCCGTCACATTTCTGTCTGGGTACGTACCGGTCAACCTCGACGCTTTCCCATCAACTGGTTTGTTGCAATGGCAGCCTGACTAACGCCTCTGTGTCATTCCATCTCTTATATGAAGACGTGGTTACAAAGTAACTCCCATTTCATTTTCACCTTTTAAGACATCCATAGAAACACAGCTTATACTGACTGTCATCGGACCAATCAGCATCTGATCTTTGGATCATGTTAGTGGACCAAGCTTAATTAAACGAGTTTCACTGTCGGCTACGGCCATGCTATACCCACTTCGTGTCTAGTTCAGCGCTGATCCACGACATGACACGACACCAACCCAACATTCATCGCCCTCCGCTGGCCAGGGCAACTATACTCCAGCGACGTTTCAATGCGCTGTCAACCGCCGAGATTACGATGCCATCGCTAGGCACAATACTTTGGAGAACCCTTCTATTCTCCACAACTTATATACAAGTCTATGCTCAATCCCACGACCCCAATAATACCGCTTCGATTCCAATCGACTCGACCTTTACTGTCTCGACCTGCGACGCCCGAACCATCAATTACATCACTCACTCTCTTCCCCAATCGTGTCTTACCAGCTCCTGGACAAGCACAACCACAACACCGACCTCTGTCCTTTCATCCTCCAATTTGACAACCGAATCTTCTTCTGCCTCGATCCAAAGCGATACACCATCCCCCAACGTACGGGGCGAGTCTCAGTCTCAGTCTCAACAACCACCTTCCGCCGCTACTCCCGCGCAAGATGAGTCACAAGATGCATCCGGAGATGGAGCTGCTAAACCATTCATGTCCTTCGAGGACTGGAAAGAGATGATGCTGCGGGAAACAGGGCAGGACCCTCGAGATCTTCACGCCAGAAACACGAAACCACGCGACAGGACACCGCCGGACATGGGCCATGCTGGTCTCGGTGAAGAAGACGAGATATCCCTGAACTTTGACAGCTACTTGGATAATGCCGGGGACAAAACAGAACGCCCTTCTGATCTTGATCAGGCCAAAGGCGATGGAACAGGCAAGGCGATCGTCTACGAAGCGATTCACGGGAGTAAAGATGCTGGCAAGACGTGCAAAGAACGCTTTTCTTATTCGTCTTTTGATGCCGGCGCCACCATTCTTAAGGCCAGCCCCGGCGCACAGAACCCAAGGACTATTCTCGTCGAGAACAAAGACTCTTACATGCTACTTCAGTGCTCCGCTAAGAGCAAATTCGTCATCGTCGAATTGAGCGATGATGTCCTTATTGACACTGTAGTCCTCGCCAACTTCGAGTTCTTTTCCAGCATGTTTCGCCACTTTACTGTCAGCGTTAGTGACCGGTACCCAGTCAAGATGGACAAGTGGAAGCAGCTGGGAATGTTTGAGGCACGGAACTCGCGTGATATCCAGCCCTTTCTGGTTAAGAACCCCCAGATCTTTTCCAAATATGTTCGGATTGAGTTCCTCACTCACTGGGGGAATGAGTTTTACTGCCCAGTATCTTTACTTCGCATTCACGGCTCGCGCATGCTTGATTCATGGAAGGAATTGAAGGATGATGATTCGAACCCTGACGATGAGGCCGACGAAGCTCCACAGGCTCTCCCTTCAGAAGAAGCATCAAAGCCACCAGAACCTGAGGTAGCCCCCGAACCTGTCAAGTCCACCTTGATTGAGAAGATGCCATTTTGTGAAGTCGATACTACTTCGCAGCTCTTCATGGTTCCGTCAGTCTGCCCTGTCTCACTCAATCAGACAACTTACACGACATCGAACAATAGCAGTTCTGTGGAAGTAACAAGTGCTGCTCCAACACCGAGTTCCTTGGAAGACAGAGAGCAGAAAGGACCCTCTACACAACATACCCCGAGATCAGAACACCCAGTGAGCGATGAGCCCACATCCTCAGTTTCATCCAAGACCGCTTCCCCAAGCGCTACGCCAGCCATCTCGCCCACAAGCCCCTCCTCTATATCATCTTCCAACGCCGAATCGGTTTCAAACGTGACTTCTCAAGCATCGAGTTCCAGAGCAATTCCAACAGCCTCATCTTCCACAACCCCGCCCAGCATAAAGCCCTCCCCTGCCAATACTGTTAATGCCAAGAAAGGCACGACGGGAACGGTCTCCGGTGCGCCAGCCTCGCCGACGGTACAAGAAGGCTTCTTCAAGGCCATATCGAAACGCCTCATCGCCGTTGAAACCAATCTCACCCTCTCGCTGAAGTACGTCGAAGACCAAGCTCGCCATATGTCCGAGACTTTGCAACGTACAGAGCAGAAGCAAATCTCCAAAGCAAACCTTTTCTTTGAAGAGCTCAACCGCACCGTGCTGACGGAGCTACGCTCTGCCCGTGAGCAGTACGACCAGATCTGGCAGTCAACAGTGATTGCTCTTGAGAGTCAACGTGAGCAGTCCAATCGAGAGATAGTAGCTCTCAGCAGTCGTCTCAACCTTCTCGCCGACGAGGTCGTCTTCCAAAAGCGCATGGCTATCGTACAAGCAGTGCTTCTCCTGTCGTGCTTGCTTCTCGTCATCTTCTCCAGGGGTGTCTCGCTACCGTACCTCGCGCCCCTTGTGGATCAAGGTAATCTTGCTCCCTACGATCTTGGATCCTCGACATCTCGCCTTCGGGCCTTGTATGGGGATGCGTACAGTGCAGATGAACAAAACGCATCGCTACTAGCTACCCGGCAGAGAGCATTTGTTCCCGTAACCACAGCAGCAGAAGAACATACTTCAGCCGGTCTTCGGCATCGTGTTTCGTTAGTTGACGAAATGCGTAATGACCAAGCAGAACGTGAGCAATTGTCGCCTCCGCAAACACCAAGGTCCGGTGACGGCTTTTCGTCCTCGTCTGATCTTCCACCATCTTCGCGAGAAACACATTCCGGCATGTTACGGCATGCTCCTGCGATTCATTCAGGCAATTCACGTAAACCCTTGCCAGCTTTGCCCGAGAACCCTGCATCGCCGTGATTGTCTAGCTAGAGCTATAGAAGACCAGTATTGCTAAAATATCATTGAAGCAACGAAAATAATGATTCACGTTTCTCCATTGACTGACTACACGGGTTCATTGCGGATATGTTTATATGTCACAAGCGAAGTGTCCAGCGTTCTTTGATGAGTCTAGCTCATGATTGCAAGTATCTACCTGAGTTATATCTGGTACAACTGGGACTATTGATGGTCCAACCCGAGATACTGCAAATTCAAGACCTTATCCTTCGCAAAAGGTCGTCCGAAAATTGACACGTGCATATAGCGCCAAGGTGCCTCAACATGCCAACTAGTAAACCTCAAGATGACTCAGAAAAAGATCAAGATGATGGTCCAGGTCCAACGCTAGCCTTCAGTAGCGGTAATCGCGACCAAAATTCTTGAAGGTTGCCTCCTCCAACTCAGCCAGTCGAGTGCCACGGTCATACTGACTGTGGCGGTGACGTTGCGCCTCCCGAAAGTGCTGTCCAGCAGTTGGGGTGAACAGCCCTGCAATGAGGTTAGTGTTCAATGTTTCTGTGTAGACAACATGAGATACATACCAACATGCTCCGCATTCTCGACTGAGCGCTTCATTTTGGACTGGTTATCAGGACCAGGAAAGGGCTCTTCCTGGCCGACCATAGTCAGATCCTCACAGTGGACGGTATAGAAGAGCTGCGATTGTCAGTCAACGATGGATTGCATAAAGGGACTGTAAAGTGCTGACCTTAGGACGGTAGTGCGCAGCCTCCAGCATGACAGAGGAGTTGCGGAACTTCTGCACGAGGCAGTCCTTTCCCTGGATGGCTTCTACATGTCAGTGGCCGTGGTCAAATGGAGGGTGAAGCATAACTCACTGGCATAGCTGACCTCGGCGACCTTGTCCGACTTGAAGCAGTTCCTGTTCATGTCAGTCAGCAAAAAGCCAGATCACTGGTTGTGGTTATCCTACCAGCGCTTGTTGGCACGAGCCTGGACAAACTATTGAAGGGTTAGAATTTTGAGATAGACTTGGAAGACTAAAGACTTACGTCGATGATGTACTCCGCCTTGACGAAGTTGATGAAGGCATAGCCGACGCTATATGGTGATTAGTCGAGCCCTCACAGATCACTGGTAAAATACTTACTTGCAGTCGTTGGCAAAGTCAATTCGCAGGTACATGAAGTCATACTTCCCAAAGGAAGAAGAATCCACGATGCGCTTGAGAAGAGGCTGGTCGACCTTGTTGGGAATGTTGCGCAGCATGATCTGTCAGTATCACTGTTAGACTTGAAATGAAGAGTAGATTGTGATTCACTTACAGTAGTGCGCACGTCTCGTCCAGCCATGAGCTCGTAGAGATCAACAACGTTGTTGGGGACTCGAGGGTTCATTGGACGGCCAACGCGTGGGGTGCGTCGACTGGTAGAAGTGCCAAAGTAGCCACCAGTAGAAGTGCCAAAGTGGCCACCAGTAGGAGGTCCCATGGCAAAGCTGGAGAATCGAGAATGATTCATTGTCATTGCAGGGGTAGGGTTTCCGTAGAAATTTCCGTACACAGGTCCAGCGGGAAAGGGACCAGAAGAGAACTGGTAGGCGACAGGGGCCCATGGGTTACCTTCAGGGGCACGAGGAGCGAGACTTGGCATGACACCGCTAGTACCAGAGCCAGACAGGGCAAGGCCGTTCATGTTGGTAGTGAGGCCATCTGCTCCCTGGTAGGTGTCCTCGGGGCGACTGAAGTAAATCATGACTCCCTTTCGAAAGTGTTAGATACCACACTATTCTTGAGAGTGTGAAAGGATGATACTTACATCAAGGGGAATCCAGCGTACATTCTGGAAAGCAATGGTAGCCTTCGCAGATTTGCAGTACTCTGCGACACCACGGAACCCTCCGGTAGGATAGCTGACGGTTCTGACCACGGCGAAAAGGGAGCCGAATGTGGTCAAGGCTCGCTGGACAATCTCATCAACGTGCGATGGGTCCATGATGGCGAAGTCGAGGACGTCAGCTGTGATGTCAAGCTGCCTAAGCTCACAAAATCGGACGATACCCTTCGTAAGCTTTTGAGAAAGGTTAGATGAGATGTGGGATACTCAGCAAAGCAGTAAATAATACTTACCCGTTCAGGCTTGACTTTCACGTAAACTGGCAGCCAGTGGTTGTCTGCCTTGCGGACGGCGTCAAACGCAGAGATCGAGTCCCGGATATCCTCGAAGCAGACGTAGACATGAAAGCCATTAGTCTCAACATGGCTACTGCCATAGCTCTTGCGGCCACCCTCTGAGAGTTGCTGATCTCATATTAGGATAATACTCTCACTGTTGTACAAACAACAATACTTACCTTGAAGAACGTGTGCACTTCTTCGGGCGTAGGGGCCGGAGTATCGCAGATCTCCAGGCGATGAGAGACGCCCATTTCGTTGGAAAGGACGTTGGCACGAACAAGGCTTCCTTCAGGGAAGAGTACAGCGGTCTTCTTGCCCTTGGAGCGAGTGGAAGCCGGCTGGAAGGCCGAGGCGGTAGGAGACAAACCATCAGCACGAGTTGCATCGACGAAGGGGTCCCTGTCGAAGTGTGAGACGGTACGGTCCCCAGTGATGCTCCCATGAGGGGCGTATGCGTTGTAAGACGCAAATCCCACGCCGCTGTATGCGCCACCTCCATAACCACCCCCGTGGTGGTATGAGATCGAGCCCTCTCCTGGGGAGAGCATGGTGAGTCGTGTGTCCGGAGTCCCCTGGAAGGAGTCCACCAACGCGCCCTCTGGAGGAGAGGACATGTTGTGATGCCCGGTCTCACGACGCGAAGTCATGTTTACCAGGTGCGAGTAGATGAGGAGGTATGGTCAACAAAAGAGATGAGTGTCTTGTGAAGGAGATGAATCTGGGATGTAAAGAGAATAAATAACAAGATCAAAGAAGCCAAGATCTTCTTCGCACCCAAGTGGTGAGCCTTGAATGCTGAAAGATGAAGTCAAGATGGATGTTGGGTGAGGAGGAAAGGAAAGGAAGGCAAGGCAGAGAGGGAAGGAAGTTGGGAAATACTTGGGGGCAGGGAGGGGACTCGAGGATGTGGGGGTTTCGGTAGATCCAAGCCCTACCACGCGGAGGGGGACTTGATATGGGAGGAGCGAGCTGCCTGCCTGCCTGCCAGATGGGACGAGCCGCTGACCTAAAGAGGACAAGGTACTGGGACGTATTAGAGGAAGCCAGTGAGCTACAGGGACATGGGGCAGGAAGTACAGGTAGATGCAGAACAGAACCAAGACATATATCCCCTATCATAATCGTCTTAGTCTCTACTAAGATTCATATAGTTGCGGCGTTGTTCGTCGTTCTCAACGAGCTTCGTGTCTCGACGTCTTGCTACCCAGACAACCACTCTTCATGCCTCATGGTCTTCCAGACTAACTCTTGCATATTTAATTTCGATCAGGAGTGTTCGAATTATTATTTGTGCGCCTGTTTTCGGGTGAATTCGTCAGCTGAGGGGATCTCATCGTCGTGACTCCTAACAGCCGCTAATGAAGTGATAGATGTTTGATTTCCCACCCACCCCCGGTCTCTTCCACGAGCTTCCACCCTTTCCAATGCCTTCTCCATGATCTCATCTTATCACTGCCAAGTGTATTGTTGTAGTGTTGAAGCATCTCAAGATCTAGTGAAGTGTATACAGGTAGGCACGCACCCATGTAACTAGAGGACATTTCTCACACCATGCTTGCACACTTAAATTTATATGTTGCCATTTATTCTTCCATGCATCAAGTACTTTACTTACTACATAGATGTTAAAATCATTATGTTCTGGCTCTTTGGTAGTTGGGCGTCCGACGGGGTACGAGGGGATTCACAAGGCTCAACCCCTAGAATTAGTTGCCGTCCACGTCGACCCACTACGAATAGGTACCTCATCCGTCAAACCCAGTATGATCCTATCTGCTATTTGCGAATGAATACTGCAAGCGTGTATTTGTTGTTTTTAGAGTCACTATGCCGTTTGTTCCAAGTTGAAATGTTTGTTTTATCTCAAGTTTGAGGTCATCACTATGTATTGTAGCGTGTCTTGGTCCATTGTAAATTTAGCTGATTTGGCCGTTGGAACGGACTTAAACGTGGTCACCATGTGGCTTTATACTTTGGTGTTTAGGTATCTTTATGACTTGCTGTACAATCGACCTATGTCCCACCATCCACGTTTTCAACATCCAGTTTCCAGAAGGAGCGACAGGCATCCTAGGATAGATACGCATAGTAGGTAAGTTTCTGATGACCTTTCACAAGTTCTTTGTCTTGAACCGATGCTGATATTAGCTGGGCAACTGCAGGCGATCTAACCACCCTTTTGACGCGTAGATTCACGATGGAAAACACGAATCTTCCAAAGCAACAACGACTATGGAATCAGCTTCAGCAGATCCAGTCTACTCCTTCAGATCAGATTGTTTATCCGTTGCCAACCTTGGAAGCTGTCCCTCCAGACTATACGGCAGACTGGGTTGACGGCGGCGCGGCAAGGGGTACTTCGCTACCGGTCAGGATGACCATGAAGCAATGGATCAGGAACATACTTGATAGTACACAACCCTCTTCTTACTCAGAGAACCTAGAGTTGGAGACCAGATCCCGAATTTGTCTAAATGTTGAGTACAGCCTCCCTGCTAACTAGCCTGAGCTCAAACTTGGCGACAAGTACTGGGCAAAGCATATACATGGTCTGAAGCTAACTATCTTCCTTCTAGGATAGTCTAGAGACTACTATACGAGACTCTTATCGACGAGCTGATAGCTCTTGCTTTTCTGCCCCTTTTCCCACAAGATCGAGTCCACGGCCCTAAACTTCCAGACGACACAACTAGCACCGCCGCGGGACTTCACAGCCCCAATCCCTAGAAATATTCGACAAAAGTACTATTGCCATGATCTACGGCTTCTGGAGTACTTCTCATGCTCGCTCACATTGACGGTTTTCTGAAGTTGTGGTCGAGTTGGGTGCCGAGGCTGGTCAAAGGGCAAGAACGATTTCGGAGACTGAGACTTATCCAAAAGTCTTACACAGCGGTCTCCAACAGCATTCCCAATTATAGCTCTCCATCCTTATCGAGTCACCTATCTAGCTGACAATACCTATAGTAGATCGCATCCTGCCATCCCAGAGAAGCCAGTGGGCTCATAAGCCTTGCCACAAGTCCTGGAGTCAGGGAGCTGGCTGTCTTGCTTCAATGCCTTCATCTTCGAGCGTATCTGGTATAGCTACAATCTTTAGTCATCCAGAAGTACTTACAAGAAGTTTGGACTGTGCTGGTTCTTTGATGGCAAGTCTGGGGCACATCCTGCTTCCTTGGGCCAGGCGCCGCCTTTCACTCTAGCTATCTCAAAACAGAAGCTATCGTTCTCAAACTCTGTATAGTACATCTTCTTCATGAATAGTTTATTCCTCTTGATTCTCGAGTTGTGCTGACACTCTTGGATGATTATAGACCCTTACTTCCTGCCCAGCTATAAGCCCCTTTCTGCGGACAACACCAAATGTACCCTCGAAAAACGATGAACTACTTCTTCAACCTCCACGGGATATTGAGATATTCCACTTCATAGATTCTTGGATAGAGCACCCGTGTGGCGTTCAAGCGCTCAATTGAGGAATAGGTAACTTTGGTGGCCAAGACCTAGAAATCGCTACCAAGTGTACTTGTACTGTACGGGTACCCAGATACTCGGTATATACTATTATTACATGGACGAGAGTATTGTTATTCAATATCTACTGTCAGTTGCATACAAGTTATCAATCGTTCGGAGAAGGGGTAAAGGAAGGGGTAAAGGGGTAAAATACGAATGCTACGCAACTTATTTTATACCATCCTAGCACAGAGCGGCATCCTTCTACGTGCGGCAGACTTCAAGCGATTGTGGTATTTTGGTCTCCCAAGTAATATACTCCACTCTTATAGAAAGCTAAAACCGACGTTATTTGACCTGGTAAGCTCCTACTCCGTTGCCCAACCATCAACTCCTACACGAACGATTACATTCAAGGATCCCCATTAACGTCACTCCCATCCAGCATTCCCACTCTTATATTAATTATTTACTTGGATGTGTCGTGGATGTTGGACGATTTGGCGGAGTAGCTCGAATTGCATGGTCTCCTGGGCACAACTTGTGTTAGCATCTGGTCGAGTTACTATAATAAAACTTACCACTTACCTATCACTGTATGCTTCTTTCCCATTAAGTCATGGAGTCTATTCTGATCTTCTCTTGTAGTCCCGAGCATTGATACAAGTCCTGTGATGTCTGGTGGGAGACTTGACAAGAGCAGTCAGGGGTTGGAGACACTTGAGGGGATGTCTCTTCGCACCTTTTCGAAAGGACCTCACGATACCTTCATCCAATTATAGATAAATTATCTCGTGAAACTATATCAACTAGATCCATTGAGAAACTTGTGATCTGCTTTGAGAGGTGGCGCGACGCTTGACCTTGGCGGATAGGGTACCCTCTCTCCAGGGATAACAAGCTCCTTTTGGTCGCAATGAGATTCGGTAGAGACTGATGGGGCTTGTTGGGGACATGTTCTCATGGTGTCCATGGATAGTTGTTCGAGGTTCGTGAGTAAATCTCTGGAAAGTCAGGGGTCAACTTAGATGTCCCCTAGAAGACACATGGGGCACCACCTCGAGATACCAATACTTTCCCCAATCCCCTCAAAGACCATCTACATCTTCCCAACGGTGCATAAGAGCCTCCACTCCCTTTTGAGCTACTTCGGTGCCGAATTGGGTCATTGGCACTCGTGTGTCTGCTGGGTGACGGTCGACCTCTTTGGGGCCGCCATTTGCTGTAGTCTGTTCATTTCGTCATTCTCTAGCAAAACCACTTTTGTTTTTTATTTATATTCTCTTTTAGTAACTTTGAAGGCTTGGATTGGCTTCTTGAGATATAACACGGTGCTGTGATCGGTTGCCTTGTTGGCAGAGGTGGTCCGTTTGTCAAAGTTCAAACCCCAATCGGCCATTGAATCGATTCGCCGGGCTCAAAGTCTTGAAAATGGATGCCGGTTGCTCTCGGGGTCTTTCAACAACGATATGTACTACAGAGTGGAGTTAGATGACAGGAAAGTTTGTATCGGGGGTCACGGCTAAGGAACTTACACTTGGTTCCATGTCTAGATAGGCACATCGCCATGCGGCATCCATGTCTTTCAAGAGTAAGAACTGGATATCCTGAGGATCTCGGATCCTTTTCCAACACCTCCCTCTTCCTCTGTTCCATCTGAGGTACATACGATACTGGTAGGAAGTACGGTGCGCAGCGAGCGCTTCGTTTCCTGACCGCCCGCAAACTCTAGTGCACCCGACTCGCAGTCAGTTGCTCTTTTTCCCCTGCTATCATACAGACAGGCTCCCAGCTACTTACTCCATTTGCTTGCGATTCAAAAGCTCTTTGTTGGGTTTGGTGCTCCCGGTTGGGTGTTCTGGTCTTGTACTTCGGATTATGACCGTGGGCTGAAGGACAACGCAGACCTCTAGAATTTCCTATCTTGAGCACGTAGGGGTGGATTTGGTTTCGAGTCGATCTAAGAATTCCGCAACTCCTAGAGACTAGAGGTGTCGTAGGCTGGGAACAAGAGCCTCGGAGTAATGGTAGCTGGCGATAGTAATGCCGTCAAAGGCAACAATACTTACTTACCCAGGTCTAGTCAGCCTAAAGTGAGTTCTTCAAGATCTTCGGTCTTTGTAGTGCAACGTAATAAGCCGCTGTATGTTCAGATAAGTAGAGTCGTCAGTCCAGAGTTCAAGAGCTTTTCAATGTTGAGTTTTGTCTAACAGTTCATGCCATGACGGCCTTTGGTTAGCAAATTACATACTCCAAAATCTTTCTAAGGCACATCGGATTGCCTTGGTGGGGCACCACAAGGAGTTAACACACAACACCTTGTAACAAGCAACTGGGGCCTATTTCCTGCAGGCTCCCATGTGCTGTCCAACCCAAACAGCCTATCGTTTTCTCTGGTGACTATATACGGCAATGCATTTGGTCTTTGGAAACTTGACTTTCAAGCCATTACCTCTGTATCCTCTTACACTCCTACCACACCCAATGTCTTGCTTTACTTCGGTAAACCCCTTCCCAAGCACCTGCTTGTAAATCCACGGTGCATGGAATCTCGCGGGCCTCCCGAGTAATGCTTGTGTTATTTTGCGACAGCAACATTCTTTGGAGGTGTCTCCTTTGTTTCCCTCTCGGCTGATTTTGATACATTTGGCTGACAGCTTACATCCGGAAGCTTCTCTTCTCCGATCCATATTCATCGATCTTCCAACGCCAGTGATATCTCGGTACAAGACGAGGCAGCCATGTGCCAACCGCAAACGCTACAGTTACATTCGACAGGGAAAGGGGTCCCATAGACTCCTCGGAAGATTTACTGGTGCCTGATTCTACTTTGAGCCAGTCACTTCCTCTCCTTGGTCTCAGATGAGTCCATCAATAAGCCACAGCCGAATATCTCAGTTGGGTGTGCAGTTACCCTGTGCACGCCTTATTCGAACCCATAGTTTGTCTAGCTCTCGATGTCGGTTTACCTCTCCATAGTAACTGGTACTTTCATTACCCCAGTTACACTCATCCGGCTCTATGCCATGAGTTAGTTGAATTCGACATATACACGATGCCTATGGCTGGTTGCCCATACAGAGAAATACACACATCAGCTATGTGCCATACAAGAACCGAGTATCTCTTCCAGATTCCGCCACCGTTCCTTCTAGCAACACCGGTAGATTCTAGTGATACACGTCCGACTATCTTAATAGATACGGCGGTAGATTGGAACACATTTCGCAGTCCCCGTCTAAATGAGATCCATTGTTCCAGCATAAGCAATGACAACCGCGTAACTGGTACAAATAGGTTCGTCCAGATCTCAATTAAGATGTAGTCACTTATCTCTAGCTTACCTATCAATAGCATCTCTGGGATGTACATTCAACATCGGCCTCCCTGCCTTCGGTCCTTGTCAAACGCGCCCCTTCGTTGCTGATATATACCTAACCCGATCTAGAAATCGACTCCTCTTAAACTGCGTCCTTTTCCATAAGTCCCTACTTTTTTTACAGCTTCTGCTATACAAATATCCTTCAACTATCAATGTCATACCCGATGGATGTATAGGAACTATGGGTATTCCAGCGGTATGCAACTCAATTAGAACCCATGCTTCTGAGTCGTGAAAGTCTGACTCTGGTACCCAAAGGGGCACCGAAACCATCACATGGGCTCAAGCACAAACCGGAGACCTGTCTTCGACACTGGTTCAATGGGTCATGCCGAGAAACCGGAAATTGTAAAGGCCGTGCTGACTCCCTTCGGGTCCATACAAGAGCGGGTTGGTAGGTCTAGTCTTGTTCAAGGATATCAGATTAAATATGAAAGCTCGAGTTAGGATACAAGAAGTACGGGCCGTCCTCGACGGCAGGACACCCAATGCTACCTGATCCTTAGGGTACACCGGGAGTCACAGGTCTTCCCTTGAGAACATCAGCCGCTTGTGTGGCTCTAAACATGTATCACTGTCCCAGACGGATCTCTCCTTCGAAACGGCATTGTGTTCATCTCGACCCTACCGAGAATCAAGAAGCACAAGGCCCGTTTTTGGAATCGACCACTCCAAGAATGGGATAAGATACCATCTGTGTCGTCTCTGGCAGCACTAGGAGAGAAAAGCTCATCTATCATGGCCTTACAAGGCTATCTTACTAGAAGAATCGCCGCGAAAAGGTTGGTCAGTTTTAATAACTCCTACATCGAACTACTTCCTAACCTTTATCACTATACAGGTACATGTCACAACTACTGCCAATCTTCATGCTATTACGAACAGTAAACAAGATCTCTGGCTCAGCTTCGTCGTCTTGTAATCGCTTACCGTGGCTTCCTTCTCGTCACACAATCTCGGCTGGCTTGGTGTGGTAGGTAGATGGACAGGCGGTCTTGGTCCTCTTGGATGTGGCTTGGAACAGAACAACTTTGATCTCCAGTGAGCTACAGACAATCAGGTTCAATTTGACGATTTCGATATAAGCCCCAGTCCCTATGGTCTGACTCTCACAGCAGGACTGTGGTAATAATCAGGTCGAACGCGGACACTCTCCACTTGCAACAAGTCAGGTGTCGCCGAACCTTAGCACCACAACGAACCCTTCTCGTGGGGTGTGGTGCTTTTTCCACCTGAATACACGTTTAAGAGTCCGGTACAAGTTCTCAGCCTGTCATACAGCCTTCTGGTTCTGCTAAGAACCACCAAAATCAATCAAGTGTTGTCCCTGAGACATAGGATTCACTGATCGGTATCTTATCACAGTTCTCAGAACCCGATCCGATATAATTTCCAGGGCCGACTATATACCTTTACATCTTCCCACCGGCAATACCTGTTCTGTTTCTCTATCACTCGGAGTCCAAAGCGCCTTCGATATTCTGATAGCCATACGATATCTCCACTCGGTCAGCCCAGCCGATACTAGTATTTCTGTTCTCATCCATAGATATCTATCTCCTGCCGTATGTCCTTCTAGTCACTCTCTTCCTGTTGTCCAGCAGAGTCCAGCTGGTGGAGGGTTGAAGTCCGACGACATATGAAATTCAGTCAATTTACACGCTCAGGATCATGACGATCGAGGATTCTCTCAGCAAGGCTATTACCCCTGAAGCACCATAGCTCTGATAGTCAGCTTACACGAGTTAATTTAACATGGAGCTACTTGGTCAAGAAAGGGTTTTAGTCTGTAACAATTGCAAGTGATTATATCCATGCTGTTGTCAAAAGGAGGTAAGGATAGGGGTTCTGTTCTCACACAGTTTGCAATGAGACACTTATACTACCATTGCATGTCCTCAAGCTATTCTAACAGTATTCTGCCCACATTTTCATCTTCTTTGTTCGCGGAGGTTTTATGTTATTGTGACGCAGTTTTCTCTTCATCAGTCTACGTAGGGAGCCGGCAAGAAGAGCTTTTGCTCGCTACATACCTAGAACTAGATGAAATACAGTTGAATTAGATACCACTTTTGATTATTGAACTCATTTGAAAGCATTGTACAGAAAGGACAATGGCCCACTCAGGGTAAGTCGCAGCAACGCCTGATTTACCATTGTCGACTACCCCAAACGGGTAGGAACCCTTGACACACACTCGTGGCAAGATAAAACTGAACAATCAGTTTCCTCCTGATACAAGTGACTTTCCCTGATTCCTGGCGTCCTCTGAATGTTCATAAAGTTATTTGTGACGTGGATATCGAGACGTTTATACACAAGTATGCTTACCCTAAAGCCCTCCGAGATAACATAGTAAGTACACCAGAATCAACCAAGAATGCACAAATACGCTTTGAAAATATCCCAGATACACTTCGTGCGTCTAAGAAGATTCTACAGGATTGTAATAAAATCAATATCCCTAGATTCCATGGTTACTGATGAACTTGTCGAGGCATGTCGTTGGGATCGGAAAACAGCTTACATAATGTCTTTAGAACGTGGTGCTCCACGAGCCCCATATAGATACTGTGGCGCAGTATATGGTCTTATCTTATCAGTTGGGCTAGGAATGCAGGTCCTTGGAGCCTGTTGTTAGTTGGAGGGGAGCCTGGGAGAGCTACGTTAGCTGGAGGGCAGCTTGCGACACGCGACGACTCATGTCAGTCAACTCTTTATCACAAATAGCTTCAATAAATCCAAAATAGCAGGAATGCCGCGACGTCCGCCAGCTGTAGACGATTATGCGTCTGCGGTACCCCATGTAATGCTCCCATCATCTCCAAATCGCTACAAAACAATGCGCTAACATCACGATCCCAGGTCATCCTCGCCTCCTCCGATGCTGAGTTCCTTGACCAGTTGATCCCCGTTCTGAAAGATGCCACGCACTCGAACCGAACACCCCTCTTGACCCAGTGTCTAGGTCGATACTACGAAGATAGAGAAGCTGAGATCGAGCGCATTGGTCTGACCCGCCACGAGGAGTTTCTTGATTCCATCAACCATTTACAAAACGTCCGCGCCGAAACGGTTACTTTGACGCAAGAAATCTTGAGTCTAAACGAATCGATCGCTACTAGCACTAAGAAGTTGGCTGCGCAAAAGGAGGCTCTGGTCAACACCTCAGCTGTGCGACAGAACATCGCCGATGCTACCAGTGCTCTGAACGACTCTCTCACTATCCTTCGCGCCGTCAACAATGCGCACGATCTTGTGCGTCGCAAGAAATATTATGCCGCTCTTAAATCTCTCGACGATCTTCAGAATGAACATCTTGTTCCCATTATCCAGAACCGCTATTCCACGCAGCATCGGCTGGCCGATGTCATACAAAAATCTATACCCGCGTCCCAGAAGGCTATCTCGGAAGCCGTCATGACAGATTTAAATACGTGGCTGTTCCGTATTCGAGAAACATCCCAATTCCTCGGCGAGGTCGCATTCTATCATACTGAAATGAGGAGAACGCGACAAAAGAAGAGAGTCGAAGACGACCCATTTTTGGCCAATTTCAAGCTGAACTCAGCCATTGAGCTGGTCAGTGATGAAAATGAGGATTTCGACGTATTGAACAACGAGGAATTACAAGTGGACTTTTCTCCATTACTAGAAGCACTCCATATCCATGAAGCCTTGGGCCAGCTTGATAAGTTCCGATCGGAATATGGTGCCACACGACGTCAACAAAAGGATCTCCTCCTCCCCCAATCCATCGAGCTTTTGGCCGACGACGAGCAGTCTTTGAGTAGTCTTCTAGAAGGAATAGCAGGATTTGCCATTATTGAAAAGGCGACGATGCAGCGCATTCCACATCTGCGCTCAGCAAATGATGTAAGAACCAGAACCCCTTGGACCCGCTACTTCCACTAACAAGACTCTAAACAGGTAGAAGAGCTATGGGATTCTATGTGTACAGCTGTGATAAACCTCACTTCGAAAGGGTTGAGTAATGTTGAGGATGCCGAGGCCTTGATCAAAATTAAGACGATCATCGCTCTCTTCATCCAGACAATGGAGGTAAGAAATGCGCTATCCACTGATCCCTGGGCGCTCTCTATCATGGACATCGCTAAGACTTATTCAGGGCTGGGGATATGCAGTGGCAGCGTTGGATAACTTCCTTCTCAAGCTGTTTGACAAGTATGCAGAGCTTCTGAAGAAACGATTTAGCGAAGACTTCCAAGAGGTGAGTGTCTTCCCGTTCTCCACAAAATTGTATTGTTGCTCACATGTTCATAGATAGTATCGACGGATGACTACATGCCGATGGCCATCAATAATCCTGAGGAGTACGAAAAGGTGGTCAACGTCAGTTGGTTCTCACAAGAAAAGCCAACGGAACAGATCACGTAAGTATTCTCCATTCTGCATATAAGATGGCCAACTAACAGAGCAGGTACCCTTGTGTACTCCCATTCTCTCAGATGTATCCTCTGTGTTGCATAGACATCCGCAACTTCTTAAACCAGTTCTACTTCTTCTCCGACGACCATTTCCAACACCCTACAGTTATTGACGAAACACTCAGAAAGGTCAGTTACATCTTTTGGCAAATGGCTGTTTACTTACACACAATGTTCTTAGTCTCTGGACGAACTTCTTACAGAAAAGGTCTGCAAGTCGCTCGTAGAGCGTCTAAGCTCCCAGTATCTGGGCCAGATCGTCCAAATTCTCATCAACCTCGAGCATTTCGAAATCGCTTGTCGAGAGCTCGAGCAACTACTTATTCGGGCGCGTTCATCGACCTCAGCGGGCGGTCCCGTCACACTCAAGGCTACAGACTCGTTCCGTGACAACAAGAAGACAGCTGAAAAGCGAATCTTCGAACTCGTCAACTCAAAGATTGACGACTTAATCGACACAGCAGAATACGAATGGTATGTCATGTTGATAAGCCTATTTAACCATACTAATTTTATCTACAGGACTGCAACAACGGTTGAGAAAGAGCCTAGCAATTATATGCAGACTCTAACACGGTACCTGTCCAACATCATGAACTCGACTTTGCTTGGTCTACCTCGTGAGATCAAGGAGCTTATTTACTTTGATGCACTGAGTCACACCGCGGAGAAGATTATGGTAAGCGATCTCTGTTCTTCTCTTTTTGCCCTCCACTAACTATACCAGGCCCTCCCTCTTTCGAACGATGTCAAGCACATCAACCCTAATGGCGTGGCAGCACTTGCGCAAGACGTTGACTACCTTGTACAATTTGTCAGCAGTCTAGAGAACGGCCAGATGCTTCGAGAGAACCTCGATGAGCTGTCGCAGACCATTGCCCTTCTACAGACGGACAATCAGGACGAGTTCTTCGACATATCTACACGCAACAAGAAATACGGACGTGTAGACGCCCTCCACGGACCAATGTTGCTGGAAAAGTATGTTCAACTCAGATATTACAAAGGCTAGTCCAGACTACTGACAAAAGGCAGATTAACACCCGTTACGGCGAGCCCCGTTAGAAGCGCACCGCTCGCTGGTTTCTCATCACGATTTGGCATCGGCCGATAATGATAGCGTCACGTACTTATGATGACACCATGATAGAAGTAGGGTATAAGGAAATACAAGTAAGACAAAAACGAGAGCAGGCCCCCTGATAAGAAACAGGAGACAATTCTCAACTAAGTCTATCGTAACGAGCCCATAAAAAAACGACCCTTGCCTTCGTGTGTTGTCCGGCATCGGGCCTCAAAAGCCATCATAGAAAAAACACCATTTGACTCCATAACCTTTGACACCCGTGAACCTCAGCCAAGTTTTGGTCCTGCTAAGCATACATCAATCAATAACCATGTTTCTCTCTAGACCGTCGTAATCGAACGGTATAAGAAGTCGACCTCCTGGTCTCACTCGCTGTTGCAAGAGGCCATTGATCGAAAAGCTTCGAAAGTGGTTTTACTGCTCGCCGAACTCCTCATTGGGCATGGGAGCCTGTGATTCAATTAGTATGTTTAAAAGCAGCAGCACCAGACGCCAATACTTACTTGTTGAGGCGCCATGCCGGGATAAGGGTACATATCCCCAATAGGACCGTATGGATTCATGTTCGGTGGTTGGGTCTGACCATAAGCAGCTTGAGGGTTGGGGACTGTTTGGTCGGGGTACATGTTGGGTTGGTTGCGGTAGTCTTGCTCGGGCGCAATACCATGTCCCGCCATGTATTCCGCGCCCATGGGATGAGCTGGGTTAGGCGCCTGTGCCATGGGATGCTGCCCAGGCATCTGGGCCTGACCAGCCGGCACTGGTTGAGCAGCAGCAGTCTGGGTTGTCCTTTTCGCGTGGGAAGAGGCCTCCTCACGAGGAACAATGTCGATCAGGAAGTCAAACATATCAGACTTTGCCAGGGCAGAAGCAATATCTGAGCGCTGGAGGGTTCTGCGCTTGTTTTCTTCCGCGTGAATCCATGCGCGCATCGTCAACTCGGTAATGAAGATATCGCAACCTTTAGCAAAGAGAATAGGCGCTTCGGCCGAGATCATCTTGACTTCAGGGTCGGCCTTCATAACCTTCTTGATACGGGCCAATGGGAGCTGGTGGATCTTGTAGTCGTGAGTGTCATTCTCGAGATGTGAAATGGTATGTTGCCAGTAGGTTGTCAGGATATCTTTGTACTGGCCGGTTAAACCTTGGTGGGCCTACGTTAAGGTACCATTAGCTCTCTGTGCATATGGAATCATGATGGGCCATGATGGGTTGAGCTTCGACTTACATTGGCCCAAGGCCCGGTGTACAGCTCACTGGGAGCGAAACCTTGCGACGCGAGCTAGAGAAGTATTGTCAGCACGAGAGCAAGATCAAGGCTGAAGCTATCGCGCAACAAGCATATGATATAATGCAACTAAAAAGTTTCTAACGTACTTGAGCGCTGGCACCTAAGAAGCTATGGTTAGAACTCAGAAATCTTGGGACTTGGAGGGGTTGTTTTGGAAGCGCGTGAGTGAGCTGCTTGCTTACCGTAATGTCCACCTTGGCTCGGATCATAGACAGGTCTCTGTCGAGATTGTTGCGCGGCTTGGGGGTTTTGGGTGTCCATTTTGTCAAGATTTCTTTAGTGATGTTTGGGCTCCAAAAAAAAAAAGAGGAAATGCCTTGCTTATAAGATGGTTGGGTTTGAGGCCTGACACCTTTAACTTGAGCTTCAGTACAGTATGTGTGGATCGCGTTGGAAGGTTGGTGATGGTGGGTGGGCATGAAAACAATGACGAATTAGGTCCCAAGAGTTAGTGGGGAAAGTGCTTCCTTATGAGCTGGGCCAAAACTGGAAGTTGCAGTCGAGACATGGGAAGGTGGCTGGGGGTGGAGGGATGGCCCGACTGCCCGACAAGAACAGCCACATCATCCAACCGCCACACCACCGGACTTCTCCACAGACTTCGCGTCTCCATAATAAATTTTTCTGCCATTCTTGAAACTATTTCTTTCGCGTCAGCCTCTCGTCCACTTCTCTTTCCTCTTTTCTTCTTTTTGGTCGACAGCAGACCATGACAGACATCTCAGATGATCAGGTCGATGAGCTGCTGCGTAAAGCTGAGCAGCGCCTGAAAAATGGCTCTGCTTCTGCTATCGCAACCACCAACTCTACTGCTATAGTCCCGGTCGCCGCTGGCGACGCTGCGACAGATGTCAAGCAGCAAAAGTCTTCCGACAGCAGCAGCAAGAAAGATGGCCTGACTGTCCGAGCACCCCCTCAACCGCAATTAGGACTCAAGGTCAAGGAAAAGGTAAGACAAACTATCCCTTTGTCGCTTTCACTTGCGCATTTTATGAAGAAAATTTATCCCAATCTTTTGTGACATGGGACAGTATCCGTTTTGGATCAAATGCCCATGACAACATGATCCCTCATATCATAGTTACTCTGACTACCTCGCGCAAACTTTTCGTTACTTATTGCAACATACATTCTGGAGCATCTGGCTAACAAGTTTGCAATAGTCTACCGCAGGCGCCGACTGGTTCGATCTTCCCAAGACGAACATGACCCCCGAGTTCAAGCGAGAGTGGCAAGTCCTCCGCATGCGAGGCATCCTGGATCCCAAGCACCAGAAGAAGGCCCTCCGTGCGAGCGCTCCCGAGTACTCCCAAGTCGGCGAGATCATCGAGGGACCTACCGAATTCTTCAGCGCCAGGTTGACGCGCAAGGAGAGAAAGGGAACTCTCCTTGAAGAAGTCACACGGGGTCTTGATAGCCATAAGTTCACCGACAAGTACGCTGGCATCCAAAAGCAAAAGTCCAGCGGAAAGAAGGCGTTCTACAAGAAAGTAGTAGCACAGCGTCGCAAACGCCATTAGATAATAATAATAATCTTGATCAATTATAATGTCTTCTAGTCCAGTGAATAACGTTTGTCTCAAAGCGGCAAAGATTTGTGCCTGATTTGCAGACCAGCACGGCATTTCGCATACCTTGCCAGTAAAAAAATGCAATTGAATACATCCTCCCGATACAATCAGTAAACTAGAAGTTGCCCATAAGCTACTCGTGTGCTTTTGGCCATTGTTACATAGAAGATCTTGCACAGCATAGCAGGCGATGACTGGACTGTACACGACAATGGTTCCGGCTAGCGATACGTGAGGTTCAGGGTGCAAAGTTACGCCGCATTTGCACAGCTTATTCCAGGGCTTGTAAAGCTGAACTGTAAATCAAGCGCAAAACTACCTATAGTAGAGATGTTGACTCTCAAAGACTTTCACGTTCACTTCTCGCAAAGTTACAGTCCCTGATATCTAAAGGGCAGTTTTTTATTGTAGACGCGCGCTTATACAAGCGTCTAGTGACGAGGTGGTCCGTGCGCAGACATTGATCCGACGTTTTCTGGTTGGCGGCATCTCGAATCAATTTTCGAGCCTCATTATTGTCGACGCCAAGGGACAGGCAAGATGATGCGCCAAAGTATTAGACCCTTGCGGGTTTTCTCAGTATGTGCAAGGAAGATTTGACAATATCCAATGCGTCTCCAAACTAATTCGTGGCCCAGAATGAAGTGTCATGGATCACCCGTCGAACACAGGCCTCTTTGTACGTCTCCCCGCCGAAATTCGCCATTCAAGAACCAGAATCGCCCTCTCGAACGAATTGTTGCTAATTAATACAGGGCCAAACCAGGAGATCTCGTACCAAATAAGCTAGAGCCCAGCAACGACGACCAAGAACCCCGTTATCCTCGAGCGATCGAGGCCCTGCATCTCAAGCCTCTAAAGCGAGAGGCTGAGCACGGCATCCCCTCATGCGATCTTCAGCTCCGATCTTTCAGCGTTCAGCCCCTCGAATTCTTCTCCGATTTTGCTCTAAGAGCCGCATACTACCTCGGACTCCCCGCTTACGGACCCGTCCCTCTTCCACGCATCACAGAGCGTTGGACAGTCCCACGAGACAACTTCATCTTCAAGAAGTCGCAGGAGAACTTTGAGCGAAAGACGCTACGTCGGCTAATCCAAATTCGTGACGGAAACCCCGAGACGGTGCAGCTGTGGCTTGCGTACCTCCGCAAGCACCAGTTCTATGGTGTGGGAATGAAGGCCAACATGTGGGAGTTCAGCGAGTTGGGTGAGGGCAAGAAGATGGACGCTCTACCAGAGGCGGAGAAGGGTGAGATTGATTCCAAGTGGTCCCATCTCGGACAGACCAAGACTATTGGTACTATGGAGAAGGTCGAAGAGCTTCTGAACCAGAGACGGTTCCGGGAGGCTGCTGGTCTGAAGGTGCCTCCCACAACGGAGGTGTGAGAGGAGGTCGAGAACATGTTAAAAAGAGAATAAGATCCTTGTTCTCCGGCAAGAGTAGCCGCCTTCACCGGAGTCCAGAGGCATACTGTATCTGTCTTTGAGTTGTACAATAGGCCATGTAAGGCTTTGGCTTTGTAAAATCAGAATTTTGGAATGACAAAACGTCGGCAAGATCATTTATGTCCTAATATCCAGTACGGAGCCTTGTTCGGGTTGGATTTAATGACTGTACAAAGCATGTTTTTGGTTTATTGACATGATTATCGGATGTCGATGATAAATGTCAATATCTTCTAACACACATCGCAATTATGCCAGCCTCAACCTCGCATTCTATATATAGCGTCGAGTATAAAAAAAGTAACACAATGAGTTATTTGACGTTTATATTTGCTGAAGTCTGGAGTCTTTTCTCGTCTCAGTTCCTGTAACTCACTCCACGCGCCCCGGTAAATGCATACAAACTTCTCTTCACCTCATAACTTCGCCGTATTAGCACCGTTACCATTTACAAGGTCAATTCTCTTGAGGAGCTATCATCCTAAAATGCCACCAGTAAAAATACCCAGTCCTAGGGTCATCTTCTCGGGCATCCAGCCTACTGGGGTGCCTCATTTGGGAAACTATGTCGGCGCTCTACGACAATGGGTTCAGCTTCAGCGCACTGAGCCAGATGCCAAGCTCATATATTCTATCGTAGATCTTCACGCTATTACCATGCCACAGCCGCCGGAGCAATTGAGAAGGAGAAAAAGGGAGGCACTCGCTGCTTTGTTGGCGATTGGCATCGATCCTGAGAGAGCCACTTTGTTTTATCAATCTTCAGTGAGTATGGTCTTTATGGTCTTATACCTGTTACCGACTCGAATGCCTTTGCCGATTAAATGTTTCTCCATCACTGTTTACTGACGATATCTAGGTGCCGGCTCATTCAGAACTTATGTGGATTCTCAGCTGTACAGCATCTGTTGGATATCTGTCAAGAATGACACAATGGAAGGTGTGTTATATCTATTTTCACCAACAACCAGGACTGACACATATCAAGAGTAAACTCAACCTTGGTGATAAGTCTACAATAGATGATAAGCAAGCTAGTTCACGCCTCAAGCTTGGTCTCTTCTCATATCCTGTCCTGCAAGCCGCCGATATCCTTGTTCACAGGTCTGTTACTCATCCAAACGCGGCATTGATAACACAGGCTGACCTGGCCCAGAGCAACTCATGTTCCGGTTGGCCATGACCAACAGCAGCATCTTGAATTTGCCCGCGAATGCGTGACAAACTTCAACGCAGCCTACGGAAACCATCTCGTTTCCCCTCAAACTCTGATCCGTAAGCTTCCTCCTCGTTTTCCACTACATGATGCTTATAAGATGTAGCCCCGGTCCATAGAGTGATGTCCCTCAACGACCCAACGTCGAAGATGTCCAAATCACACAAGTCTGAAAAGTCACGTATTCTCATTACCGACTCCCCTGAAGACATCAAGGCTAAGATTGGCTCCGCAAAAACGGATTCCATACCCGGTATCACCTACGACCAGGGTGAGCGGCCGGGCATCTCGAACTTGTTGGATATCCTGAGCATCTTTGACGCCCAAAGCAGAAAGGGCGTTGAACTTGCGGATCAATACAATGACATCAGCCCCAAGCAGCTCAAGGAAATGGTCACTAATGCTGTAGTTGGTGGTCTGGACGGTGTTCGTGACAGGTATCTTGAGTTGTTAAACAAAGGAGATGAGTATCTCGATTCAGTTGAGAAGATTGGTGCTCAGAAGGCGCAGAAGAGCGCTGATGACACTATGCAAATCGTTCGAGATGCCACGGGGCTTTAAGCCTACCGTAATGGCAGAACCTATGTTTCCGATTTGAACGTGTGGTAACACGGTGTATGAGTAATAGACAGAATAGGGATACTTCGACTCGAATAACGCGGGAACTCCGTCTAACCCTTTTTATATGAACCATTCCTGCTCCTGTTTTTATAGCCTATTTCATGACGCATAAGCAAAATTAGAGCCTCGTGCTGACTGCCAAAAATCCCTGACAACCTGATTCGTGGCTCTCGCTCCTCGAAGACTGCATGGATAGCTTTAGTTCCGTGTTCGAGTTTAGCATTGGACACTCGACTTACCTGATAACTTTCTTCACAAATACTGACTTATCCTGAGGAGACAGCTTGTCACTGGGAAAGGTTTCATGCGCAAGTCCAGCCTCAAGCCAGCTCTTAGCCATGGGATACCGTACTACAAGCTTCTTGAGAGGCTCGCTCAACTTATCAAGCTCACTCCTAGATGCATTACCCCCCAGATTCCTTGCAAGGCTCTGTGCCAGTAGAGGGCCCAGCATTTGCATGGCTTGTTGAGCGACATCGTTCAGCTCTTGTGACTCATACTTGGTACTCACAAAGGCAGACTAGTCTGAAGTTAGCTGCGAGTAAACTTGGATAGAAAGGAGGACTTCTTCTTACCCAAAATTCTGCTGCGCTTGTTTTTGGGAGCGGCTCTTTTCCGTCTAATACTTCGAGAGTAAATAGGAAGAAGAATTCAGCGGCGTTTGAAGGTTCCAGACGAAGTAGGGTAACTGGTCGTTTGTTTAAGAGACGGGTGACGAAATCGATGCCATTTTGTGAAAGTTCCGGGTCTGCTTCGTGACCTGCCGTACAGTTCAGTAACCAAGTAAAGTGCAACATATCCATACCAAGTAACTTACTAGGTAGCTGCTTCAACAGTCCGATAACCCAGAGCAGGACCGAATTGAGCATATCCTGCTGGTTCTCCAGCCCGTCATGCTCTAATGAACTTACGAAAGAGCAAGCTGTCTTTACAAGTAAGCCTACTCTTGGTGTTTGAAGGCCTTGATATGTCAGATACTGCGCGACACTATGAGGTGGCAGTACAAATGGACCGGGCTCAGACTCGGAGAAGCCACTGCGCAGGGCGCTGCAGATTAGCTCAACAACTTCGCCACTACCATTGAATGATTCCTGAATCTGGCTGATGATAGACATTATGGTTCCTTGTAGCTGTATGAGTTGGGGGTCGACAGTTTGGGTATTAGCTTTGCCGCCTTCTAGATCAACCGAGACCTCAGACGATGCTTGAAGACCTTTGCCGATACTTGCAAGACATCGGAGTGACTTCAGTGCAGTATGGAGAGCCGGGCTCTCGTCCGGAGCGGCATATGCGCAGTAGCGGGGAGGACCAAAACAGGGCACGGGGTTATCAGAAGGTGATTGCAACAGTTCTAGAGAGCGCTGCACATCAGTCTGGACAAACCCGAGAAGTCTTGCACATGCTGAATACTTTTGGGCTGGATCAGGCATTGCCTGTACGACAGCCGCGATTCCACCAACGACCTTTTCGCTGGCTGCACAGTCGAGTCGTTCTCCGGAAACGAGGTTCTGATACTCGTTCAAAAAGCCATGGGCTTCAGTGTGAAGAGCACCTCGGCAAGAACCGCATAGTCTTAGTATAGACTTTGCTGCTGCATTCGCCATCGCATGTTCTCCGACAAATCCAAAAATGAAGTTCAAGGCCGGATGTAGTTCCGAAATATTTCGCTCGAAATATTCTGTGTAGCGCTCAATTAGAGCAACGCAAGTTTGCCTCACTCTGGAAGGCACTTCTACTTGTCCAGATCGCAAAGTCGCAAACAAAGATGATCTAAAAACAACCGAAAGGGCGTCATCACATCTGCTATCATCACTGGTGCAGTCAGCGAGTCCGCCGAGGCAAAAGGCTGCGGCCTCGAGCTGGAGCCATGACGATTCAGACAAAGCTTTAAGCACCAGGTCCGCGAAGGTCGCCACAAGCTGTGGCCCTACCAAAGTATAGACAGATTGAAGAAGATCGACAACATCCTTCCTGGCACTGGAGAAGCTTATCCTTTCGCTGGAGTCCCAAGACAGGAAATCTTTGGTGGGCGGGTAAACAATCTTCTGCCATGCATTTGACACAGCTTGCAGAGCGTGCGAGCGGGCTTGTGGAACCCATGTGTTAATCGACTCTGGGTCGCTATACATCGAATCAGTCATAGTTTCAGCATAAGTAAGCCAAAACTCAAGGGCTGGAACGAATATTCTGTCTTCGACGAGATCGCCCTGGGCAGCAAGCAGGCCACACAAATTCGACAACAGCCTCTGAGACCGGCTGTCGTCGCTTTGCATCAATCTATCAATTCTGGCTTCGCCGAATGCGAGCATGAGTTGACCAAATTGAACACAGTCAAAGTCGAAATCACCTTGGACTAATTCTTGGTACCGCCTCTGTGACCAAGGAGTATCAAAGAGTTGTGCAAGGTTCTCGAAATGCGAGTCGGTCAAAAACAACAAGCAGTTTGATAGGAGGTCGGTCATCAACTCTGCAGATACGCTGTAAAGCTCGTCGATTGTGAGTGAGGTGATAGCAGCTGTTATCAATGGTCCAATGGGCTCAGACAGTCTAGTGTCTCTCGACGATGACTTCTGAGCGAACCAAACCCAGGACTATATGTGAATTAGCGACCAGTTGAACGCAGAGGCGTGTGACCTACCTGTAAGCACTGAATTGCATCCTCATGGGCAGCCCCAGTTGTTACTTGAGGCGACATGCCGCGACTCATGAGGGCCACCGCATCAGGAAGGTTCTCGAGAATAGCATCATAGACGCCAATACTATCGATATATTAGCGGATTCCCCAAAACGGTGTGACGGGACGAACTTCTTAGGCGAATTCAGATTAATCTTGGTAACTTCGTCCAACACGTTCTTCAAAACCCAGAGGACAGGCTGCAATTGTGAAGCATCCATACGCTCGATAAGTGAAGACGAGTCGGGGGCCTCACGAAGAGCATCTGGCTGGCATGGCTGGCCCGAGACTAAACAGAGTATGAGATGATGGATGAAGCGGCTCCAAACTTGGTGGAAGTTGAGAAAAAAGGTAGCAAGGGCTGAAGCGAGCTTCCTGGCGACTAATGGTGAGGTCCCACTACGCAGCGTATCAAGATATCTTCCTATCATGACTACCAGTAACTCGGCGGCATTTTCCGGGGTTAGAGACGAGCTGCTGGATGTCAGTGGAAATGTCAGGCTAAATCGAGCTTTGTTTAAATACCTCTCATTGTTGAGCTTTATAACGATGGTGAGCGCGCCGAAGAATCTGACTTGTTCTTCAGGTCTCGCAAGCAGGTCACGAGCAAGGCCCCAGGCCTCTGGAGAATCTTGAAGTCGTGATAAGATGGCCTGTGTTTGCTTAATGATCTCAGGGGGGTTCGGTTGGTACAGGGACAAGATGAGCTGTGGACAGGTCAGCAAGCTTTCACATCAGACTCCCTGCCTTATGACAAGACAGATCCAGGTCGTTTGTGTTAACGCACGTTCTCAACCTCCGGAATCGACATCGATATCGGGTCTTCAGCCATAGTGAAAGAGCAAATGAGAAATGCTACGGCTTTACTCTCAGGGGTACTGGCCAATACAATAATCTAGGCAAAATTCGACACTGTGGCAAACCCGGTGACCCTCAAATAGCTATCATACAGGGACGGTTCGATTTCCAAGTATCGCAAGTATGAGAGAACGGAGCCTGGTTTCAGGTCGCCTGCAACTTTCTTAGGGGAAATCTCTGATATGGCCTGTCTATGATGTGTCAGCAATGAGTGAAGAGATAGCTAAGGGAAAGACCATACTTGGGCAGTGGTTATTTTGATGTCTAGTGTGGATATTCAATAACTTCTGGAAGTATTGTCGAAATATTCCACACGACAAGATGCCGGGATTGTTGCTAGGGTATCTAATCTAATTGTGCATAGATCCCTTTGGGGGGCAATTTTGGTGGAAGGACAGGGCAAGAAATAGGGTATATCGAGGACTGAAGCAACCCAGTATGATCGTCCTCAGGTAGAAAATAAATCGAATCAAGCCTTGGATGGGTCGCTTGTCTAGGTTGCGGTTGAGTCAGGGGCTTAAAACATGTAAGCGTGCCCGGTGAGGTATTGAAAGCTTATGGTAAGGCCAGACCAGCCCGTCGCTGGAAGCCCAGGGTACATGTACCTGAAGTGGGGTACATGGGAAGCCTGTCACGATGATGGATGGTGACTTGAGTTGTGTCGAATCGGGCGTGGGGGTGGTTGATTGGTAGGTATAAAATAAAATAGGAGGTGCTCTCTTTTATAGGTAAGTTTGGTGGGTAGATGATATATCTTTTTTTATCAAATCTCCCACGATCGAGATGGATTGTCGATTAATAGATATGAATAATTCTTAGTACTTTGGCCCATGTCTATAATCACTTGTTGAAGCCAAAGGCCATCTCGGTCAGGCAAGCAAGCGGCTTCCTTCGGGGCAGCGGCCTTTCAAAGATCCGCTCATACTGTTTTGCCCCGCGCTACGCTATCTAGTCTAGGTAGGTGCGGGCAGTGGAAAGATGGGAAGGAAAGATCAGGCCCAGGGTTGCACAGCGGGTATGTTAGGTGTAGGTGCGTACGGGCGGGCATCTGTGATTGACACCCGCATTTCCTGCTCCGGTCCCATGAGGCTTGACACTTCTTTTGATCTCATATCTCAACTCTTCGTTTCTGTATAAGAACACTCTCTTTCTTGAACAAGTTTTGTTGTGATTCTTGCCTGCATATTCACTATAACTTGTGCTATCAAGGTAAGCAGACCAGCAAACAACTCTTCACGGCCATGACTCCGTCTCCAAGCCCCTCATTCTGCTCCTCATCATGATGCTTGGTTAAGATACAATCCCTCATTCTTTCGCACATTCCCTCATATAGCATGACTCTGTCGCTCTGTCTCTTAGACGTCTTCATATTTCACTTCACGTCGCACACTTGTATCACCTGCTCTGTAAGAGTGAAGCCATTCCATTGAACTATACTGACACCCACCTTTCAAGCCCTTGGACATTTGAGCTTCTAGCTTGCTCAGCCAATCCTCTTTTACACTCAGTTCGTCACTTCCATCTCGAGGCCTGTTTGTTGCGTGCGTCTGATTGTCAATGCTCTTCCAGACCGCGACCTCGCTCCTCCGTTCAGCTCCTCGACGACTAGCTGCTGCTTCACGTTTATCATCACGCCGCAGGACCTCTTCTGAAGCCATGGCCAAGCTTGACACTACTTCCAGGCTGACTCTCCTGAGGGGTCTAATGAAGGAGCGCAATGTTCAAATCTATAGTACGATTCCAATCTACTTGATTCACATGCCTTTAAGAGAGCATTGCTAACAACAGATCAAGTCATTCCGTCGGAGGATAGCCACTCCTCCGAATATATCGCAGAATGCGATGCCAGGAGAGCTTACATCTCGGGGTTCACTGGCTCTGCTGGATGTGCCGTTGTCACCTTGGATTCTGCTGCCCTTGCCACTGATGGTCGTTACTTCAACCAAGCCGCATCTCAACTCGACAACAACTGGACACTCCTCAAGCAAGGTCTTCAAGATGTTCCTACTTGGCAGGACTGGTCCGCCGAACAATCCTCTGGTGGGAAGAATGTGGGGGTCGACCCGACACTTATTTCTGGCTCTACAGCCAAGAATCTGACTGAAAAGATTCGGAAAAATGGCGGTGCTGGGCTGGTTCCCGTTGATGGAAATCTGGTCGATCTGGTTTGGGGTGATGAGCGTCCTGCTCGTCCTTCTGAGAAGGTCATCATCCAGCCTGATGAACTCGCGGGTGAGTCTGTGTCAAACAAACTCAACAAGGTCCGACAAGAAATGGGCAAAAAGCGTTCGCCTGGCTTCCTTGTTTCCATGCTGGATGAGATTGCTTGGCTATTCAATCTGCGCGGCAACGATATCCCTTTTAATCCTGTCTTCTTTGCTTATGCCACGGTTACGCCCGATGCTGCTAAGCTTTACATAGATGACTCCAAGCTGGATGATAAGTGCCGCTCCCATCTTAGTTCGAACAAGGTCGAGGTCAAACCATACGATGCTATCTTCGAGGATTCTCAAGCGCTTCATGCCGCTGCCACCGAAAAGATCAAGACTGACGACAAAGCTCCCAAGGGAAACTTTCTCATTTCCAATAAAGGTTCATGGGCGCTCAAGCGGGCTCTCGGAGGTGACTCTTCGGTTGATGAAATCAGAAGTATCATTGGTGATGCAAAGGCCATCAAGACCGAGGCCGAACTCAAGGGCATGAGAGACTGTCATGTGAGAGACGGAGCTTCACTGATCCAATATTTTGCTTGGCTCGAAGATCAGCTGGTGAATAAGAAGGCGACCCTTGACGAAGTCCAAGCAGCCGATAAGCTTGAAGCGCTCCGCAAAGAAAAGAAGGACTTTGTTGGCCTCTCATTCCCAACCATTTCTTCTACTGGTGCTAAGTAAGTACCACAACTAGCTTCGACTGAGACGCTCGTGGCTTATAAAGCGGCTGATCACCGCTTGTACGCTGTGGATTTGCTAACTATTCACTTATAGCGCTGCGATCATTCATTACGGTCCCGAGCGTGGAAACTGTGCCACTATCGATCCCAACGCCATCTATCTTTGCGATTCTGGCGCTCAATACCGCGACGGCACTACCGACACCACTCGAACACTGCATTTTGGCACGCCTACGGATGCTGAGAGAGAAGCATACACTCTGGTTCTGAAGGGACACATCTCCCTGGATCAGGCTATCTTTCCTAAGGGTACCACCGGCTTTGCCCTTGATGGCTTGGCCAGGCAACATCTCTGGGTAAGCAGCTAGCAAAATTATGTCAGTTGAGATACCTAATACGTATGACAGAGAAACGGACTGGATTACAGACATGGCACTGGACACGGAGTCGGATCATTCTTGAATGTTCACGAAGGTCCTATTGGCATTGGTACTCGTGTTCAGTACGCTGAAGTAGCTCTTGCTCCAGGAAACGTATTGTCAAACGAGCCTGGATATTACGAGGATGGCAAATACGGCATACGAATTGAGAACATGGTTCTCGTCAAAGAAGTCAAAACCAAGCACTCGTTTGGCGACAAACCTTTCTTGGGCTTCGAGTATGTCACTATGGTGCCATACTGCCGAAATCTGATCAACACAGCACTACTCACATCCGAAGAAAAGGACTGGCTGAACACCTATAACAAGAAGGTCCTGGAGAAGACGCAAGGTTACTTCGAGGGTGACGACGTGACACTGGCCTGGCTCAAGAGAGAAACGGTGCGAATCGATTAAGTAATAAACTCGGCTAGTGACGCTACAGACGTACAAAGGTAGCCATTATGAACGTCGCCAGGAACGAGGCAGTAAATAATGGCCTGTTCTTGCTCTTGTTCCAGATCGAACTCTTCTTCAATAGCTTTTCAATACCAAGAGTTCGAGGGATATCCAAGCCCCAACGAGACGCAAGCTGATTATGTGAGACTAAAGGTTGAGCGGAAAGAGGCGGATATATGACTTACATGGATGGAGAAGGCAATCACTCCTGCAAGGAACGCAAGGGTTCGTGAAAAGAGGGCGACTACAACCCCAACTCCAAATCCTGGATCCAATCATGAGCCAATCATTCGTCTTGAGGTCATCCAGGGGAAGAAACATACCAGCAACACTTCCGCTAGAAAGCTGACGGACAGTATCTGGGGAAACATCGAAAGAGCGGTTTCGTCGAGGAGGTCCAGTAGCAAGTGTGGGTGCATCACAGCGAATGACAGGTCGTGTCGCAACGAACGCTCCCACACAAGTCGCCGGTGCGATGCCGCGGCTCATGGCTCGGAGAGCTACTCTGGAGTTGAAAGTACGATACATTGTTCTCAGTATGGTTCGTCCTGGGCCAATTGATTCAAATTTTCAACTGAGAAGTTAAGAAGTAAGATGTTGACTTGAGGTAAGAAAGTAAAGGGTCTCTCTAGTGTCAATTCGCCTATTACGTCAGTGACACTGGATCTCCCCGTCATGAGCTGTCAGCCAATGGCTGATCAGCCTAGGTTAAACAAAGAAATTCCAGCTGCAAAGTCGCATAAAATGGAGATACTTTGACAATGGAAGTTGAAACGAAAATTGATTGACCGCAAATTCTACATTTGCAGATCATGATCTTTGTACCAGCGCCGGCTGTCGAAAGCAGTGAAAGCCAAAAAATGGATAAAGCAAGCAATTAACAGAAACAACAGGCCAGCAGGTATATCTTGAAGCGCCCAACGCCGTCCTTACTCCCAAACCAAATTCCCATTGATGTCAATCCAGATCCCTTTCGCTCTTTTGTCTTAACCCAGCCCACCCCACATACCGCGTATCCGTCTTGCTAGCTGGATATCCTTCTGCATAATAGTGACGCGCTTGGCGTGGATGGCGCAAAGATTGGTGTCTTCGAACAGATGAACCATGAATGCCTCGGCGGCTTCTTGTAGAGCCATGATGGCCTGACTTTGCCAGCGTAGGCCCGCGTCGGCGGGACGCATCGATAGTGCGATTTCTCGAACCTGTTGAGCCGGATGTTAGTTCCTGATCGCGTGAGGAGTAGGAGCCTGAAGGACGAACAAGGCGCGCAAATGGTAGCTTTCGTAACAGAAGTTTAGTACCGCTTTGGTAATGTCGGATTTCGCGAAGAGCGACAGTGCCAGGACGGTAGCGACGCTTTGCGCGGACGGGGACCGGGTCGCCAGCTGGCGGTAATGTCAGTTCACTCGCTCATCATTGTAAGTGCGTATTCGGTTTATATCGTACCTTGAACAGCACTCGGCCGCGACTGGCGTCCCGCACCCGAAGCTCTCGATTTCTTAGTGGGAGGCATTGAAAGAGCGTGTTAGGACAAAGAGCAAGGAGGGTTCCAAAGCTTGAGAAGCTTTATAGCAAAAACATCAGCATGCGAAAAGAAGGGTGAAGTAAGTTGCGTTCTTGAACAAAATGCTGGAATTCGAAACAATGTAACCAGATTGTTGGTGACAAAGCCTGTAGGTGTAGAAGACAGGCGAGAGTATGGGATGCATCGCAAGGTGGGAAGGAACCACCGCGATTATGGGGAACGAGCGTTCGCGCGCGCGCGGTCCCAGCCCCGCGATTTTTATTTAATTGATATTCAGCCACACCTTCCGTCCAGCACGAGCCACATTTCACCTACCCCTAACGTTACCTCTAATACCGTTATTCCACTAGGATTCCCGACGGGCGGGACGGTGGGGGGGGCATACCTAGCTATCGTAACGTGGCTCGTCCTATTCCGTCATCCTCAACACGATCATTGAACTTCACACTTTCACTTTATCTTAAGTCACATATTTCCGATCTTCTTTATGCCCAAAGAGACAACGATATCAAGTTTGTACCCATAAAGTTCTTCTACATGAAAGACAGTGACGCTTTCTCTCTATCACACTGGCCCGGATTATAATCTACTCTGCTCCAGCTCCAGCATCCACATACAACAAGCTGTGTGCCTACACATTACTTTAGAAAAGCAATATTGACATTGGCGACGCCTGACATTGAACCCGCCTCAATGGATCAAGTCATGGATGGAGGTCGTTTGCCTCTTGAGGCGTGGTTCTGGGAGATGCCAACATGCACTCGCTGGTGGACAACCGCCACGATTCTGATGAGCGCCCTGGTTCAGTGCCAGATGGTGACGCCTTTCCAGTTGTTCTATAGTTTTCGGGCTGTTTTTGTAAAATCACAGGTCAGTACTGTCTTTGGGATGTTCCTCTTCCCTTTGCCCGTGATATATCTGTGTTGGGGACATTTATGCTGACAACACCCATCATACAGTATTGGCGACTATTGACGACATTCTTATACTTCGGTCCCTTTTCACTCGATCTGCTGTTCCACGTCTACTTCCTTCAGCGATACGCACGGCTTCTCGAAGAGTCTTCGGGTCGTTCACCCGCGCATTTCTCGTGGTTACTTCTCTATTCGATGACCTGTTTAATCGCTATATCGCCACTCGTCTCCATGCCATTCCTCGGCCACCCGCTCTCCTCGACGCTCGTATACATCTGGTCGCGAAGAAACCCCGATACTAGGCTCAGTTTCATCGGCCTACTCTCTTTCACCGCTCCGTACTTGCCCTGGGTTCTGATGGGCTTTAGCCTTGTATTGCATGGCACTATCCCCAAAGACGAGATCATGGGAGTCGTTATTGGGCATGTATGGTACTTCTTTTCGGATGTCTACCCACCTCTGCACAACGGATCTCGCCCTCTGGATCCTCCTACCTGGTGGAGGCGCTTGTTTGAAGCGCGCCCTCAAGTTGATGCGGATGACAGCACCAACGATAACGACATCTTGGTGGCGGAAGCAAGAGGAGCAGCGCCTCGTGAACTGTAAAATATCGAGGACGGTTTGGCAATAGCCGTGTGCTTAGGAAGTTTGGTGTAAGACCAGCTTGCCCTCTCGGCAAGGTTTGTCTCAATTGTTTTTTGTTGTTTGGCGTTGAAAGGTCAAGATTAGGAAGCATTACACAAGACACAGACGTCGGAACTGTGAACGGCGTTGGTTTTTATAGCGTGAGAATTGAAACAGAAATTGACTTCATCTCTTGAAACCAAGGTGGCTACTCAATGTGATCTACAACGATGAGGCTCTACAAAACTGTCTCATGATATGATATGCCTTAAAGCGCTTCCCGTCTACAGCCGTCGGGCACCAGTTTTTGCAAGGCCTCAGACCCTCAGTACAGTAAAGTTCAGCATTCCGATAGCCGGTTACCAGTCAATCTAAAGCTACGATGATCCTCAGAGCTGGAGGCTTGTGATTGTGATGTCAGTGGAACAGATCAGACCCTGACTGCAACTAACTTGGGCTTTAGTGTAGCGCTGATGTGCTGACGTCGCTCGCTAGCTTTCGCCGGACATTTCATGGTCTGACCCCGCCGTCATGGATGGAACCTTTGAGATCCAGCAGTCCATATCCATAATACATAAACAGCCTTAGACCCCGGGCAGCATTTTGCAAGCTTCAAATAAAGCCTTCACCTGCTGACACCCTGGATTTTGTGGCCCTCTTTGCTCTTCCTCCCTTTGACCTTCACACAACCTCAACTGCGTAAATCTGCTTTACTGCAACAATGCGAGCTTACTTCTATGATGGCCTCCCAGTCTGTATACCCTGCTCTCGCTGCCCGACCTCTCGACTAACAAAAATTACAGGGCGACCAGCGCCTCCCCCACAACTCGGGAAAGCCTGTCAGCGTTGACGATCTTATGAATATCGGCGTTTACTATTACCATCTTCCCGAACTCCAGCAGGTCGACAACCTTGCGAAGCAGCGTGATTACAAGAACCGCGACGAGATCACCGTCTCTCCTCAGGCCATGGGCGATGTTTACGAGACAAAGGTCAAGTCTTTCTTCGCTGAGCACCTACACGAGGACGAGGAGATTCGCTACATCCTTGGTGGGCGTGGATACTTCGATGTTCGAAGCAAGGACGACGACTGGGTCCGTGTTTTGCTCGAGAAGAACGATTTGCTTATTCTGCCTCCTGGCATTTACCACCGTTTCACCACCGATGAGAGCAACGTGAGTTTGGAGAAGCACTTTACCTACATTCAAGACTGACCGGTCTACAGCACGTCCATGCCATGAGACTATTCAAGGAGGACCCTAAGTGGACGCCTCTGAACCGAGGCCCCGAAGTCGACAAGAACGAGCATCGACAAGAATACGTGAAGCAATTCATCGGCGAGCCTGCCCAGTAAGAAGACCACGTGGGAAACAAGCCGTGTTTGATTGTAGAGGCTAAGTGGCAGGCGAACAAGTACATTACCGGTCCAACTCAAGACCAACAGCCATAAATAGCGCTGCTTGAAAACTCGGTGCTACGGTCGAGAGCACAACTTTGACGTGATCCAGAATTTTTTTGCGTCATTTCCAGGGTCCATTATGGCTGATAAGCATACGACCTTCGATCGATCTGCTCGAAACCGGAGAGCGAAAACCACAGCCAAATGAGCAGTGTGAACAAGCTTGGATATCCATTGTTTGATGACATAGTTTACCTTTTATTCGAAAATGAGAGTTAGCGGGAGTTTAAAGAAGCTGTGTTCCATGACAATTGAATAATGTGCACCTATCTCCTGGCGTAGAATTGAAGCTGTCTCTGGGTCCGACATCCATATCTCATGATAAATTATGAGGCTAGTCGTCATGAACTGATTCATCATGGTCAGCAAGCACTGTAATCAAGCTCCTGGCATTGGCTTCTGGTCCACAGACTACCGCGAGTGGGTAACGTTATGGATGTCTAATGGCGAGCGACTTGCTTGAAGACTGCTGCGACCAAGGTCTACTGCTGGTTGACTGACAAGCACTTGTAGAACCAGCTCGTCATGTTCATTGTACTGGTTTCGCAATTTATCGATCAAGTGATACAGACTTATATGTTCTGCTTTGCCATTTTTTATACGTGGATGCACACCTTGTACCAGCAGACGCCACACTAACAATGCAAGATCGAGAGAGGTTGACCGCTATTCAGTAGTTCATAGGCCTTGTTATATGCACGCAGGTTTCAGGTTAAGTTCGCAAGTTATATACTGCCAGTTTAAACGAATTTTCTGATCAAAGCCAGCACGACGTGTGTCGTCAAAACCATCGTATTTCTAGTACTGATACCCGATCCCGATACGTGACTACTATAGGTACCTACAATACAGTACCTATAGCCGCCGGTGCAGGCATGAACCCCGCCTAAAAACACAACGAGGCCCTGGTGTTTCATTGATGGTCAATAGCTGGACCGTCTTCTTCGGAATATAAACCTTCCTTTAACATCAGCCTGGATCAAGAACAAACCAAGACATACAGCTCAATTGTTGAGATATAGCTTCATACTGCAACATGGATGCACGAACAGAAGTCTCAGATGCCACCGAGGCGTCAACAAGACCACGAATAGCGCAACTCCCTGCTAGTTGTGACCCTCCGCAGCCCAATGCTGCTGTGAAGCAATTGGTCTGGGTGGTATGATCTCTTCTCAACGTTCCCTCACCAGTTTCAGGATACTCATGATGTACAGATCTTTGGAGGGACAGGACAAATGGGACACAGCCTTGTCAAAAGCGCACTTACACATGGAGATTTAGTGACGTCGGTTGGTCGCGTGTTTGAGACAAGCCTTAATGACATGGAGAATATCCATGAGAACTGTCTCGGCGCGTTGTGCGACGTTCGCGCCCGCGAATCCGTGAATCGAGTCATCGAGCGCACGCTCCAACGCTTCGGCCGCATCGATATCGTCGTCAATTGCTCTGGCTACGGTGTGATTGGCGCCTGTGAGGATCAGGATGAGCACGATATACGCAATCAGTTCGAGACCAACTTCATGGGGACACTTCACATCATCCACGCTACACTGCCCTATTTTCGGAGACAGAATGCTGGCCGTTATCTCATCTTCAGCTCGACTTCTGGCGCGTTGGGTGTTCCTGGCCTGGGCCCTTACTGCGCGACTAAGTATGCGGTTGAGGGCTTGATTGAGGCCATGCTCTACGAGACCGATGCCTTTAATATCAAAGCTACGCTGATCGAGCCAGGCCATGTAAGGCCTGAAGAGCCCGAGATCCAAGACTCAACACTTCCAACATCCTGGGGTCATTTTCTCGTGAAGCCGCCGAGCGAAACATACGGTCATCCAACATCGCCCGCATTACACGCCCGGCGGATCGTCCAGTGGCTCGGCGACAAGTATCGACCTACAAGTGCAGTCAAATGCGCCGAGCTTGTATGGCAACTCGGGCACTGCTCGTATCCTCCCCTTCGTCTTTTGTTAGGAAGCTATGCGATTGAAAGCATTCGCGATCGCATGCGGTCCGTGACTGAGGAACTGGAAGATTGGAAACACCTCAATTTCCCTGCTGGACCAGAAGACGACAGAGAAACTGGCGAAGAAACAGCAATGCCAGATGCCCCCGAAGCTGCTTTGTAACGCACAGATGAACATCATGGGTATCGGCACATGAAATGGCCTAATTGAAGCACCACGCGCATTGGCATATTGGCTCGCTCGTACTGGGTGGAGCAGCCGGGAGCTAAATCCTTACGAGGCACAGGACACACACAGATTCTTTACGAGCTTTTCTGATGCAACCTGGACCCTGGAAAAAGATGCCGTATGAGCTATCGGCTCTGGACCGAAAAAAGGGCTGCAAACTAACGTCACTAGACCGTCCCTGTTCATATGACTAAGCCTAATATCTTGGTTGCTCCACGTCTCCCCTTGTGCCCCTCGACCTTGTGGCTTGTACTTGGCTAAATAGTCAAAGGGAGAAAAAGTATCCAACGGGGTAAAAGACTGCGGATTTGTCCAACACGCGTTGTCCCTTTCTCCTTTTTTCATTTTCTGCGACCCGTGATATTTTTGACGCAGTCTTTCTTCGCTGCATCAACCCAACGACTCCTATTACCCAATTCGACAACTGGGCCCGTTACTCCCCGTCGCAACCCAGCGCTGATCCCCCGTTTCGACTCCGCGATTGTTTCGTTCGTCTTATACAAACGATGACCGATAAGAAGAACGAGGACTACGTCGTCCGTATGGGCGACGACAACTATGACAAGAACGAGAAGCCCAGCTTTCAGCCTCGGTCACCGCCTCCTATGGCATACGGCTCAAGTCCAGTCGGTGGTCTTGAACAGCTGGAGAAGAGCCCGCCCCTGTCTATCTTGGCGTATTGCTTGTCCTCGATCAGTATGACCGTTGTGAACAAGTATGTGGTTTCGGGCAGCTTCTGGAACCTCAACTTTTTCTACTTGACTGTTCAGGTATAGTCACTGGCGCAAACCATCTCTCAGTGCAGATTTTAACGTCGAGTTCTTGATAGGCTATCGTGTGTATTGGCACGATTACTCTATGCAAGCAGCTGGGCCTGATAAAGGTTCTCGCCCCTTTCGATGTCGACCGAGCAAGAAAATGTACGTTTGCTGCAATTCCGGACTACACTTCAACCACTAATACGAAAAAGGGTTCCCTATCTCGCTTCTTCTTGTGGGCATGATCTACACCAGCACAAAGTCGCTTCAGTTTCTCTCAGTCCCTGTTTATACGATTTTCAAGAACCTGACCATTATCGTCATCGCGTACGGTGAGGTGCTTTGGTTCGGTGGTAGCGTTACTCCTCTGGCCTTGCTCTCTTTCGGGCTTATGGTTCTGAGCTCAATCGTTGCCGCTTGGGCCGATATTCAGAGCGCTATCAATGGCGACTTTGGCACTGGAGACTCTGCTGCTGCTGTATCTACACTTAACGCTGGTTACGCTTGGATGGGTATGAATGTATTCTGCAGTGCGGCCTATGTGCTCGGTATGCGCAAGGTTATCAAGAAGATGAACTTCAAGGATTGGGACAGTAAGTCAAATGTTGGCGGTGTGATGTTTCTAAGCTGACCTTGTGTAGCCATGTACTACAACAATCTTCTTACGATCCCTGTTCTTGTTATCTGCTCTCTCCTGACAGAGGACTGGTCAGCCTACAATTTCTCTCGCAACTTCCCTGATGATACTCGTAACAAAATCATCATCGGCATGATTTACTCTGGCCTCGCTGCTATCTTTATCTCCTACTGCTCCGCCTGGTGCATTCGCGTTACCTCCTCGACCACATATTCGATGGTAGGCGCCCTGAACAAACTTCCTATCGCAATTAGCGGCCTGGTCTTCTTCTCGGCCCCGGTCACTTTCGGCAGTGTATCTGCCATTTTTATCGGTTTCATCAGTGGTCTCGTTTACGCCTGGTCCCGCGTGCGACAGACGATGTCATCTGGAGGCTCGTTACCTACCGTGGCACCTCCCATGAGCGCCAGTGCCAAGAGCAACCGCGATGCCAATTCTTAGATGAGATGAAACAAGACACAAGATTTCAGGGGACATACTACGCAAGGCGTCAGTGGTGCAGTTAAACAACTTCTGTGACAGACGGAGTCAGGAATTCGGTAGAGCCCAGTTCAAGGACTTGGGACTTGTAAACTTTTAATGAGCGCGAAAAAGCGCATTGCTTCTTGAGATATAGACCAACAAAAGTTAAGGGCATGAATATCTGCATACTGAGCGCATGTACTTTACAATGTTGTCTGTCGAATTGTACTTGAAGATAACAGATAGATGATTCCAACCGTGGTCAAAGTGTTAAAGGAAATAGATCCCTTTTTGTTGAGGATATGGAAAATATGCATTCTTATCAATGGTATACATAGCTTAACAATTAAGATCCTCATGATCACCTTCATGGTCATGATACATTTCTGTTGGAAAGATCGACACGTGCCAATCCGATAAAGGACCCACGTGGGGCAGCGCCAGCTGAGGACGTCACTTTTTATGTCCAAGCTTTTTTGCTTCTTCTCCAAAATGTTGGGGATCTTTTTTGACATGGAAATGAAATGACGTCTCTGACTCCTTTGATCTTCTGAACCAGCTACATTAGCTCTCTGTGTGTCTCACGCCATGATATAGCGGGGGAAAACCACTACAGACCACGCACAACCCTCAATTCCTATAATACTTCTCCTCTTCTCGATATCTTCTTGGATCAATCATTGTCTAGTTTACTCCCTTCTTGTATGGTGTATAGCACCTGATCGCCAGCAGGATGCTGTACTTCCTTCATAGGCGTGAGTTTCCAAGCTTCGTCCATGGTGTAACACTTCTTATTTTCTAACTTGTATCCCCGTGCAGCTTTTGTGGCCGTAGCAAGTACCGTTGGTGCCGCCCCAGATGACCGTGAGTCCGCGATGAAAGCTCCCAGAGCTCCCAAAGCTCGTAGTAGCGCTAACACCGCGTCTAGTCAAACTCGTTACATCGTTCTTGATATCCTTTCCTCTCGCGGCTCTCCTCAAAAGAATTCCCGATTCAAGACCAGAACTCAAGAACCTCTTCAGTATTGGGTACGACGGCAGCTTACTATCAATTCAATTGTTGACCCTGCTAACATGTCCGACTAAGTGTGTCCCTCTTCTACCTCGTCGGCCTGTTTGACCTTTGGGATGGCGCCCGAACCCTCTTGATCAGCGCAGGCGGCACCTACTGCATTGCCAAATACCTTCGAACGAGCCCCTACATGCCATGGATAGGATTCGCTTTCGTAATGGGACATATGTCTATCAGTCATATCGCTCGCCAAGCCGTCAACGATCCGTCGAGCGCCGATGTTACAGGTGCTCAGATGGTGCTTCTTATGAAGCTGAGCGCATTCTGCTGGAATGTCGCCGATGGACAGCTCCCAGAGGAGCACCTGTCGGATTTCCAAAAGAGAAACATGCTTAAGGAGCTGCCTCCTGTGTTAGACTACGCTGGCTGGGTCCTGTTCTTTCCTGCACTCTTCGCTGGCCCATCATTCGATTTCGTGGATTATCGCAAATGGCTTGACACGAGCCTGTTCGACGCACCGAACGTTGATCCTTCAAAGAAGCCTCCTGTCCGAAAGAAGCGAAAGATTCCTCGAAGTGGTGGTCCCGCAGCTTGGAAAGCTGCGAGCGGTATCTTCCTCATCGCCATGTTCATGGGCCTGGGTGGTTCATACTATCCCACCTTGCTCACCACTGATAGCTTCCTGAACTATGGCTTCCTCCGCCGTGTCTGGATCATGCACATGGTCAGCTTTACTGCACGACTCAAGTACTATGGCGTCTGGTACCTTACTGAGGGTTCTTGTATCCTTGCGGGGATGGGCTACAACGGCGTGGACCCTGTTACAGGCAAGGTCTTCTGGAACCGGCTGCAGAACATTGACCCGTGGGCTGTCGAGACCGCACAGAACCCACGCGGGTACCTTGGAGGATGGAATATCAACACCAGCAACTGGCTGAGGAATTATGTCTATCTGCGGGTTACGCCCCGGGGTAAGAAGCCTGGTTTCCGTGCTAGCCTAATGACTTTTGGCACCAGTGCTCTATGGCATGGATTCTACCCTGGATACTATCTCAGCTTTGTTCTCGCCAGCTTGATCCAGGACTCTGCAAAGCGTAAGTTACTTTGATTCTCTACAGATGTGATACTAATAGTCACAGACTTTCGTCGTCATGTTCGTCCTTTCTTCCTCGATCCTATCTCAGGAAATCCTTCGCCTAAGAAGAAATACTACGACTTCGCATCTTACCTTGTCACACAACTCACATTCACATTCGCAACGGCCCCATTCCTGGTTCTCACATTCCAGGGTTCGTTACTTGCCTGGTCCCGCGTCTACTTTTATGCAGTCATCTGGACTGTTACTTCCCTGGTCTTCTTCTATGCTCCTCCAACCAAAGCCTTCCTGAAATCGCAGCTTGAGAAGCGTCAGGGCCGTGCTAGTGCCAAGCTCGTGCGCTCAATCTCTACGGACAGTCTGACAGGCAAGGATCCTATTCTGGGAATTTCCAAGGATCCTGAGGATGATGTAAATGAGGCCATGAAGGAGATCAGGGCAGAAATGGAGATGAGACAAAGAAAGGCCAAGGCCAATGGCGAAGCACCACATGCACATATCAAGTCGGGCTGAGGTGAGAGCCCCAAGCATTTGGATGTTGTGGGCCTGCCATTAGTGACATAGGATGTTCGTTATTTTGACATCATTAACAAGCATGTCCAGTGTTGAAAATGAGGATAGGTGTCGTTGTTTCAGGTATTGAGACTGTGTGATTGACAGCGGAAGCATTGGCGAATTTATAAGGATTATATCGCTACCTAGATGAGTGATAATTAGAAATCATTAGATTTATCTATATGTGTATGTATTGTGTGCTTCTTGGTAGAGCCCGTTTCAGACTCTATTAATTACAATGTATGGTATCGTGAAATGAGTGTCTATACTGACTGCCTTTCGTCTCGTCTTAATATTGGTGTTAAATCCAACCACTTAGTTGTACATGTACATATGCAACAGAAAAGAAATGTCTCAGTGGTTGCATACCCGTCATAAATGGGTAAACACCAGGAGACTATGAAAAGAAGAAGCGAGGAGAAATCTTGAGTCAAGAAATTATGCTGCTTCAGAACGCCGAGACAGGAAAGGAAAAGGCAAATATCGTGTCTCGTAAAATGGTATGCTCAGAACAAAAATCGTTGGTCGTTGAAAATTTTGGATAGAATTGCATAAAGATCGTGAGTCTTGAAAAGGGCTAAAATGGTTCGAGCAAAAACAGAAACAAATCGTAATTCGTCGTCAATTGTTGAGATGCCTTGAGTCTCCATGGGAGGTTTCGGGATCAAGACCGTCCTTGTGGTCCAGGTCATCAAAACGGGATATCTTCTTTGTAAATGGTATCATTGTCCCCAGCGTTGTTTAACGCCTATCACGATGAGCGCAATGATGGCGCCAAGGATGAGCAAACCGATGATAGACATGCCTCGGTTGACCTTCCTCCACCAGATTGCACTCGTAAAAACGGCATCCTCTCTGCCGTTCACTTGGGTTCCGTCTAACTTTGACGTACTGTTGTTGCGCTCAATATCATCTGTCTCAGTAGTAGCCGCCTTGATAGGAATGAATGCAGCCAGCATCCAGGCTGAAAATACGTTAGGGCTTGATCTCTATGAAGTGATATTGTGGACTTACCCAGTGGGAAAACAAATCCCACGACAAACATGGTGACCTGAGCATTACGTCGGCCAGTTAGTTCACTCCTAGATTCCCATTCTGAAGCCGGAGGCTGCCAGATGCTGATCTGAGCAGGTCGTCGATCCCGTGCCAAGTGAGGCGACCAGATGCTGGAAGTTTGCTTCTTGATATTGCGAACGACCGCCATCACCGGGTGAGCTGGTGCCGCGCTGACACCCATGGAGCCCGTAGCTGAATGTTGTCGAGGAAACAAGTCGCGAGGTCGGCGTCTGGGATTACGAATGTTGGTGGCATTGGCATCCTGGCTGGGCGATCGGCTAAGTTGAGGCTCGTGAAGCTCGCTGTCGTTGAAGTCAGAGTCATACATGGACTCCATGGAAGGCTGCGCGGCCAGCCATTTGCGCTCACCACTGCCATAGTAAACCCTACAACCAGTGAGTCAGTTATAATCCTTCCATGTCATCACGTCAGGTACTTACTTAGCCCAAGCAGGAACAGCAGCGTTGAAACTGGCAGTTGATCGTAGGCTGCGGTCGGAGGCATGGCTTGACAAAAACCGTCCCAATCGAGTTCGCGAAGAGCGGTGATGGAGTACTTCCAAATCAGCAAGGCCATCGCCATCTTCATCATGATCGCGAACCAAACGGATTGTGCCGGTCGCGGGATCACGGGCTGAGTTTCGGGCATGGGTTGCAGAAGGGGGTTCCAGAGAGTTGTTCCTCGAATGGGAAGGGGTATTGCCCCTGGAAGGTGAAGGACTTTCGATGTGCTCTTCAAGGCCGAAAAGTGAGGAAGTCATGCTCAGAACATGCTTGCTGTGGTCACTACCACGCCGACGGGGAACAGAAGAAAGCGAAAGAGCACGAGATGCGGGCTCACTGCTGCCACCCTCGCTTTCTGACATGACTGTTGATAATTGACCGCTCCATTGATGAGGGCGTGATTGAGGTCGGCTTTGGAGATCGTGCCACGATGGACCAGCGTGCTGGAGTACTGTCGGTGGCCCAACAAAAAGTGCACGAGTGGCCTCCTGGGTGAAAATGGTCGACAGAGAGGTTATTGATGCGGATCGAGATCGAATGGTGTCACGAGATCGACATCTGGCGAGGGCAAAGGTATCGGAAGATCTTCTTTTCCGTGGCTGTAAAGGAGCGACAACTAAACTCTCTTGTGAGAATTCGGGCTGTACACGATGTCTGACAGCTACGATAGATGAAGAGGCCGAGTGGGTGACGAAATTGACGTTGCTGTCTTCGGTCGGTGGTCGAGTGCTGGCATATAAGGAGGCTTCTGCTGAAGACGGATCGCCAATAAGTTCGATGTTGGAATGTATCGACGATGGTGGCAGACTACGCAAGTCGGCGACGTTGACTGGGGAGCTTTGTCCATATGTTTTGATGTTGGTTCTTTCAGAGACAGTGGTTCTTGTTTGATCGGACGATGAAGAATGAAACGATGTCTTCTCATTAAGCCACTTAGAAGAGGGGCCTGCTTCAGGAACAGGAAGATCAACCTCAGGCAGTGTAGGGAGAGGCAACTCTGGCGGAGCATCTTGAGTTTGCGGTTGCTTTTGCTTCACGTCGGGAGTTTTGGGTACTTTACGCAGGCCTCCGAATAACCGGTAGTTCCAGGGCGAGGTGTCGGGGGTTGATGGGTCTTGGGTCCGCGACGAAATAACTGGAGAACTTGGTTCACGTTCAGCAAGCGGAGTCAAAGGTGAAGCTGGCCGGCTTTGACGATCCTCGCCTATCGTGCCCTGCGTGCCTATGGATTCTCGGCCGTAAGAAGTGTTGCCGGTGGTGAAAGATGGAGGAAGAGACCAGAGAGACTCGACTCTTGAAGACATTGAAGCATTGTGATATTGTACAGAGAAGGTCTTGTCAGGGTTGACTTTGATGACCTTTTTGCGAGAGGCGGGTCTTGGTGAAGCTGAAGGTCCACGAGAAGGTGGGCGTGAAGCATAAGAGGCTTGATCATCAGCATCGGTATCATAATGGGGTGTCCAGGAAGATTGGCTTGGTTCAAAATCGGATGACGGATATCGAATTGGGCCCTTCAATGGTGACGGAGATACCACGGTTGTTCTCGCCCGGGTCCTTTGCAGGGATGGTGATGGTGTTTCAAGCTGAGGACTGAAGGAATGCGACGGGGAGTATGTCTGACTCTGATCAAGTTCCGTATCGGTCTCAGCATTCGCATCAGCCTGAGTGATTGTCTTAGACGATGTGACAGTGCCATCTGAGGCAACCCGTGGCGGACTGTAAGGGACAAGGCGGATCCCGAGGCGATTGTTCTGTGAATTGTTTTCTGAATTACTGCGCTCATGCAATGCCCGACGAGGCGGAGAGCCAGACGGTGAGACCGACATGCTCTACGCACGAGGCGACAATAACAACGGCTTTGCTTTGCAGGACATGAGAAACCCAGCAATGACTCCCAGAGATTCTTGTCCTCAATTGACAAGACAATTAACTTTGAAATCGAAATCGTAAATATCGTCGGCTGTCTGTATAGTATGTTGAATTCGGTCGGCGCCGGAGGTGGGTCAGGAACTCGGAGGCCACGGCCGGAAATCAGACGGGACGATATAAAAGAATTAAAGACCACAGCAGCGCAATGGCATGAATGAAGCACCAATTGTTCCAAAAACGACAGGATCAAGCAAATACCAGACAACCTAATACGAGACAAGCTGGGGTATCTGTCGATGGAGAGTCGCGAGGTGGATCGTTCGCGTTTCGGCCGACTGTGGGAGTGAAAAAAAAAAAACCGACTCGATCGAGAGGATTGAGTGAGCAATTAGATCGATTACCAAAAATGGAAGATAGATCCAGAGAAAGAAAAGACGAAGAAGCAACAATTAGACTAATTAATTAGGTAAATAGTGGTACCAAAGAGTGTGTTGAATATCAATATGCTGAATGAGTGACTGGCCAGCGGCCGATTAGAGAGAGTGTATGTAGGTTGGTTGGATGGAAAAGGACGAAACGTGAGAAAGAAAGACAAGAGTTGGGATCATGGGGAAGGAAGCGACGGGCGGGTAGGCAAGGTAACTTAGCTAAAAGAGCAACAGCGGCCCTCCCCATGCGACCCGGGGCAGGCCCAGCCCAGCCCAGAAAGACCTGCACCTGCCTGGGTCGAGGTCTGAGCAAGCTGTAATGGACGGGCAATATTATGTGGGTATCTTCAAACCAGCTTCTTGCTTGCTTACAAGGTACCGTCTTTGCGGTAATATTCACTAAGTATCCTAGGCCCGGACCAGACGAACAACGAGGGTATGGAACGATCCGAGCTCCCAGAATAAGCCTCCCCTTACAGAATCTCTCCCATCGGGCAGGCCTGGACGAGACACCCATCAGGGACAGACTGGGACAGATAAGACAGGACAAGACATCGGACTGAAATGAACTGGACTGTTATAATTGGACCAGTGACGTGGATTGGGCAAGCAGACGTGAACCAGTGGTTGGAAGCGCCATTGTAACAAGTCTGTAGCTAGCGGCCCTGGGATATTACCTTGCTGCAACAGGGGCTCCCCCTGCAGGCTCGGCGCGCATATGGGACCGTTGGAGCGACAGGGGGCCTGGCCTGGTCTTGTTGAACGAGACGGAGCTAACTATCAACTGGACGACCTGAGGGAGATAGGGGAGCTCTGACAGGACAGGGCAGAACAAGACTGGCTACGATCAAGGTTTTAGAAGGTTTCTGGTGCTCAGTCGAGTGAGACCAAAGCAAGACGAATCAATATGTTGAGTTCAGGAGAGGAAATCTTAGGATCTCCCGCTATATCTCGCTGTGTGCTCTGATTTGTTCTTCAAGACACCACCAACTTTGAACAACTAAACTTGGGGTTGCGTTGTTGCGGATCGGATCTGTCTGAACCGGCTGAGCTACCGGCGCTAGGGCATAAGTTCGTCTTTGAGTGTGGCTGTGTGCTGTCCAATAACCCTGTCTGCACTGTCGCAAGATGTCAATTCCGTCAATCTTGTGGAATACAGTACATAAAGACATGAGTTTGAATGGATACATTGAGGAGCAGACAAGGCCTGGAGAAATTACTGGGGATCACCTCTGCCAAGTGGCAGATCATCAATGGGTGCTTCTTCGCTGCCGAATATGCACAATACTACCTGAAAACATTCGTGAGAGCGACCAAGACATGCTTGGGTTTCAACATATGCACATACATATAGGCGACGATTATTGTGTTCTGGAATGTCTGATCGTTCGGCCTGATGAACTGCAGTCATCCACGTACTGTCCAGATGGCCTCCTAATTGGCCGTCTATGATGCTTCTTCCAGGCGCTTGTTTGACCTAGATGGCTGAATTCTCTGTGCTGGCAAAGTACATCTCTCGCTTATCAAATCTGGAGCTGATACATGTACATGTATCCGTACCTGAAAATCTGTTCCTCCACTTGTCGAGAAACAGCGCTTCTCGAAACCAAGACCTGCAGATAGATCAAAACATGCAAATCCTCTCCACTCGGCCGCCTTCGGGTCCTTCAGACGCGCATCGACAGCCATTCTTCAATGGCATCTGGCAACACAACCAGACATATAATCTTTAAGCTTTGAAGCCGCTGCAGTAGCTTTGCCGCGCGCAATTTAACATTTTCTGTGCAACGTGTCGAGCTCGCGATTCCTGCTGGCGTAAGGCGCGTTTAGTACTCTGTCTCACGCCATCCTGTGAGTCTTGCGTATGTAGACCGTCGATCTGCGTAATCCGGGACAAGGGGTGAGTGGTTACTGGCCCCAGAAGTTTTGGGCCATCTTGGAGATATTCAAATGGAGTGTTGGATATGTGCACTACAACAATTGCAGAGGCACAACTTCGTCATTGATACATACGAACACATGATGGTTTCAATCTCGAAGAAATCATGTCACAACTACCGCTCCGTTCGGCTAGATACGTTGACGTTAGCTCTGATCTTCGCGGCCTCTTTCAAGCCGATCATGTCGTCTTTAGGGGCCCTAACCCATCCATCACCGCCTCTTACCTGGCGGAACTCTTCTTCCTTTAGCACCAAAAACCTAACTAATGCAGGTACCGCTGTTCACTGGGATCCTCCTCTTGATTCATGACCTTGCCCTAGCCAAGGGAAACATTACGGCTGAGCACAGCCGACATATGTATGCACGTATGCTTGTAGGTAAGAATAGGATATCCCCTAGTCATGCACGAGTGTCGATAGGTATTTTGATCCCTTTTTTTCCCTCTTCTACAAACATAATTCCTCTTAAATGATTGGACTGATGTCACTGCTTGCATTCGTGTTTCGGTCTTTATTTGTGAGACGTTTTATACCATCTCCACATCATTTCGCTTCTTTCAATAACTATTGTACACCGCATACAATCGTGCATACAACCCCATGAAGCGATATGCAGAGTAAAATGAAGACGCGCGATGCCATGTGAATGAGAAGTGTCATTGCTATTCTTCATTAGTTTCCACCAAAAGCCTTGCATAACCTTTCTTGTTGGTCTCTATTCGTAGATACCTTACGTTACAGTAGCCAGTTTGAATGGCTAGGTACCGTAGGTACTACTAAGATACCGCGTGCATCCTTTGCGGGTTGGGTGAGATTGATTGGATAAGCAAAAAAAACCCCGCGATAGTGAACAATAGGTCTTTAGAACAATAGGGAGCAAGAGCTGGGTCCTTCTCTGGCTAGCGATGATGGTCTCTGCTCCTTGAGAATCGATTATCTTGGTCAAGTTGGTTTCGATGCCCTCCGTTTTCTTTGACAAAAGGCTCGACTCGTGATGCCAACTTGATTTGACGTTTTTGCCCCATTGAACTGTCCTTTTCACCCCTCAACCTCTCTCTGCACTCAATTTCTTACACATCCTCATCCTATAAGCCGGTCCAGATCCATCAGCAACACTTCAAAACTGAGTCTGTTTATATAATTCTGGAGCGTTACGATGTCTATTCTGAGTTTAGACGGATTCGCACCTCCTCAGGCTGTAGCCTTGCTGGTAAGCCTCTCATGCCAGATAACCCATCACTCACTCACTCAGTTGAGTCCTATAGAGCTCGTTATGCTAACTCTTACCCAAGGTTGTTTACTGTCTCATCTATGTAATCCCTCTCTACTTCTCAGCAGCAACCCGGCCTTCGCCTACACGATCTAGAGATGCTCCAGAGGCTATTCGCGCACGCATCTTCGTCGTGTCGCTCTCGACGGCTCTTTGCTCTCTCATGACGCTGTATCTGCTCTCGTCCCATGGCGCTATAGCCGTTCACGAGCCATTGCATTTCATGGGCTATTGGCCTCCAGGGCTCGTCGATGCGGCTCGTTCCCTGTGGCTCACGGCCTTGCTGTTCGCAGGTCCCCTGTATGAGTCTCTCATCATCGACGGAGCAGCACATCAATGGATTCGTCTCGAGCCCTTGAGAGATCTTTGGACTGACTGGCCCACCTGGAGAAACATGGTAGCGGTACGTGCACTTTGAAACAGTTTGATCTCGCTATAGAGATTCCTTTCATATTTTCCCTGTCAATCCCCTCGTCTATTGATCCCCACAGAGCCTCCTTCTCACACCGCTTGTCAAACCATGTATTTGTATTGATATTAACGATTTCGTAAGGGTCCCATCACCGAGGAATGTCTTTTCCGCTCCGCTGGTGTTCCTCTGCTGCTGCGTTCTGGAGCCAGCCTCACTGGCACTATATTCATGTCGCCACTAATTTTTGGTCTGGCTCATCTTCATCACTTCTACGAGTTCCGCATCACTCATCCTCGGACTCCTCTGCCTGTCGCTATCGCACGGTCTCTTCTACAGCTTTCGTATACTTCTCTGTTTGGCGCATACGCCACCTTCTTGTTCTTGCGCACTGGTAGCTTGCTGGCTGTTGTGCTCGTACACACTTTCTGCAATTGCATGGGCCTCCCACGTCTTTGGGGCCAGCTTGACCCTTACTGGCTACCAGAGGGTGATCCCAAGGTAGCCTCGTCTAGAAAGATCTGGACCGGAGTTTATTACATGCTCCTTGTAGGCGGTTTGATTGCTTGGTGGCAGAACTTGTACTCGTTGACCGAGACATCCATGGCTTTGGCCAAGTTCTAAGATTGTTTGTTTACTTGGTTAATTCATGTATTATCGCACGTGGAGACTTTATGATATATCGCATGAAAAAATGAAACAAGTCTCTCACAGACCACGTCGTGGCCCTGTCCTACAGTTTGGTAAATTGCTTCGGAGATCAAGGTGGCTCTACCTCACGTCTGTGCGTAGATGGAGCTTCTAGAGCTTCCAAAATCCCATGTTTAACAAATATTGACGTGATTGAGATCATCTGGTTCAACAGGTGACGAACCAAATCGGTGCAGTCATGCGGGGGATGCATTGAGTAGAGCTTTTATTACATCTTTGTGAAGGTTAACTATACTATGAACCGGCCATTTGGAAGCCTGGAAGAGAGCCGGGCATTGAGAAGTCGCTGTCACTACCCCTCGTGCCTCGCCGTTGCCGAATTGTTCCTCGATCCCTAATCTCTGCGTCACCACGCGCCTCTTCCTGAGGATCCCGGCTAACATCCTTACTCTTCGACCGGCCGATGGGTACGCTTCCCTCGGCCAGGCCGTCATCCGGACCTCTCGTGTTCTTCTTTCTCGGCCATAGACTTGGGAGAGCAATTTCTTGGAATCGGGGCTCAACAGCTCGCTCGTCAAACCAACGGTGGAGTCTGGACTCGACAAGCTGGGCAATCTTAGGAACATCTTGCAGTCTAGAGCGACTGCCCAGAAGACTTCGAATGGAGAAATCCAATCTATAATCGTCCAAGAAGTTGAAGATCATCCTCGTGGGTGTCGACTGAGACGGGTTGCTGGGAATAAATGAGATTGAAAGAGTACCACTGAACCTGACCACGGAAACAGCCAATGCAACAGGTAAGACAGCCGATAGCTTCTTCGGGTAGTTGAGAAGAAGTTTCGTCTCCACGGCCAAAGTTAGCATGTCACTGAGATCAACGTCCATCCGCGCTTGTAGTCGAGTGCCATCTCTCGCTGCCTTGTCGGGGTCAAACTTCTTTCCGTGGCCGAGGCTCACTCCATCTTCATCAACGGGAATGATCCGGCAGTTACTCAGAATTGGGAAGTCTTCACCAAGACTCAACTCCGTAACCCTGATCTCGTCGACAAAATCCGGCCTCGATCCTCCATTCAGAGCTTTACTCAAGGAATCAAGAATAGCATCATCATGCTGTGCATCACTGCGAAACTGCGCAATTGTTTGTCCGATGAGAACGTTAAACCAGTCCAGACTCTCGGGCTGATGACTGTCGACATTGTAGTATGTCTTGCTGAGGATAGATCCAATAGTGAGTGCCGGGGGGTTTCTAAGAACGGTAGACTTCTTGCGGTTGAGCTCCCTTTCTTGACGGTTTGCGGGGCTTCGTAGACTCAGCAAGGAGCGTTTGTGAGCAAGAGTCCGTGACCGCCTCTCGGTAGCTCGTAGGGAAGCTGTGACGTCTGGCGAAGGAGGATCTCCGAAGATGAAGAATTTTATGAAGGCGGCCAGGACCAGGACAACTGACAGCTGGCCTACAATAAGACCCTGGGTAAAAGACAGACTATTCATACCACCAGGTCAGATCTGGCCAACGATACTGATGAAGCAGTATTTTGTTCACTTACGTTGGTTCCGTCGTTTGTGGGCAGGTATCACCAGCCATGATGGCAGATCTGTATGGGACTGTCACCGGAAAGGATTTGCGTTCTCTTCTGAATTCTTAAGCCTTGTAGTTTGAGTCGATTACTCAGGCAAAAGTTAGCAGTATATCGACATTTTCTAGCCAATCTTGTTGGTTGATGTCACCGAACATAGTAGCTTTCTCATGATGAGGGCAATGGTGGTTGGAAGTGGGTCCACTCCCGGAGCTGTGCTGTAACTTAGCTTTTGTGTTATGTAATCACACTTGACGTCGATCTCAGAGGTGTCCTCCCTTGTTAGCCTAGTAGTCTACCTGGGCGAAGTGAGAAGAGCAAGCATCAACGAGAACAGCTTTGAATCACGGATTTAATTGTCTACTATCATTGCCCTCATATAACTCATGTACACCTGAGGTTTTGCCACAAATCTGCATAAATACGACCAAACTATAGCACATTACGCGGCCTCAGCGAGCCGCACCAACTATCACCATGGACGTCGCCCAGGCGGTCTCAGGATACATCAATAAGGTGGTCGCGACGAGCGATACGTCGTCCGCCAGGATGAAAATTCTCCTACTTGACAGGGAGACTGTTCACATCGTGTCAACTGCCGTCACCCAGTCAGCTCTCCTCAACCATGAGGTTTATCTTATCGACCGCCTAGACAATGCATCTCGTGAGAAGATGCGACACTTGCGATGCCTCTCCTTTGTCCGGCCATCGCCTGAATCAATCCAGCTACTCATAGATGAATTGAGGGATCCCAAATATGGCGAATATCATTTGTACTTCACAAATGTAGTCAAGAAGTCATCTTTGGAACGGTTGGCTGAGGCAGATGATCATGAGGTGGTCAAACTGGTGCAAGAGCACTTTGCCGACTACACAGTCATCAACCCGGACCTCTTCTCATTCGGCTTCACTCTACCACAACAGCGCATATGGGCCGGGAACCCAGACACTTGGAATCCTGACTCGCTCCAGCGGTGCGCACAAGGTCTCATCGCCGTACTGCTGTCGCTCAAGAAGAAGCCATTAATTAGATACCAGAAGACCAGTCCGCTAGCCAAGAAGCTTGCATCAGAGGTTCGATATCTTATGACACAAGAAGACTCATTATTCGATTTCCGAAAAGTCGATACCCCTCCCATTTTGCTCGTGCTGGACCGTCGCGAAGATCCAGTGACACCGCTGCTCACGCAATGGACATATCAGGCTATGGTCCACCACCTCTTGGGTATTCAGAACGGACGCGTCAATCTGAGTGATGTTCCGGATATCAGCCCAGAGCAGAAGGAGATTGTTCTATCACAAGACCAGGACCCGTTCTTCAAGAAAAACATGTTCCTGAACTTTGGTGATCTTGGAGGTAACATCAAAGAATATGTTGGGCAGTTTCAGTCCAAAACGAAGAACAATGAGAATATCGAGTCAATATCCGACATGAAGCGGTTTATCGAGGAATACCCAGAATTTCGAAAACTCTCTGGCAATGTCAGCAAGCACGTTACTTTGGTGTCAGAGCTCAGCAGACGCGTGGCAGCCGATAACCTGCTCGAAGTCAGCGAGTTGGAACAAAGTCTGGCGTGCAATGATAATCACGGAACTGATGTTAAGGTGCGATTCTTTTTATGAGTAATCTGGCCACATACTGACCCATTTGCAGAATATCCAGCGACTTATCCAGTCGCCAAACGTCACGCCGGAGAGCAAAGTAGGCCTCGTTGCTTTGTACGCTCTCCGTTATCACAAGCACCCGTCAAACGCCTTGTCCATGCTTACTGATCTTCTCGTTGCTGCTGGAAACGTGTCCCCGCGAGACGCAGACATGGTTAGCAAATTGACAACATTTCACACATCTCTCCAAGCGTCACAGTCTCAGGGTGGAATTTCGGAGATCTTCGAATCGGCTGGCATTTTCTCTGCTACCTCAAACCGCTTCAAGGGCCTTAAGGGCGTGGAGAATGTTTATACGCAGCACAGTCCACTTCTTGAAACTACTCTGCAGAATTTGATCAAGGGGCGACTCAAGGATCAACAATATCCTTTTGTTGAGGGCGGCGGTTCTACCAAGGATAAACCACAGGATATCATCGTGTTCATTGCTGGCGGTGCAACTTACGAGGAGGCCAAGATGATTGCGGAACTGAATGCGTCCAGTCCAGGCGTTCGTGTTGTTCTGGGTGGTACCACGATTCACAACTCAGCGACGTTCCTAGAGGAGGTGGACGATGCTGTTGGTTCATGGCCTGAGAGCCGAGGTAGAAGGTAAAGACACTGGTCAGATGTGACACTTGTTTATTTTAGCGTTTATGTTTTCAGAAATCTTATAATGGACGATACCGGTCTCAATCAACTACTGGTTGTGCAACCACTCTTGAACAATGACTCTTGAGTGCCTAGTATGTTTGCAATCACATGACGTAGCATTGGCCGTAGCATCTATGGTGTTGTGCAGTAACTATATCATATATAGAAGTCATATTTGTGGTTACGGTTTGTAGGCAGTTACCCGTTGAACTACCTCCTTTCCTTTAATGGGCTGCGCTTAGTCTTAGCCCCTTGGTATCAATATCATAGCATCTTTTGCGCCCGTCAGGCATCTTTGGGCTCATGGAACTTCCATTGCCTCCTCCAACACATTGCGAGTAGGCTTCCGTCGAACGTATGCCAGCAGACGTAAGCTACCCGACGGAGTCACACCCTCGACACGCCTGGCCTGCGCCAGATTCTCCGGCTTCGCTACCCTAAGCGCTTCCTTCTCTGACAAAGCAAGGCCTGGGATCCTACCATAGTCGAGGTCGAGAGGGATGCGCACGCGCTCGTCGTTCGTGAACTGTTTCCGTTCCACTTCGGCGATCTTGATGTATGGCGCATAAAATGCCTCGATTGCGACACGGTTTCGTATACGTGGTGAATAGTCCATGATACTTGGTATGACTGATGCAAGCTGCGCGAGCTCGATACGTGTGTTCGTGCTTGAGAGGCGGAGCATGTCGATGCCATCGCGGCGGGTCGTGTTACGTTTTACATGAAACCCCTTTTCGATCCATTCCGTTGGGCTCAGAGACACCGACTGCAACGCTTTCGTAAGATCGTCGATTTGTTGTCGCTCATCTCTATAGCTATTCCAGCGCTGTTCGGATATAGCGCCCCATTCATGGCCCTTGGCTGTCAGTCGGAAATCGGCATTGTCGGCACGTGCTGCCATGCGGAATTCACTACGTGAGGTGAACATTCGGTAAGGCTCCGTGACGCCTTTGGTTATAAGATCATCCACCAAAATCCCGATATATCCATCACTTCGTTTGAGTGAGACCCCTGGAAGATGCTGGGCTGAGCGGCCTGCGTTAATGCCTGCGAGGATACCTTGACCAGCTGCCTCCTCGTATCCAGTTGTTCCATTTATCTGTCCCGCGAGGTACAACCCACTGATTGCCTTTGTTTCTAAAGTTGACTTCAGCCCTCGGGGGTCAATATAGTCATATTCGACACCGTACCCAGGCTGAAGCATCTTTGAGTTCTCGAGACCTGGTATCGTGCGCAAAACCTGTTCCTGGGCCTCAGCAGGAATGGTCATAGACAAGCCATTCGGATAAATGACCCCGCTGTCAAAGCCCTCTGGTTCAAGCCACACGATATGTCGAGTCTTGTCGGCAAAGCGAATGACCTTCGATTCTAATGAAGGACAGTAGCGTGGGCCTCTGACTGTCTCTCGGATATGAATCGTCTTATCAAGGTTGTCGCGTACGATGTCGTGTGTCTTCTCGTTTGTATACGTCACGCTGCAAGTGAGTTGTTCTTGCACCGCTACTGTATCGTTGAGGTAACTAAAGGGTGATGGTGGGTCATCGCCATATTGCCTTTCCAGAACATTGTAGTTGATGCTCTCCCGCTCGATTCGAGGAGGTGTTCCCGTCTTCAGTCGTCCTAGCTGGAAGCCTGCATCGCGTAACGATTTGCTCAGACCAAACGTCGCTGCCTCACCAAGCCGACCGGCAGGATACGCATTGAGGCCGATATGGATCTCGCCACCGAGGAATGTTCCGGTTGTTATGATGACCTTGCTCGTTGGGAGGATCTGGCCTGACTCGAGACGTACTCCAGCAATACGACTTGAAGCCCCGTCCATGGCATCCTGTGGTGTAAGGACAATGTCCGACACGCTGTCGAGTACGATCGATAGGTTCGGGTACGAAGTGAGTTCGGCCTGCATGTGTTTCTTGTAGAGATCGCGATCGATTTGCGCCCGTGGACCCTATTCCGTACACGATTAGCCATCGACATCCATCTACTGCCACCAAGTCGAGCTGACATACCCAAACAGCTGCACCCTTTCGTCTATTCAATGTGTGGAATTGTACACCGGACTTGTCGATGATCCTGCCAGCCAGTCCATCAAGCGCATCAATTTCACGAATGATTGTACCTTTACCGATACCGCCGAAACTCGGATTGCAGGAACATGTTCCTAAATTATCAATCTTTGGAGTGACCAAGGCCGTTCGTGCTCCAGCTCTCGCAGCAGCAGCACATGCCTCGGCGCCAGCATGGCCACCTCCGATTACCACGACATCATAAGGCCTATGGCAGTATGTTAGCAATAGTCTCCAGCAGATGCCATGGTAAGGAATTAGGGCCATGTGAAATCAAGCTGACTCACTTTGAATCGTTAGAGACTGTCGCGAGGCATCGTCGCCTCGTAATTGACCAGTGGTGCCGTAAAATGGCTGGCCTGGGTCTTAGCAATGAACGCATTTCATGTCGTTGAAGTCGTAAAATTTGCCTCCATGATGGATGGCCAATGTTTGAATTTGCTTATACTGGATTGGACCCCCAGAAAGGAAGTAGACATGCGCTAAACTGATGGGCCAGTAAAAACTTTCCAATGGAACACAGAGACTACAGGGATCATGTATAGCGATTCGACTACCATCAACAATTACTCTGAAAACCAAAAACAACATCAGTACAGAGCACAGAGAAGACAGCTGGATGACTATAGAGTAGACATGATAGCTAGTATTAAGATTGAGACTATCGGGTATTACCACGTTTCAAAGCCAAAGATACTCCTCTGCCATACCTTATTAAGGAGTAAGTCTTGACAGAGTTCACTACCCTATATCGATATCCGATTACTCCCATTAATGGTAGTATATGTCGAAGTCCATGTAACCGGTTCTGAAAGATTCTGTCGACGGAGGAATTGAGGAGCGCAATACACGACGAGTCACACTCATCTTTGTTGAGATCCATGGGAGCCTTCTGACCATTTGCTGTTAAAGCCTATTTCTCTTTGTAGAGTTTGTGCACTGATAACTGGAAAGAAATTGTCCCCATGGCAGCTGCCTTATGGAAGGCGCTGGAAATGACCGAGTCGGCCGTCGCCCTCGGCAGCCACTGTCAACGCCTGCACCACCTGACAGATCCATTATCAAAGGGACGTGTCCAAACACAACCCGACTGGGACCCGCCTGGTTACGTCTTGAGATGGACGTATCCTGCAACGCCACGATTTCTACGCGGGAAAGGTACTTCAAGGTTCAAAGGCGCTGCCTGTGTGTAAGTCGTATCCCTCATGGGGTAATTAATTAGAAAAGCCATGGCTGTAGGCAAACGTCATCATCTTTCCTCAAATCATTAGACCGTGAACAGGCAAGCAGTGGGGAACAAGGTACTCGGGATACAATGAGCATTGCACTGACGGTGGAGGTATGGATCGCCTTGGACAACATTGCAGCTGGTGTAACCTGGGACTGATGTCTATTTCGCTCCAGGCCTTCCTAGGTAGATCTTAGGCGCGCTGGTCAAACATCATCAGAAGGAATGACGCGACCCCACGTGACCCCGCGCTGTGTTTGTCTTAGAGACAGGGATTAGTTGACAGGGATAACTGATTTAAGACGACTGACTGGTCTTAACTTAACGACATCCAAGAAACAACCGTGAACCTTTCAGAAATAGAAAAAAATCACTTTCATAACCGTCTCCCGAAACTCAGTCGATCTGGCCGGAATCTTGCCCTGAAAACCGCTGGCGCCAAAACACCAAAAATGGCTGGGTCTCGCCAAGATCCCCTCGAATTGGGGAGTGATATGGACGAAGACGAGGCGTTGAGCTATGCAATCGCCCTTTCACTTCAGGAACAAGAGGTCCAAGACGAGCAGAGTTCGCAGATCCCGAGCGCCTCAACCTCAACATCTCGCCGGAACGGGGATGGTTCGGGCGGGGCTGGCCTCGGTTTGTTGTCGTTCGATCGCAAGAAGATGGAAGAGGAAAGGCTGCAGAGGTTAGCCAAGCGGCGCCGCTCCCCTACTGAGGACGAAGATGTTGTAGAGGTTCCTCCGCCAAAGAGAATGACACCATGTTCTGAACCACCCCGGACTGTAGCTGGATATCTGGCGCCAATCCTGCTGCAATATCCCAAAGGTGCTATCAAAAGAACATGGGCGAAAGGATATCCTCGGACGTCAGAAGACATAAAGATCGAGGAGATCTTTCAGAAGGACAAACTAGAGCTTGCTCTACTGAGCTCGTACCAGTGGGATGATGAATGGCTCGTATCCAAACTGGATTTGAGAAGGACCAAGTTACTCCTCCTGGCATTTGCCGACAGTGAGGCCCAGGTGTGTGTCAATCACTAAACCTGACTCGTTCGGGATATCCCTCGCTAAAGTCCTCGAATTGGACAAGACCCAGAGAAGCTGACGAAACCTGCCACAGAAATCAGAGATGCAATCCAATGCGCCACCGGGCATCAAGTTCGTCTTTCCGGCAATGAACGGGCCTGGGGCGATGCATTCCAAGCTGCAGCTGCTAAAGTACCCCGACTATCTTCGAGTTGTGGTCCCAACAGCCAATCTAGTCCCTTATGACTGGGGTGAGACTGGCGTCATGGAGAACGTTGGTCGTCGAACCTAGGCGCTTTAGATGGCGCTGAAGACGAGAACTCGCTAATGGTTTGTACAGATGGTCTTCCTGATCGACCTTCCTCGACTAAAGAACTCCCCGACTCATCGGCCAACCGCCTTCAGTACCGAGCTCGGCCGATTCCTGTCAGCAACTGGCGTTGGCGAGTACATGGTGAGCAGCCTCACAAACTACGACTTCTCGCAAACGAAGCACCTTGGCTTCGTGTATACCATGTAAGATCCTGGCCTGCTGATCATATTCGGACCCGCAGTTGCGAAGGAATTTGCTGATATCGAAATCTAGCCCGGGTGGACATCAAGGAGAATCGCTGAAGCGAATAGGTAGTGAACATACATGTACTTGATGATTTTCATGGAATCATAGCTCACGTCGTACAGGATACAGCGGGCTGGGCACCAGTGTGGCTTCCCTCGGACTAGCCACCGACGACCCAATCGAGGTCGACTTCGTTGTGGGTGCCATTAAAGCCGCATGCCAGTCTAGAGAGCACTGATTCTGACCATAGGTGAACCATTACTCCAGTGCGCCTCTCTCGGATCTCTCAACTACGACCTGGTAGGCGCAATTTACAACGCATGTCAAGGTAAGGAGATCGATACTGTGCAACCACCTTTAGCAGTCAACCCCACACATGTTACTAGATTCTGATGATGTGGTCTGACAAGTGATAATTTACAGGAGACGATGGTCTGGCCGAGTACAAGTCGAGAATGGGTCGGACAGGCAAAAACAAGGCGTCGAATCCATGGCAAGACAAGCTAAAGGATCGTTTCCGAATATATTTTCCGACCGACGAGACAGTTGGCAGGAGTCGAGGTGGGCGCAATGTAAGTGTGCAGCGTTGTCCCAGTGTCTGTAAATTGCAGATCTCGAATAACTGGGGAATCCTCACATGCGAAAAATCGAGCAAAAGAAATGTACTAGTCAACGCTAACCTCTGAGGGCGCTGATGCAGGCTGCGGGCACCATCTGTGTCCAGCCCAAGTGGTGGCGCTCGCCAACCTTCCCCACCGAGCTTGTGCGGGACTGTGTTAACACCAGAGATGGGCTTTTGATGCACAGCAAGATGATCTTGGTATCCCAGACGGAAGCGGGAAGTCAAAGTCAATTGCAGACGCGACCGCAAACGCGATCGGATCCGCGGGGACGCGAACAGGTGCCGGCTCGCACCCCCGCGGAGCCGAAAGCGGCAAGTATGTCTCTTGGCTGGGTTTACATTGGCAGCGCAAATCTGTCAGAGAGCGCATGGTGAGTGAGACCCTAACTATGAACCAACCCACTGTCTGTGAACTGGCCCCCTGCCCATCCCACCTCATCCTGTAAGACATGGGGAGACTTGAGACAACAAGGCAAGAAGCGAGCATCAACGGTCGATGCAATGGTGCGGTTGCGTATCTGTAGTGCCAAATTAGCTGCCTCTTAAGGATGTTTTGAGAAGCACTGGCACGAAACGGTGACGATCATATGAATCTAATGCTGACGGTTGCGGGTGTTATGCACCAAACAGGGGCCGAATTGTCAAGGACCGAGCAACAGGACAGCCCAAGATGAGTTGTCGCAATTGGGAGAGCGGCGTCGTAGTGCGAGTTGGCAGCCGCAAAAGCAGTAGCACTGTCTCCAGCAGCTTCAGTGAGGGCGCCAGCGCCAGTATTAAGGTCAAGGCGGCGGCAGAGACTCAGGCACGGCCATCAGCGCAGGCGGGGAAGACATTGAGGGAGCCGGACAAGGGATGTGATACGAGTCAACAAGATCATCACGTCAAGAAGCAGGAACAGAAACAGCAACAGAATGATAATGTCGCGAACACAGACGTTGACATGGAAATGGTATTCGAGGGCACAGTCCCAATACCAATGCGACAGCCAGGACGACGCTACCGCGAGGGTGAAGAGCCATGGTTTTACAGTATGCAGGGCTGACGGGGGAGCGCGCGCTGTCACATTGCGCACGTGTAGGACTTTTGGGGGTTAGAGAATGGTCGAGAATGAGAAAAGAAGATGATAATGCTAAGAACGGCAGTTGTTGGCGATGACCCTGTCTCGCCTGTTGAAGATCTAATTATGATGTTGTCTTGAGGAGTCGTTAACAGCAGTAGTAGGTGTGATGGTCGTTGGCCTCTGCGTATCTGCACAGCACAGATCCAGGTTTCGGGATCAGTTGAGGACATGTGAATGGCTCATAAGCGATGGTCCATGCAAGGCGTAGTATTGGTATCCGTAGAGTAGTATTATTAGGAGAAGAAGACATACGTAATTGGAAGATAGTATCGGTGTTGATGGGATAGGTAGAGATGGGATGCGATGTGGTTGATGGATACAATTCCAAGTTGGGAGTTGTATGATGGATCCGTACGGGCGGCGGAGGGTTCCAATTACCCAGCCTACCTATAATTTCAGGGCATCCAACAGCCGTGAGCAGGGGGTGGTTTTGGGGTTTGGGGGACTAGACGGGGAATCCGTTTGCAAAGATAGCTCGGTACTTGGCGGGCTGACAGTAAACCCATGCGCAGGGCATGCAGGATGGTCTTAGCTATGACACACGATTACAAAAGCCAATGGGAGAATCCCACCCAATGAGAAGCTGAAGTGCCGCCTTGTCGGCTCTCCCACTTTCCCACTTTGGTCCTGAACAAGCAAGAGCAGGGGTGGAATATGGATCAGGCCAATCACGGAACAAGGCAGAGATGGCCTGCAGGACGGCAGGTGCATCATCAAATCACCATGGAGGAAAAGGTACCTGGATAAAGGAACATGTGGAGAAGACTACAGGTGCCTTGGCACCTACTCGAGCACTAACAGCGTCGCAGTCCCACGAAAGACAGGCACCAAAGCCAATGCCGGAGGTCGCTGCATACCATGTCCATGTCCATGTCCTTGGCCATGTTCGTTTTCATCATTCAAAGATTTTCTTTCTTTCCTTTCCTTCCCTAGGCCTAGACTATCCGTACTTCTTTCCCTTTCCCCTCTAAGCACAGGGCATCCATACCTTGCAGCGTTGCGGTTTCGACTTTCTCCTCGCAAGGCAAGGCAAGGCAGGACAAGGCGCAGGCGCAGGGTTCTTACCCAGGACAGGTAGGGCAGGGACTTAATTAACAAGTGCCTTAATAAACTGGGCTGAGCTGGCTGTCGGTCCGGGGACAGACGGATAGACATCCATACATGACTTTGGAATCAATCCATCATCCCAGCACACAGGTACGCATACATTGAACCCATAGGGCAATCAATCTGTTTGACTTTGACTTTGTAGATAGATGCCCGTTGGTAGTCTTGGGGTTCCCGCGTAGGTTTCAACGTTAGTGAACCCTCGACCAGGATACGTACCGCATCGCAGAACTCAATTGACGCGCGGCAGGATGAGGCACTCTACTGTACCGGAAGCCTGAAAGTGAGCTAAGGCGAGGCGAGGCGAGATGAGACGAGTCCATCGAGACAGAAAAAAACTAGAGTAACGAGAGGCAGGGATCAGCAAGACACCACCAACTCCAAGAACACGATCAAGGAGAAAATATGAAATCACTGACCTAACTAACTGCTGCAACTAAATTAATTCGCTGTCAGTCAATGCACCACCTGCGGGCTACGGCATGTTCCTGTGTATGTAGACAGGAAGTAGTTGCATGCTATGGCCGTTTTTAGATGGGCTTGGGCTTGGGCTCCAATCTTTCCCAAGTCCAAGTCCAAGTCCAAGCTTGCAACGGGGAAATCGGAGGGACCTTTGTCCAAGACCAACCAACACCCCTTCTTCCCTTTTTTTTATATTTTTTTTTTACAGTAGCTGCACTTGACACTTACTGGTCTTTGCTTTTTTCCCTCTCTTCTTCTTGTTCTTTTACGTATGTAGATCGATTCTACAGCGCAGAGACCCTAAACTAAACTAAAACATGGAGCAAGCGAGCGACATGCAGTTTTGAGTCTGCGTCTGCGTCTGACCGTTCTGTGCCGTAATTGCCTTGATATCATTCGTACACAGGTACGGAGCATAGCCGCTATGGATGGATGGGTGGTACAGTACCTTTGGTGCCTGTACAACATCCAAGGCGTGTAAGACGGGAGACCCTTAAATGATCTTCACTAAGGTTTGGACATTTTGAGGGGGGTGCTTGGCTGGAGTGAAGTCAGGCAAGGTGAATTGAACTTGGTTGAATCGAATCAAACCGAGTGAGTGAAGTTGTCTCAGGCAAGGCACGTGCTTGGGAATTGATGCCGTCCGTACCCAAGTTATCTTACGAAGCTGCAAACGCAACCTCACTAACCACTTGTCGCGCGCACGCACCAACCATTGACCCATTTCCTTGTCTCGTCTCGTCTTTTTTTAATTCTGGATCATCATCAGGCTAGTAACGTAAACTAGTAACGTCGAGTCCTGTAGAGGCTAGTATGTACTGTACTGCAACGATACCGGTAATGTATTACCACCACAGTAATGTACGCAGATGGCATGGAACTTGGATCGTGCGGTATGGGTGCACGGAAAATTGAGACCGAAGGTATTGAAATGAAGTACCTCCTATACGTACCCGAGAATAGAGAGAGATGGAGAGAGAGAAAAAGATGGAGAGAAGAACGCTTGCGTGGGAGTTAGCCTGTGTTTCTGCATGTATTCTCACCTCTGACGCTTGTCTGACTCTATTTTTGCTGTGGATGGATGCAACAAAATCGACATTGTGCAGAAACACGAATGCCGGAAACAAGAAGGAGAGCACAATCGCAATCTCGCAACCCGGTTACAGCAGAACAGAGCAGCAATAAGAAGCGTACCCTGCAATGTACGTTAACGTAATGTACAGTAGTGCTATAAACTAACCCGAGACAGCGTTGCCGTCGGGGGCTTGGGGCCGGCGTCGGAAGTCTCGGCCGTCTCCGGGGTTCCGGACGGGGAGGGGTTTCTCCTGTCTTGATTGATGATGGTGATAAGTTGACTGACTGTTAAGAAGACTTGGACTTGGATTTGAAGTCATGACCATCAATGGCCATGAACCATGACATGCACCATACCCAAGATAGTTAATAAATCCCATGAGATCCCATCCCATCCCATCCTGTACCATACCATGTAGGTTGGATAGGCAGGGCATAGCCATGATACCTATGCATAGACTAGCCATAGCGGATTTTTTACCCTCTTGACGTGCGACGCAGCGCTGCGCAATGCAATACAATGCAATGTACTCAGTAGAGATGGCATTTGTCCTCTCAATGGCAGTAGCAGTCAGTACGCACTCACGGTGAGGGGCGGTACTAACATTAACGCGACATGTTAGGAATGAAGGTGGATTCGTGGCGTTCAGGGCCCCCCAGCAGAAAGAATCGGCCAAATGTTGACAGAAGTCGAGTAGGGAAGTGATGTGATTTGTGGTGGTAGTGGTGGTGCTTTGGCCTTCTTTCTCTCTCATTCTTGTGGATATCAGAACATCCAATATCAGAAAATAATGGAGGGGTTGAGATGTCCTGAAAGAGAGGCATCCAATGACAGGGACTTGTCTTTCGGCAGTTGCGAAGAGTCGCCGAAGAAAGGCATTATTCCGACCGAGTCTTCAGTTGAAAACAAATCAAATGAGACCTATCACCTACATACTTGACCCTTATCGAGATAGACGACAATAACTGTGATGGCATATTCTCATCAAAGAACGGCATGGTGCGTCACTGTTGCATGAGGAGACTCGAGAGGAGAAGGGCGTGTTGAGAACTAGCCGCAGGGTGTGTGATAATAAAAGTGGGCCTTCCTTCCTCGTCCCCCAGGCCCAGGGACAAGGAGCAAGAAGAGAGAGCAGAGCAGAGCAACGAGAGTGGGAGAAAAACAGAAAGAGAGAGGGGTGTCAGCTACGATACAATAGATGCAATGATGACAATCTTGTTTAGTACGATACAAGGAGGGAGAGTATCCAAGGAATTGATTTCTGTAAAATATCTTTAATCAAGGTACCGGGCAGAAGGTGGGTTCTAAGTTCTCGCCAGCTCCCGACAGCTTGGAGACTACAGACAGGGTTCGATCTTTTGATCTAGACGGTAGACTTAGAGAGTTTCTTTTAATTGAAAAAATGAAAAAAAGGTTTGATCCCCAGAGATATTGAATTCTTCTAGAGTGAGACAGAAGACAAGAAGACAACCATCCCCAGATTTCAGGTACGGATCATACGGTATCCTAAGACAACCAATTGATCCGCCAAGTCCATTCTCTTTGCATTCAACAACAACAACATCATCATTCTCTCTTTCCTGCCTTCTTCTCCTCTCGGCCGCAAGCCACCACAACCACAACCACAAACACACCACCCTCATCAGCAGTAGTAGGCGTACGAGTAGTAGCATCATTTATGGGACGTGCTTGGACTTGCCATGCCCCTTTCGAGTTTGAGGAGAGGAGGGGGTGGAGTTGAGAAATTCGAGAGACACCTACACCTGCCCAGGTAGGTACCTAACGTACCGAAACAGTACGTAGGTGGTTCGGTACCTTCCTCGATCCAATGTCGGGTGGGCAAGACAACCTACTAGACAAGGGTCAGGCGTTCCATAGACAGTAGGCGAGCTCAAGGTAAGGCAAGTGCGGGCAAAGGGTGTATAACCCCGAGGTGTCAGAAATAATTGACAACTGAGCCGTGGAGAAAGAATAATTCAGTCATTTGACCCCTGTTTAAGCGGGGCTTCTGTCTATCTCCTTCCATCACCCCAGCATTTAGGAATAGGCTTTATGTCACTTGCCAACATGGAAGGCTGGGTCCACTCAGCTGTACCCCCACTAATTAATGCCCGTATGCTGCGGAATCACTTACACCAGATCGATTCCCAAGCCCCCGTCAGGGTATCCAATGAATTAGCCCAAGAGACGAAATAATTCGGCCACCTCATGCCGGTTTAGATTAGAATTTAGACAGCTTTATTTTGGCGCCCTGTGATTTGGAGGATAATTTTTCTGCTACCGAGTAGGTCCCGAAGGATGCTTGGTTTGTGGCGCCTGGCGTCTATAGAGTTCAAGTTGCGCGCTTGTTGAGCAAGCTCGATCTGTCACCAAATACACTTGTTTCTTCCATGGAATAGCATATAAGAACAAGCATCCCCCCGTCTAAACCAAAATAGTTCAATTTCCTCCCCCCTTCACCAACACATGCTAACACACATGTTTACACACACAAATACACAAACAATCACAGAATCACAGAATCACACAAGCAGCCATTCAAATATGGCAAGCTCAGCACCACTGTCCCCTACTTATTCAGGGTTCATCAGCACTACTCTTGATGCCGCCATCATCATCGAAGCCTGTCTTTCTGGTCGACTCAACCATGTTGCTCGCCGTCCCCATGACCGGGAACGCCAGCAACTAATCCAGAGCGGGAATGTTTTTGTGTACGAGGAATTGGCCTCGGGAATCAAACGGTGGACAGACAGCGTCGCATGGAGCCCAAGTCGGATCTTGGGTAACTTCCTGATATATCGGGAGCTGGAGCAGCCATTTGCTCCAGGGCAGAAGAAGCGATCAATCAAGAAGGGCGGCAAGAAGCAAGGCGGTATCACAAAGTCCCACAACCAACGACCCAGAGCCGATAGTTTGCCTATCCAACCCATCAACAGCAACGGCCAACCGATGGTCGACGAAGACCGAGAACTAATAGGTTCACTCGTCGACTCCTACGATTTCAAGGCTGGTGGTCTCGTGAAGAAGACCATTAGTGTTAACTACAAGGGCATCGCTCATCACCTTGTCAGCTACTACAGCATCGAAGATGTCAAGGCCGGACGTCTTATTCCACCCTCACAGCACTCCGACCTCCGACGAGTAGTTCCTCGCCAAGAACTCATCTCTCAACCGACCTATCGCGAACCCGCCGTGACTGAAGAGTATGCACAATACAACACTCACGTCTGGTCACAAACACGTGACACAATACCACGTGAGAGCCTACAACTCCTTCCGCAACATGGACTGCACAACTACATGGACCACCAGTACTTTGCATTGGGGAACCATTATGCTCCTGACCCTTCTGCTTCAGCGGCCAACTATGCCACTGCCCCCGTCTATTCTGCCGGACCTGTCTATGCCGGCGGGACTAACTATTCTCACGGGTCTGCCTATGCTCCCGGTCCCAGCTCCGGCCCCGGCTCCGGCCCCAGTCCAGGCTCCGCCTATGCTAATGGCCCCACCCCCGCTAATGGCCCTGCATACACTCAAAGTCCAGCGTACACTCAGAGTCCCGCTTACAATCAGAGTCAAGGCCCGGGTTTTTACTTTCCATAACCTTTGACGTTATGCTTTTTGTCTGTATTACTATTATGACTATTAATACAACTTTTTAATGACCCCTGGCTATGCTTGCTATCCATGTGACTGAAACAAATCAAGTGAGATTATACCACACTCCTCTTAGGCTTCGGCCACGGAAACAAAGCAGCCTATGGGTTGGCCTAGGTTTGCACAAGGTAACTGAACTATTTCGTCTCTCGAGTTTCTAGCGGCTGGCTCTTCTGACATCCTGACGTCGGTGTAATAATGTACTTGGAAACTGATGCAACGTGGTGCGACGTGCCTATCTACTAGGTAAGTAGCCAAGATAACTTGGTTTTCACCATCGGTACTTACTTCTAGAACAAAAGTAACTGCAGAATTTAAATCGCAATTGAGTATCTTAAAATACAATTATACAAATACGTTTCAGTGCTTAACGATAATAAGAATAGAATTTCTATTCTACCTTCTGTCAACATACGTCAATGGCATCTTGTCTTTTAGTACTTCTTTAAGCGAGTTGTTATTCATCTAGGCGGGGTTCTGGGGTCTTTAACGGGTCTTTTGTATCGCCAAACTTTAGCTACTCCATCATCGGACGGACGGTACTATCTTGGGCGACTTCGAGCGATTAACGACAGGGTCTGGGCAGCGCCCTATTTCCAGTAACATCGAGCCAAGCGCAGTGATGAGTCTATCCGCGAGATTGGCTTACCGGGCCACGATAAGGTGTGGTGCAAGTTCAAGGCCTGCTCTGAGATTTGCGCCCAGACATACGACACCGACAGCATATTCACGAAATCTCTTCTTCACAAAGACGCGATCATGGCAAGAGAATAAGGAGCAGCAAAAGCATTTGGACGAGAAGAGTCCCAAGTGAGTGCGGTATAAGCGACTTGGCTGACTGCATCTGACTGACCCGGCGTCCAGAACGCAACCTCCGTCATCACAAGATGTTACGCCCTCACGACCCGCCGAAGTGCTCCACGAAGATATCTACACGCTGCCCAATATTCTGACCTTCACACGTCTCGCTGCCGCCCCGGTCATTGGATACCTGGTTTTGCACGATCAACATGCGTGGGCAGTCGGTCTCTTCGCATATGCAGGCATTACAGATTTGCTTGACGGATGGATTGCCCGACGCTGGGATAGCAAGACTGTCGTGGGCACAGTGATTGACCCCATGGCCGACAAGATGCTCATGACCATCTTGACTATCTGTCTTGCTGCCAAGGGTGCTCTACCCAGTGCGTTCCTCTCCCGTGCTAAGCTGTTGTCGCAACTCAAAAGCTAACATACGAAAAGTCTGGTGCGCTGGGATTATCCTCGGCCGCGATGTCGGTCTTGCCATCTCTGCAATCTACTATCGCTGGATCTCATTACCGCCGCCTAAGACATTTGCCCGATACTGGGACTTTTCACTTCCCTCGGCTGAAGTACGCCCCACGACAATCAGCAAGTACAACACATTCTTGCAGCTTGCTCTGGTCGGAGTCACTACCGCTGCACCCATTATGACCGCAGACTTGACATCTGCATTGACGATCATGCAGTGGGTTCTATTATTCAAGGCTGTGTAGGATCACCGCTAATGTTAACTAGATATGTTGTCTCTGCCACTACCATCTGGAGCGGAGCGAGCTACATTTACACAAAGGATGCTGTCAAAATTCTTAATAAACAAACACCAAAAAAGCCATAGGTTTAAATATCTTTGCAATGAAAGATTGTGGCAGACGGTGAGAAACCACGATGGAAACGGCCTCGTTACTTAGCCAAGTTTGGCTCAGACTCACCAGTAGAGCCAAGGTTTTAACATAAACCACCAAGGAAAGAGGGACAAAAGGGAACAAAGAGGCTTCAATATCACTAAGTGCGGCCCGTAACGTTAAGCTTGACGTGTTATGTGCACCCTCTTCTTGGACCTGTCAAGTCCAGAGCAAAGTCTGGGTTTCACGTACTTTATGATTAACGGTCTACAACTTACTGTAGATGTGACGATGCCGCTTAGATAAAACATACTTTGCAGGACCACATTATATATATCCCTTGTCGTTCCATATGGACAGCTAGATCCGTCGAACCTGACTTCGTGTCGTCTGGCATGGCTACTCTAACTTACACAACTAGCACGAGAAGCCATGACAATGACTAATAAATAAATGGTATCCGAACAGTCACATACGAAACAATAGTTTAGCGGAAGCAATAGGTGTGAGTAGGTACTTCTGGTATTTGTATTTGTTCTATAATATCCTATACACAGAAAGCGAGTAAGGCTCTCATCATAATCCAAGCAACGCCCGAAATATCTTCGAGTATCGCCCCAGGGACTCAAGACGGCCCAACTACATTTGAAGGTTGCAGAGAATCAATCTCGTTTACCAACCTCCAACCCACTCAACGTCACCGAGATCGGCGCGTCTATCCCGACGCCAATTCCAATCTCTGCCCTTGTTCCAGGGACATTCCTTGCTGTTAGACCGTTCTTTAGCGGCCCCAAATTTATGATGATAATTAGAATGATCCCAAACGCCCGCTTCGTAAGATTTGTTGTATCCAAAACCAAAATTGTGTCGTCGGGGCTTAGAAAATTCCACCGACTTAATAGAATCCAAAGTAGCAGCTTGACCACGGCGTCGCTCGCCCAAAGCCGCCCACTTATCCATAGAGCTTCGCGGCTTAGACATAGGAGAATGAGAATAATGAGGTGTGATGGTGATGTGTTGAGTCTTGGGCGCTGGTGCCTCTTGGAAAAAGAAGCCGTCAGCGACCAGGTCATCATCGACATCGCCCTTGATGTCATGGGCATGCGACGCTGGTCCAAGCTCAGGCTCAACGATGTCGATCGTCTCGACCTCCTCCTGCTCCTTTTTCTTCTCCTCCTTGCTTTCCTGGCTCCAAGTCCTGGCGTTGAGCTCTTGAAGCATTTGACGTTGCTGTTCCATCTCTTCCTCCTCTTCATCTTCATCCCACATGTCGCTCCAGCTCTTAGACACAGCTTCCTGACGTCGACCAAACACCATAGACATGGCAGGCATAGGCTTAGCCATGCTGATGGGGAGTGAGCCAGCAGTAGCCGAGGCCCGATTGAATCGGGCAGTGGGCTTGATGGCAAGTGACTTCATGGAGGCGCCCAAGTGAGAATCGTAAACAGACGACATGGGAGTCTGCATGTTGGCAGAGCACCAATCGGTCGTCGTCGCTTCGGACTTGGGGAAAAGCTCCTCCGTGTAGCTTTCGTCGTCGGGAATGACGCTGAGTTGACGTCCAAGATGAGTTGTGCCATGGAGAGCCTTGGCCCAGGGGAAAGCTCCGGTGTCGACGGCGGGAGACTGGATGGATGGGGTGCGGAGAGGCTCACGATTGGCAGAGGCCACATTGGGAGACTCAGCACCGCAGTACTCATCGTCCTCCTCGTCATCTGTGGTGAACGTAACAACACGAAGGAGAGCCTCACGAGCGCCTTCCAATGAACGTCGTCTGGGGTCAAGGTTCATGCACTGCACGAGGACTTCATAGGTATCCTGGGACATAGATGGGAAGACATCAAAGAGAGATTGCTTGTCCCGAGAGTAATCGAGGAAAAGGGGGTCGGCCTCGGTTGGGGTAGTGAAGGGGTTGCGAGAGAAGAGAATATTGAGGAGGCAGATACCAATGGCCCAGATGTCCGCTTCGGCTGGTGAGTAACCAGCGCCAGCCGAGTCGAACTGTTCAGGGGCCATATAACGATCACTACCAACAGTCATCTCATATGACCACTTCTCTGTGGTTGCCAAACCGAAGTCACCAAGTTTCATGGCACCATCCTGGGTAAGGAAAATGTTCTCGGGCTTGATGTCGCGGTGGTAAACTCCCTTAGAGTGCATGTAATCGACGGCATCAATGAGTTCCAGCATGAATTGGCGAACATGCTCGGTCTCGAGGGGGCCATGACCTTTTCGGATTGCTTCGTAAAGATCGCCCTGACCACAAAACTCGAGGACCAGATAGATGTGAGACTCAGTCTCGAATGAATCGATCAGGTTGACAATGTTTTCGTGGGATCCGAGGCGACTGTGCAAAGCCTGCTCCTCTGACTTCTCATCGACAGCGAAGTCAGAAGTACCGTCGGGACATGCGCTCTTTTTGGTTAGGCACTTGATAGCAACAGGCTCATTGGTGGTGAGATCCTGTGCCTTAAACACCATACCGAAAGATCCATGGTTGAGAGGGGAGATGGTCTGATACCGTCCATTGAGAAGGGCACCGCCAACGAATTTTTCCTTGAGGCATTCCATGGCGAAAAAGGGGTAATAAAAGTATTTGAAAAGAAAATTGAAAAGAAGAGGGGAATCGTTAACCAAACAGTTTTTTAAAATTTCTCAATAACCGGCAATAGAGGAAGTCCGGGGTGCGATATTGAAGCTCTTGAAGACGCTCGAGCTGATGCAAGAAAATACGAATGTTTCGCAGTATATGAACAATGTACAGTGTTGTAATGATGAAAGCAGAATGAAAGGTTCGGTTGTTTGTTTGTTGAAGTTGTTCGTTGGTATTCAGAGGCTCATTGGTGGGTATTCGATAGGCTTGACAAAAGAAATGATTATCGAATGGTCGTGATGATGAGTTGCGAGTTGCGAAGACCCAGGTGGTCGAAGAAGATTGAAGACAAGGAAAATGAAATTCGTTATAATGACATGTGTACGTTTTTTTGTATCTTTGGAAAGAATGTGACTCGAACGATGAGTTGGATTAAGTCGACTTGGGACGAGGTCGACCAGAAAGTTGAGAGTTGGTCAAGACCAAGTGAAGGCGAAGAGGTTCAGGTGTATCCGGATTCGACGATGCCGAAGGGTCGACGTGTCGGACCAGTCAAACTGGCACCGGGGGATAGGGGAGCGGAGCTCGCCCGGGACGGTATTCCTAACGCTCGGTCGGGGTGGTCGAGTCACGCGGGCCAATAGGCCGGGTTGCAAGTGTGAGACCGGAGAGTAATCGCAAGTCAACGAGGAAGTCCTCTTCGACTCAATGCAGCACAAGACGAATGTTCTATGCGACGTATCCGACTGTAATAAGCACTTTTGTTGATGGCCGAGGCTCGTAACAGATTTATGCGATAACGGAGCGATATAATAGGAGATCTAGGCGAATAAGGACAAATGCAGTGGCGAACAACACAAGTCAAAGACGCTTCTTCTTCTTCTTCTTCTTCTTCTCGTAGAGGATTGTATAGCTCAAGCAATGTGATTGATGGATGTCGACTATTTAGTTGGTTGTCGATTGATCACAGCGATAAGCGTTTGTTTGCTTGCTTCGGATGAGGTGGCGAGGCGGGATCGTTCGATGATTAGAACGGAGAGAGGGTGTGATGAGATGGGATGAGATGGGATTAGATATGAGTAAACAGAAGAGAGACGGAGATGAGATGAGATAGTGAGAAAAGAGTAGCAAGCTCGAGAAAGAAGAAGGCCTTTGAAGATGCGGAAAGCGTACAAATGAAGGGAAAGAGAGGGTGGAGAGACGATGATAAGAAAGCAGGGGAAAGAAGACAAGAGAAGAGAGAGCTTAGAGGGAAAGGCGGTGATGGAACTAGGTGGAGAGGGATGGATGGGGATGGATGGCCATGGGATAGGTTGGATTAGTGAGAAGACTGAGTGTTCATACTGTTTTCCACACCCAAGCAGGACCAAGGCAGGTGCGACAGCGAGTAGAAACTGGGTCTAGAACGAACGGGGGGAGTGTCTTGAGATGAGGTTGCCTTCCGTGGTTGCAGTCTCCACCTGCCCTTAGGTTGGGCTAGCCCAGGGACTAAGGAAAGGATGGGACATGCTGTCGTACCTTGCGTGCTGTGTTGTTGTTTGTACCGGACGAGCCGGGGTTCAAAAACTGGGGCCGAGAGGCAGGCACGAAGGGAACAACACGACAGGGGAGGCAAGCCAAGTAATGCACACGCCGCAACAAGAGGCATGTACAGTATGACACTATACGCACTGTGATTTATTGGAAAGAGCAAGCAGTTGTTCTTTCTTACTCCTGCTGCTAATACTACTATGACTATACTTGGATTCGTGCATAGCAAAGAGGAATGGCGCTACCATGAGGCGATGCCACGAGGGGCAAGGGAGGGAATGGCGGCATAAAGAAGTCAATCAAACAGCTGCAGCGATCAGAAACATTGATGGCCCTGGTCGTCTCAGAGTTAGGAAGCATTGCGACATCAGCCAGACAGACAATCAAAACATGACGACACGGACGGAGGGATTGAATATTACGCGTTATCAAAACACTGTACAGATGCGACAGTACAGTACAGTATAGTACACTCGTGTGCTGCAGTAATGCTTGCACAACTGGCATAACGACGAAATGCTACAGTATCCATATGCCAAGTTATCAAACCTGTCCACTGAATTCAACCTCCCCGATAATGACGGAATCCCTATTGGCATGACGACTTTGCCAGCGCAGACACTGTGCTATCAAGGATACGGTGCTATCTAGCTCAGTGTCGACAATCACTCACGCGCACTGAGAGTGGAGAGCATTCATTCCCATCGCGGAGTCATCAAGGGGCCGGTGCCGGGCTTCAGGCCTTCAACATCAGTCATACGGATGAGTACGGGGCCTCTACGCCGATTCTTGGTGGCGGTTCCAGTAGCTTCTGCCGGTGTCCCGCTGCCGACTCGCTCGACTCAACTCGTTCTTCTTAGCTGCTTTCTCTTTTGCGGTGGTCGGCGGGAAATGACATGTTGGTCAGCGTGATCATACAGTGTGCGCCTCATACCAATACCGTACCCTACAGCGCGATAAAACTGACGAGACAAAACAGCCCAGCTTGGAGACACTGGAAATGGGATTCGCAATTCTGGGCCTTGGTGGGCGCAGTGCTGATAGCGGCTTCACCGCCCGATACCAACTGGTGAGGTATATCTCAGACGACGGACTGGTGCTGGGAGGACCAGTCTTGTGAGTACTGCTTGATGCAGATCCCAACAGACAACCTATTCAAGCTACCGCTGGGCGCAAACAAGATGGTGTAGGGGCTCGAGGCATGAATGGGCGACTCGTTCACTGGCGCAGAAACATAGCGTACCATTGCACATAGTGCGCATAGTGCGCGTGGCACCAGTGGCCTCATGGATGCCATCCCCAGGTTTTACTGGCTTGGCTCGGCAGCGTCAGAAAGGCAGCGCAGAGGCAGATTGGCAGAAATCAAGACGAAACACCTCAAGACAAAACACACCAGAGCTGTCAAGGGAGGGTCCCTCTTTTCCCAACAGAATCAAACTGGGAAATCCACCTCACGATGTCTTTCTTGATCTGTCCCGTGAACCAAAAGTGAGCCCATCTTCGCTATTCCGATTCCGAAATCAGGGTCTTTCTCGAGAGCGGTTTTTCTTCTTTTGTTACCATACTGGTTTACAGTTTCGGTCCGTCGCATTGCAATCCGAACCTTTTGACAGATAGTTAGCGCCACAACTCATGACGGTTCGCAGCCAACATTACAGTCCTGGGGAACTGGGGCGACTAGGTACACAATTACAGTACAGTAAACTCGACGGCATTATCCACATCCAGTGATTGGATCTTCTGCCACGTTTCTCTTGGTCTTGTTCCTGGACTGGAAGCCTGCCACCTGCCCAATTCTTCGATTACAGAGGACCCCTGCTATCAATGGTAATCAGTCTTCCATTTTTGCCGCTATTTGTCGTCGATCACCCTTGGTCCCTTCCACCTAGACGCTACTACCCTTGCAATTGCTAATTTATCGAAGTTATCAACGAATTGATCCGGCGCGGTCACTGGTCATGCACTCCTGGATCATGCATTCCAGTGGGCATGCCCCAGCGCGCGAGGACCCTTTCGTCTCAGGAACTAGAAACCAGATGAACATATCAGTCTACGATTTGTACTGTGCAATGAGACTCGAGCGGCTGAGTTGACCAAATGTTTACTTGTGTGTAGTATGTTTACTCTGCAGCAAGCGCCAGAGGTTCCAACCAAAGCTCAACGGTTGGGCGGAATTATCCAGGACAGACTGTCCTGGAAGCTGTAAATAGAAATGGGGCGTGCGTCAGCTTCAGAGTCAGAACCAGATCAGAGCAGGCTGTGCTATGCTATGCTATGCTACGCTTCAGTTCCAAGGCTGGTTTATCATCTTGCTGATGTAACGAACCAGTCGCCAGTCACGGAACGTGACTGGATGGATTTTCAAGGGTCCGTGTCGCTCGGCCATGCACAAGTCTGTGCAACTCTTCACAAGTATAGTGGCTAGCACGCAAGCAATGGATCTGTGCACGTTGACATCCTGGCTTGATGATCTGGCCTGTTTGGACACTGTACTGTGCTGCAACCCTTTTGGGAAGAAAGACAACAAAGAACAATCTCGAGACTCGAAATGATGGTATTTGGTCTCCATCTAAGCGGAGACAGTTGGATACGTGGACATGAAAGAAAAAGCCCATGTCTGACTGAATACCGGATTACGAATCTCGGGTACGGAATTTGGCAAGATTACTCACCTCGCTATAATTTCACGATATTAGGTATACATCCGAGCGATTCTCGTCTGCTAACGCAGGCCGTAGTGCAGTACTGTACCGCGCCGCACCGTACCCTACCGTACCTTGAAACTCCGTGCCAGGCCGTCAAGTACCGTCCCGACAGTCGGTGCGGGTCCTCGGCCTAGTGAGTCGTGAGTGAGATCTGATGTTTACATACAGTTTCCTGTCCCTTTATGGAGACTCAGCGGACAAATATGGGGGACTGAGTAAACATTGGCCTCCGCTTTCAAGGACAGGAGACCTGCTTCCACCATGGCTGTGACTCAATCGATAGACCTGAGCGAGATACGGAGACGAGATGAGATTTGGTTGTTGAAACGAGACGAGATAATTACAACATTGGAGGTGAACAGGTCACAACGGTCAACCTGCTGTACAACTGCGCATTGATCTTGACTCACTGGTTCTGGACCGGACTCGGTTGGACTGTCTCACCTCGCGTCATTTTCAGTGCTGATCCGTCGCCAGATCAGAAACATAATATTTACTTTCCTTTACATACACCAAACGTGTACTGTACTGTGCACACTATAATCTGCTTCGTACATAGTACGTGGAGATCTACCATGGGGTGAGGAGGGGCACATCGAAGGGGGAGAGGGATGCTCGAGATCTCAGTCATGGCTTCTCCTGGTCTGATTCAACAGATTTGTCGCTCGAGAGTTGCAGAAGCGAGTCCCTTGTCCAGGGTAGCTCTAAGTCATGGGATGGAGCTAAATTTGTGACCCATCACCTAAAGAAACAGGTGATGGGACGGGCCAGGCAAGGACCCTTCTTTCATCTCAAATGGCTGGGCGACAAAGTGACATGTGCAGCGGGTGGAGGGGCCGCCTAATCACAAGTACATACATGACATGCATCCTACTACTGTACTATACCATACATATCAGGTCTCCATACACCACGAGGCCAAGCGCAAAGACTCCACCAAGTCCGATGAAAGGGTCCTCCTGTGTTATGGGCACAATGCCCCAATGGCCGGCAGGGGCTGAAGTAACTAACAGCTGTTATCTTTCTCTGTTCTGTACTGCGATTGTTGTGGTTGCAATTGCAGGTGTTGTCAGGGGTGGTTTGGCGCTGCGTTCCGGGAGCTGCATGAACTGACCACTTCAGCTCGGGAAGAGCAGGGGATTTGTTGGTTAATACAACATTGAGCTGCAGCTTTGCCTCAGAGCCACAGTAAAGAGTGCAGTTGCTGCACGGGGTTTAACGCCAACCTGCGTATACCCGTCTCGTCCTACATACTGTATGCTCTGCTCTTTCTTGAATACGAAAAAGATCTAGATGACTTGTCCTCCAGCTCCTACGCTCGTGATTGTCAGAGGAATCTCAAAACTGCCACTTGTCATCTCCAGCAGGTTTCTAATTAGAGATCCACCAGAGATATGAATAAGCCATCTCGGATCTGACCGTCTACCCCTGCTTAGAGAGCCAAGTTTTTCCATTCACTTCCTTCAGTCAGTTGATAGTATGGGCAGCTTTACTATATGTCCTACCCTGCAGTCAACAAAGAATCATACGCTATTGGTCACCTTACCTGCAAAGCTCTGAGCTAACCCAACCTCACTTCTTGACCGCCTTTCCGCTATTGTTCACATGGCACCAACCCACCACTAACCCACCATCTTTGCAAAATTCCCCGGTCCCAAAGCTGTCTAGATTCGATCTGCTGTCATACCTCGACCCAAGTCTCTGGCTGCATCAGACCAAGAACGGGGAATTTAACCAACTCAAGGATCCTGAACCTCCAAGAAAAGGCATTTCAGCTCCCTGGAAGCCGCCAAGCTAGATAGCGGCCCGTTCTTGAATCCAGGAACAAGGACCTTCTGCTGCCACCGCCGATTTTGCAGATTTTTACTTTTTCTCACTCCCTCGAGCGAGACCGTTACCCTTCAAGATCGTAGCAGGGATATCAGATCGGATTTGGAAATCTGAAGAATTTTCCTCCGTCACCTTTTCTGCCTGTCTAGCTCACCTGTTCTGTCTCATTTCTCAAGGGACACCATCAAGGACGTGTCGGTATCAGGCTTGACCGCTTTCTCCCGAGAAACAACTCACATTTACCATGACGCTCAATCTCAACGATTTCGATGTCCTGGTGTTTGATATTGGTAAGATTAAGCTAGCCCCACAGCTGTTCCTAGTGACTGCGCAGGTTTGTTGATTCTGAGAACTGTTTTGGACTGTCCTATTTTCCTTGATATGGTACACGTTTGGATACACTTGATTTTTTGCTTGGATATCTATCTACCTTGTACACAGAATAGCCATAATAACACATATTGCAGAAGGAACCGTTTGTCCCATCTCCTTCGTCAAGGATGTTCTAGTGAGTTGTGCTGTTCTCTGTGTCTTGTTGCACCTGGCAACCGTTCCGTCTTCCGTCTTCCGTCTTCCGTCCTCTTCTTTTCTTTTCCTATGCACCTCCGTCGGCCCCTCCCTACCGCTCCGGGCCCGGAGCTCCGTATGGATCCCATCAAATTTCGTCCCAGCCTCTCATCCCGAACCTCTTCGGTCAGCCGCCGGGCCTTGACATCCACTTCTCGGCGTCCAAGCTGCCGAACCAGGTCATGCCAAGTTGCGCAAGTCTCGGGCGTGTGCAGCTGAGTTTTTTGATACCAGCACATCTTCCCAGCCCCTTTAACCACTTCACCGACTTTGTCCCGTTTTGTAATAGTGTACCCAACGTCAACAACACTGCAGCCTGCTGACCAAGGTCTGTTCGCCGTACCCAGTTCCCATATGCACTCGAGGCACTTCCCAAAGTCTTGGAACAGGAGTGGGACAGTCCAGAGTTTGCAAAGTATCGTGATGCTTTTCCCGAAGAGTATCGCAACTCGCCTTCTGACTTCGAAGCACACGTTCGCGACCTTGTGAAGCGTGATGTCAAGATAGCCTACCTTAAGTCGCTCCAGGGATACCTCTGGCTGCAAGGCTACAAGTCGGGCAACATTGTTGCCCCTCTCTTCCCAGATGTCGAGCCTTTCTTCAACCAGGCCACCCAGAAGGGAAAGAAGATCATCATCTATTCGTCCGGCTCGGTTCCTGCGCAGAAACTGCTCTTCGCACACACAAACTCCGAGAAGCCAGACATGACCCCCCTTATCGCCGACTACTTCGATACAACCAACGCGGGCCCCAAGACCGAGGTCGACAGCTACACGAAGATCATCTCTCATCACCCGGAGCACAAGGACCTCGATAGATGGCTGTTCTTGAGCGACAACATCGACGAAGTCAAGGCTGCTGTTGGAGCGGGTATGCGCAGCCTGCCTGTTGTTCGTCCTGGAAATGCGCCCTTGCCGCCAGATGAGCCTCTGGCCAAGATCGCAATTGCCGAGTTCACGCACTCTGAACTCGCTTCTTTGGGAGTATGATAGACGGTTGTGATAGACAACTGCATGCAAAGGTCCTTCCAAGAGTGGGGAAATGATAGTCGTCGAATAGCGCGGCAGTTTCGTGCGGAGAAGCAGAGTAGCGACTCGCTAGGGATTTCTAGTTTCTCAAATCCGAAAACAAACCGTCCAGCTGATCTTGTCCACTGGTGATTTAGTGTCCACAGACTGCATGAGTACTACCCGCCCCCTTATCAGTCGTGCGACGTAGGGAGTCGCAGATAGTCGATCTATCGCTGCACAGTACAGTGCATGTGCGCCAAAGCCGTGTCGATAAAATGATTGTTTATCAACAGCGGAAACTGATAATGCTAGCCCACTAACGTGGGTTCATAGAGGTGTAAAACACCATATGTTTCGATGTGTTGTTGGTTGGATTGTTGCCCATATGCAGCTCGTTGAAGCCCCACGCGTCGTCGCGTTTCCCCTCATCACCTCATGTCGAATGACTCGTCGATGCCTTGAGCGTCATGACAAAGTTGTTCCGTGTCCGTCCTGGATTGACTTCCTTCTTGGTGAAGTCTGATCGCTTATTGGCGACAGTCCCGATTCTCTTCCATAGAGAATACGCCAGTTTCTGGGTCATCTTAGTTCTGGTGCATACATAACCAAGCATGGTCATCAGTTCGTCGAGTCGGGTGTCTGTGAAATATCGTGAGTTGTCAACACAGCTGCGAGGCAGAACCACAAAGAGGCAGGGGAACAGCTCATCAGAGCCGGTTGGAGGTTCAGATGCAGGCCGAAGAAACGACAGCGTTCTGAGAAGCATCTGACCACGGCCCTCGGCCTCGGGGACGAAATTGAGCACCAGACTCAGTGAGATAATGTCGAAGACCTCAGAATCGTCCTTGGGTAAGGGTCGCTCCATAAAATCCTGCTTGGTGATTCCTGGTTCCTGGCTGTTGAGGTCGATATGTTTCATGGAAAAAGCACCACTTGTAGAGCATGCATTCCGTGTACTCAATGCGCCAACCTCCAGCATGTGCAACGGCTGCGCGCGTTTCTTGAGATCTGCCATCGGAAGCCATTCCAAGAGTACCCTTGACGTGTCGCCGCCCCTGTCGATGCTTTGTCCTTGTAGACTAGCCTTCTGATAGTGATCAAGCCCACCTAGCTTCTCAATTTCTGTGGCAAGGCGAGTCTCCGTAGCCTTGTCGCCCTTGGTCGCGGCTTGTCGTCGTTGTTTCTCCAGCTGGTGATGCGTGTTGATGAGACTTCTGCTGGCTTTTCGGGACATAGACCTTGATGATTTCACTGTTGGTGGACGACCACTTGAAAGGCTCTTTAGCCTCGTCTGCTTCTTGGAAACCATTCTGATATGAGATTTTCCAGGGTGTCGCGTCTTGACGTTTGAACTCCTTTGAAGCAAAGTGAGGTAGTCTGAAATAAATTTCATGTTAGTCTCGGTAAAGGCAGGGCAATGTTAAAACTCACCGCTTTAGCCCACCACAGGATGATATTTAGAGCTCAATGAGGATAATCTCATGGCGCCCGTATGTGAGTTTAGATTATCGATATAATCAATTACAACAATGTCATTGAAGCCTGCCTAGGTATGCTATTGAATGTATCTCTTCTTCCCATTGACTTCCTAGCATGCTTACATAAGTGTTTTTGATCAGCCAATCATATCGGGGATGTGGAGCAAGCCCTAAAGCACATCACAGTCATTACTTCCTGAAAAATAAATTGTTCCGACTTTTTCTTCTTCTTCTTCGACCCGACCAGACTAACCAGCACCAGACAACTTTGTGCCCACGACAACCGACACAATGGCCGCCAAGGATACCAAGGGAAAGAAAGGTACGACATGATCTGAGAACGCGACGAGGGAAAGGAAGAGTTGGAAAAAGAAGAAATGGCATACGGGCGGAAATTCTCGAAGCGAAATCTCTCAAGAACGACGACGGCATGGCGACTCGGCTCGATTCGACAATAATCTTGCTTCGATAACATTATGCCTCGATCACATCACGCTTGCTTCAACATTCATTTGCTTTGAAAGCATCAGGTGTCGATACCGTCTTGCTTCGCTACTATCGAGAAATTCCGACCTGGACGTCCTTCTTTTACCATCCTCGACTTTACTCTCCAAGCTTTACCCCTACAGCATCATGCAGCAGCAGATTTTGCGAGTTCTGTACAAGGGCGATTGCTGATGCTTTTTTGACTACAGGAGGCAACAAGGCCGCTCAGGCTGCCAAGGCCGCTCTCAAGGGCGTAAGTTTTACAATACTGTCTTTATCGTGGCATCGCTTGCTAACAATTCTGCCAATAGACCAACTCCCACAAGAAGGTTAAGGCTCGCTACAGCACCTCCTTCCACCGCCCCAAGACCCTGATCACCAGCCGTGCTCCCAAGTACCCTCGTCGATCTATCCCCCACCAGCCTCGTCTCGATGAGCACAAGGTTGTCGTCCACCCTCTCAACACTGAGAGCGCCATGAAGAAGATGGAGGAGAACAACACCCTCGTCTTCATCGTTGATGTCAAGGCCAACAAGGGTGAGTGAAACTTCTCAATACTACTTCCAAACAGAATCTAACCTACCACCAGCTCAAATCAAGCTTGCCCTCAAGAAGCTTTACGACATCGACTGCCTCAAGATCAACACTCTGATCCGACCTGACGGCAGCAAGAAGGCCTACGCTCGCCTTACACCCGATGTCGATGCTCTCGACATCGCTGCCAACAAGCTCTCTCTTGTTTAAAAACATTCATTGGCTTGTGGATTTCTGGCGTGTCATTGGGCTGGTTTTTCGTCTGCTGAAAATGCAAGACACGGACATGGGAAAAGGCGTAAAAAGTGCTTCTCGTTTAGAGTGCAAATGATCATGAATTTAAAACCGCCCAGCACATCGTCTGTGCCTATTCGTCGAGTACAATATTATTATGTCTCCAGTGATGTCCTAACGATATGATTGTGAAAGTAGATGTTGCCATTCATTCTTCATAGTATGTATCAATGTTATCTTGCGTGCAAGTGAGCCACGCTATTAAACGCACAGAGACAAAGCATGCACAAGGCTTTAGGTCAAAGCAGGGTGTTCCTTTGATGTTGGAAAATCGAGGAATTTAATTTTTTTATGTTGTACACATCGTGATCATCAAAATCTGCAACCACGGGAGTTCCAACCCTGGATATGGGCTTGAGTTTTCTAGCCCGTCCCTGTCCCGTCTAATTATACACAAAGTTTCGTCATAAATGGTTTGCAACAACCTCATTCCGTTCGCTTAACGATTTTTCTAGTTGCGCATGCCGTTGAGGTGCTTCATCGTGAGGTAGTTGACGTCAAGAAATCGCTCGACGCAGTTGGCCAAGCATGTCTCCTCCGACTTGTCGAGCTTCGGGTTCTTGATGCTGCCGGGAACGCACTTAGCCCAGCACATCTGGGTCAGGCTGTGAGTTTCTAGAGATCTTTAGTTAGCTAAATGCTCTCCCAGTATGCGTGTTGGACGTACGGGCTTGGATCTGAGAACGTTGCTGCTCGTTGGCGAGAAACTGGCGAAGTTCGGTGCGGTCCTTGTCGTTGAGCTTCTCAAGGTCGGCGTTATCGATGGAGAGTTGTTGTGCGCTCATTTTGGCGGTTATGGATTGACTGTTGGTAGTTAAAGGGAGAGTAAGATTGGGTTGCTGGTGCTAGATTGAATTGTAGATGCTGTCTGAAGTTCAGGATTTTTGATGATGCGCAATTGCTCAGCACTTGACCAATAATGGGCTGTTGGTTATCGGCCGGTTAGCCCCACTTCCCAGCCTTTGATCCAACTCTACCTAAGCATCCAGTATGGATGTTAGGTGAAGTTGATTTTTGACAGACATATCTGGACACGCTGGAAGAGGTTAATATGTTTGAAACAAGATTGCCGTTATGGGTTCTATCCAACCCGACCTGAATAGCCTCGACGCAATCATAATCACAGTTCAGTGGACAGAGGACTAGAGTCGTAGAACAAAAATCTAATATATCAAGTGTAGTGCTAAAAGAGCGTAACAAGAGTATCACTGCCATCGCTATATACCACCATGCGCTGTTTCTACCTCTATACAGAACTTGGTACCGTGCTCAACCCCTTCTGAATCTATAGTGCAAGAAGACAATAGGTAGAAAGCGGCAAAGTATGCAGATACATTGCCAACCAGCATTGCCATTAGATGTAGTGCTTCCAGCGTGCCAACGCTATAAATACGCAACACATAAAGATCATGAATCCAATGATACTGAAGAAAGGTGCCAGATTCTCATCAGCAACAGTCTGGAACGGAACTGGCACGTTCATTCCAAATACACCGCTGACCAAATTCAGGGGAACTAGAACAGAGGCCACCATGGTGATTTTGCTAAGTACCTCGTTGGTGTGCGTTCCCTGCTCGATGCTCTTAATGGAAACCGTTGCAAGATAGTTGCTATGCGCCCGAGATAGAATCTTTTCGAAGTGACCCAAATTGGTAGCCATCGTCACAACGTGATCTTGAATGTCACCCAGATACATGCCGATGTCCATGCGGGGGGTGACTTTGTAGTTCTCGTTGCATCGCTTTGTGAAACCACGGAGAACATCTGCCTTGCCACCGAGAAGGCGATAAAGAGCCAGACAGTTCCTGCGAACTCGGCCAATGCGGCGGAGGAAGGAGTTGGAGTCATCTTCACGCATGACGAACACTTCATCCTCGATAGCATCTGCCTCAAGTTCAAGTTGGCGAATAACAGGACCGAACGAATCGACAATATCGTCACTGGAGACAGTTAGAAAGAAATCATGATATCCATGCGAGTGGTACTTACATTAAAGCGTAGCAGATCCAGTCACTGCTAAGAGAGACGTAGTCTTTCAATGCAGTGATTCGCTTGCGAACTTGCGCTGCGTGAGAGTTTGGCTCAAAGCTGAAGCTGAGGGTGCCCTCCCGAAACACGATGACATAAGTATTGAATGGCTCGTACTCGATGCCGTCATCTTCTTCAACAACAGAGAAGGAGCGGAAACAGGCAAAGTAGTACGACGGGAAGAGTTCAATCTTCTCGCGGGCTTCCTGAGTGATAATATCCTCAATTGTGAGAGGATGAATACCGAAAGCCTTGCAAATGCTCTGCACTTCTTCCTTAGTAGCGGCATTGATGTTCAGCCACCAAACTCCGTCTTCTTCTTCATCAGGCAGTTCGAAAAGGCCGCGAAGATCTTCACCTGGGAGCACAAGGTCACCAAAATCCGCTGCGTGGATGGTTGATTCCCATGCCGAGGAGAAGAAACTGAATCGGTTCGGATCAACAGGGACAGGCTGTTTTTCAGAGACTGAACCCTCATTGTGGGACTGCACAGTCTGGTTTGTCTTTTCGCGAGTCATCGAATCGTCCGAGACAGGCTCCAGAATATCACCATCAACAGTGACCATTCGCTGAAGACGCGATTCGTTCCGTCGAGCACGTACGTCCTCAAAACTCTGCTTAGCTGCAGCAGCAGCATTGCGCTCAGCCGCACGCTCAGCCGCACGTTCCGCAGCCTGCTCATTAACGAAGTTCTCAAGATAGTCGAAGTCGATGTGCAAATGGTCCTTGTGGTAACTCTCCTTGACAGGGAAGCAAACGTCCTCCTCTGCGGTTGTGTTGGTCGAGATGGTAGCAGCATCGTTATCAACAGTATGTGCCTTGTTTCGGTGGCTGGGTTTGCTCGAGATAGACATGGCCCGGCTGGCGACATCCTCCATGTCAGGTTTGTTGGGCTCGGAAAATGACATGTCTCGCTCTCGACGTCGAGCTTGGGCGAAAGCCTTGACTGAATTGGGAGGTGAAATCGAACGGTCCGCCGAATCTACAGTAGGACGGCGGCTACGGCGAGCGGTAGGGGAAGCATCGCCGTTTTCCTCATCAATGATAGCTTCCTCGAAGTCGCGAACCAGAATAGCAGGAGGAGAACTAGGCTCGGGCTCGAGGTGACGAGTACCGTAAAGACTGTCGAAGGTACCGCGACGAGGGCGCTCAACCCTGGTCGAGACCGCTTGGTGGCGGTGGTCATCCAGTTCTGGGACAGGAGTGTCATACCCCGATCGGGGGATGGAGCTGGAATCTTCGTGGTCGGACATTTTGAATCGATAGGTAGTCAGTCCCGGAGAGCTTTGGTTCGAACGATGGCTATGTATAATAGATGGACGCGAGTCTGTCGGGAGGGCGAAAGGTGGAATGCGTACTAGGTTCACAGTCCCATAGCTTGAATATTGTTTCGATTACTGCGTCGTCTAATGCAGGCGATTGTTGACGTCGCACCCGGCGCGCCAGTGCCGCGCCGAGTTGGTGATTTGTTCAAAACTGAGCTACGCTCGGCGGTGGTCGCCAGTGGCAGCTGGTTGTTCCAAGGGATGATGACTAGCGGAAGACGAGTGGCGGTCGGTACGTTCTTAAGGCCAGTTACGGGGGCTTCTTGTTTACTCCGCTGTAGACCCAGAAGCCGGGACCGAAGAGCGAAGGAAGGGAAACGTTGGAAAAGGCGAGTTGAGCCAACTTGACAACTTGTATATGATAACGGCGCGACGCCGGAACGTGATAGTGGCGACGGAGGCGTTGATGCGCGAATGTGTCGTCGATATAGGAGGCCGTCGAAGTTGAAGTCCTATCAAGTAATTGATAAAGAACGGATTTGCGATATAAGCTGAAGATACAAGGTCCTCTTCAGGAGTCAGGCCGAGTTATTAAAGGTATCCGAAAATAGCGAGAATTTGTTTTGGGCCCGAACAGGGAATAAAGATAGGGTGACGATGGGTGCCGGGGCCTTGAGTAACAAGCAAGGTCAGGCCAATTTCGATACTGGCACGGCTAAACCAGACGAGAAATTTTCTCGTGGTTTTGATTGATTCGAAGACCCGGTTTGCTGTGCACGGGGTACATGAAAAGGAGGTTTGTAGGTTGGGTTGGGTTGTCAGTAGCGACGACGATAGATGTCAGGGTTGAGTTGATTAAAGAGGAGTTGAGGAACTAAGTAGTCTACAGTAAGAAGTGGGAAGGGCTAAGAAAAAAATTGTCTTGGTGTGTCGGCTATCACAAGCAAAAATAGACAACCCAGCCGCCACTTTGATTTGACTTAACTTACTGCATGAAATGCTTGGCCTTGACCTTGGTCTTTATAGGTGGTCTCGTAAATAGAACCATCGGCCCCGTGCCCGCCATCCGGCTCTTCTTTGGCGGGTTGTTTCCTGATCGGAGCCCGTCCATGTTATTCAGGCTTATTCTGCCAGAGGTTATTAGCTAGGTACCAATGTAGGCTGCCGAAACCCGACGGCCAGGAACGCATCAGATGGTTTGGCTGACCTGGTTGACTTTCATGAATGACTGATTCGTCGAATCCAATCCCGTCATTCCCATTTCCATTGCGCATAGATCCATACGATGGCCTTGCCAACGTTGCCCTGTAAATTCTCATGACAGGTTTCTTATCCGTACATGTCTACGTAATTTAGTCAAAGAACTGAGCTAACAATGATAACATACCATAATCTGGTCATTGCGTTGTTACTTCCCTGCTCTCTACCTTAGGTATTATTCATCTGACTCCGAAACCAGGAAGCATTGACGATAGTGTACGTACCATGGAAAGACATTCCCCCTCGCTACTATCAAAGCTTGTTTAGGTGCCGAAAGCGGTATAGTGTTGGAGCATCCAAACAGCCAGGTGTCGAGACCAATTCCGACTGTACATCCACCGGACTAAAGTACTGTACTGTACCTATTCGCGACCGACGGCACAGCATAGCAGCGCATCGAATCAACACCTCCAACTATCTACGTTACAACCACGCAACTGCTATTCAAGATGGCCGACCAAGCTCTTGATCAGATCCGAGACATCGTCGATGGACAGATTGTACATGATCCCCCTCCTTGATTTACCTGATCAACATCTGACTGAAGCTCCACTGTAGGACTTTGAAGGCCAGAAGCTCGTCGAGATGCTCGCTACCGTTCTCCTTATCGTTTCCGGCGTACGTTCTACCTCCTGCAATGATATCATATACTCCCGTCCTCCATTGCTCGGCTAACTGCGAAATAGCTGATCTCGTTCGTTGTCGGTTATATCCTCCAAGATATCAAGCTCGCCGTATACCTAGGTCTGGGAGGCACAGCCCTGACTTTCCTCGTCGTTGTGCCGGCGTGGCCATTCTACAAAAAACATCCTGTCAAGTGGTTGCCAGCAGGTTACGCGTACGATCTTGCAAGCAAGGGAAATCAATAAATTGTATGGCCTGACTTGGGCATGGCTATCATTTCTAGTACATCAGTACCAAAATGCAACACCTCAGCGATCCCTTTCCCACGATTATTTTGTTCTTTTCTTCGTAAGACATAATTTCCAGAGACGTCGTTCAAGTTGTGCTCTATCGTCCGTACTTCTGGAACTCCCAATCTCTATTGTCCAAAGGGCAGACAGATCGGGCCTTCAACCATCGTGAGATACAATGGAAGTGGAAAGCATGCTAGGTACTCGTTAGTCCAAACACATGAGAATAACATGATGCAGTCATCTTACGTTGCAGATACCCCAGGCTACTGTGCACTCTTCGCTAGTAGCGGATGCTTGGTTGGCCTGGCATTCGATGCCTGGTGAATTTGTCAGCCTCTTCCCATGACGTCGTGAAGATATTCAGTAAACATACATAGGTCCATGATATGATTACGGCAAATAGCACAGTTATCAACGACGATATCCCATGCCCAGAGAGCTACGGCATTCCACTGCGTTTCCGGTCAGCATATGTCCAGGGGAATCACATCCAGGAACTCTGTACCTTCTTGACCTCAAACTTCTTCTTGCCCTCGACGCTCTTGCTGTTAGAGCCCTCAGCCTTCTTGGCGACGGGCGCATCGCTCATCTCAACGTCGGCCATGGTTGGTATAGTGTTCGAAGTAAGGATTAGGTGTTGATGTTTTGCGGTATCGATTTGCTGGCTGCTGAAAGACACGGCTGCTTACTGTCGGAGGTCAGAATCGATCGTCTGGTGTTGTTGTTGCTGAGTTGCGGTCGACAAGCGAAGGCGAAATACGTACAAATAAATATCGTTTGCCGGACGGTCCTATGCGTCGTTGAAAGCTTGTGACTGTCAGTGGCACAGATTCGGCATGAAGGGAACAGTAAAAGAAGAGGGAACCTTGATGGTGCAGCGCAGGGGAAAAGAACAAACATACCTTCTCACTATTAAATGCTGACTTTAGAAAAGCGATGATGCGGCTCAAGAGTTTGGGTGGAAGGCTGGATCTGCCTATCTCCTCGATAGTACCTAGAAGGTATAGATTGGATGGATGAAGCGCCAGGCAGGCAGCTACCTACGGTGGGTGCTGACCCTGTAACGCAGCCCGGGCATTTGTTACAGCGAAGCGGCACGGCGGGGTAGATCAGGTAGAGTTTCGATCTATCCATCCATTCAATTCAATTTAATTTTGTTATCAATAGTCTTTACGTGCAGCTCATACTTTTTAAAAACTTAGACCTATTAATGTACAAGATTATTCTTCTATACAATCTGAAAGTTGACAGGAAAAGAAAGAGAGAAAAAAGAATGAGAGAAACAAAAAGCATCAACACTGCACCGCCCCCCCGAAAACGAGGCTGCACAGCATAGCTGTGAAGCATCAGTGCCAGATGGAGCCGCTTTAGGCGCTCAAGACTCCGCTCTGTACACCTGGACTGGCTTGGCTCTGCCCGCGTCATTGCCTTTGGAGTCGGGTGGGCTCTAACTGACTTGACTTTATTAGTTAGTTTGTTTCCTGTCCACGTCGGATCTGCCCTGTGCTTGCTCGTTATTAACCTGCTAATAAAGGCTCCATCCCTTCTCTCTTCTCCGTTCCTGTTCCCGTTCCCCTCCTTCATTCACTACGCCGTCCTTGATTCACGGTCTCTCCTACAGTCTAGTACAACCATGGTCAGAACAGCCAACACTCTCCTCACCAGAATAGTTGCTTTATACTCAATCGCCATTCCTACTTCGATCTTATCTTCTCTCTCATACAATCCGCCAGAATCATAATTCGATCTGTCGCATCGCAAAACAAACCTTCACCAAACAATACGATAAAACACAACACAACACACCACAACAGGCTTGTTTGACTGTATTGTCGCCTCGTCCCGTCCCATTTCAATCGGTCCACACTGCATACTCCTCTTTTGTGATAAAGCACCCGAAGAAATGAGTGAGACGCCATCTCAACCTACAACAACTCCTGCTCGTCGCCGGAATGGCCGTAACGGCCGTCCTGCAGCTCAGAAGGCCTATGCCTCCGAGAACGACGTTGCCACTATTGATCCCGCGCGATATGATCGTGCACCACGCACTCCTCAGAAAGGAGCTGGCACCGATACTCCCATGAGCCACAACTCGAAACAGCGAACTCGAAACGGCAGTCACAACAATAACAACAAGCACCGTGGCAAAAATGGCCCTCAATCACCTGAGTCTGCTCGCCCTGGCCGTCAGACACCTCCGCATCAATCTTCTTCTATGAAATCCATCTCTGCCTTCGCTGGTGCAACTTTCCATGCCTCGCCTGCACCATCAGCCTTGCCTCTTCCCAGCTTTGTGTCTCGACCATTGACTGAGTCGCCCAGTGTCAGCAAGACATCACGGGATATCATCCAGGAGCCTTCTCCTCCCACTGACACCGAGGCGCCAACCCCCTTGCGTCAGACTTCGTCAGGTGTTCAGGAATCTCCTCTTGATTTCATGTTCCGTGCCCACCGCCAAGAGAAGGAACGTCAACGCAGTGATAGCACTGGCAGCTTCCGTCCTTCAGGCCTGGCTCATGAATCGCCCTCGGTGCAGTCTCCCTTTGGGCCGGGCAGTGTTCCGAAGCCGGCAACTCTTCCCCAGACAGCCCGCACCCAATCTAGAGTTCAATCCGGCGGTATCGACAGTGCGGAACTGGATGGGACTCCAGGTCGACCCATGGGGCCAGCCTTCTCGACACCCTATGGGGAACGTATTAGAGCTGCTCGTTCCAACTCTGCGCGGTCGCCCGCTGAACTGTCCCCTCACCAACCTCGAACCAACCCCCAATTTGAGGACCCTACCGAGGCTCTAAAGAAATTTCTCTCCATTGGAAACGGCACGACTGTATCCCATTCTGTTCCGAATGGATTCGCGCCAGCTCCTCCCGCCCACCAATACGATCATGCTAGAAACGTTCCAACTGCGCCAGCTCCTTTTGAGGGTCGCTCAAACAACCTTCAGGCCATGGAAAACGATCTCCGCCGTATCCTCAAATTGGACTTGGGCAGCCCCTCTCCTTCAGGCGCGAACCAACGTCTTTTCTCTTAAGACTAAATGTCTTCGGGTGCTTCGTACTTCAACGTTTTCATTACTCTCTTCTGCATATGTTTTTTCGACTGCCGGCAGTCCACAGACGGCATCAACGGAACGTGATATTTGGCGACACGGATTTTCATATTCAGGGGTACAGCGGCATTGTCTCTGAACTTTGGCGTTATCAGAGAATCGAAGACATATTCGGAAGGACTGTTGATTGGGTCAGGCTTTTTTGCGATTCAGCTATTGGTACCTCGGAGTCATCTATGTGATTTTTATCTGCACTTTCGGACTCTTTGCTTTGCACGGGAGTTAGGTCACGACCTCGGAAATGTTTATATCAAAGGGGGATCATAGGGGGACAGGTGGATGTATATTGGGATGTGCAACTTGTATCATGACGAATCATCTTCTTTTCCGACTGGTTTCTGATGATACCCAAGAGCTTTTTGGCTCTCTTTTCGGTCTTATTGCAAGCGAAGCGGTATGGGGATGATCAACGTGGTAACGACTAGGAAGTGTTTCTCATTTCCAACGTCTAGATAGCTATGACTACGCTCGTTAAATATATCTTTCATTGATGATCATTGGAAAACTAGGTTTATTCGAGAACTAGTGTTAAGTTGATGGTACACAATGTCAAGACTGCCTATTCTAAATACCACAGCTCGTAGCCCAGCAAGACGAGCAGATGCGTCGTTACTATGAGATGCGGACTGATTTTCTCAAGTGTTCGATACACCGTAACGTTTCGTCAACAAGACGGAGATCGATGGTACGCAACAGGAGGATGGTAACAAGACGGATAGACAGAATGAGATCACACGGTCCGTTCATAACATATTATTTTATCCTAGCTGCGTTCACATAAATTACGCACACCTAGCTCAGCCAGTACAACACACAATGCTCAACAACTCCAGTAGATGCCTCAACGTTCAGGTAAGTTAAAAAAACACAGTCTAGTCAGCGCCAATGAGATGCTTAGGCAAGAATGTCCAGATAGTACCAAGTGTACCCAAGATACCAAAGATGACGAGGAGTACAGCAGACATGATCCTCTCTCGCAAAGACACATCCTGCCAGTACAGCTTCAGATAGAATGAGATAGGCAGGATGATAGAGATGAGGGTGCAAAGAGCAGCACCGAGGAATGCACAGACGGAGTCGAAGGCCGGGAAGACGATAGAGATGAATAGCAGAAGAATGACCACAAAGACTCGGACAAGCAGTCGGACCGCTTTGGTGACGAGAACGGATGATCGAGTGGGCTGGCTGTGAGGCTGTTCGTGATGGTGATGATGTTCGTGAACACCACAAATGACATCCAAGGTCGTGATAATGGGACGAGCGTTGAGAGGGATCTTTGTCAGAGGAATGATAGCGATGAAGATACACATGATAATCTTCAACGCATCAGGATAGCCTTTGGACTTCAGAATATTAGAGGTAATGGCATCCTTGATGCCATCACCGAACATGAGCAGTCCAATCACGGCCAGGCATGTGTCCACCAGATACTGCGCAAGTTAGACAAGCCTTCAACTTGAGTATCACTTGAAAACTTACAGAGAAAGAGAAGGTGATGTTAACAGCCTTGCCCCATTTGTACGGGTGGCGCATGTCACGGTAAATCTATAACATCTCAGTTCCGATACCTCAAACAAATAGCATGTAACATACCGATGGAAACACAGAGTGAGCACCCCAGGGACTGGCAAGGAGACCATACGCAAGGGGAACTGCCAGCCAATTCTCAGGGAAAAGGTAAGTCGTCGCCGGTTCTCGAAGCGAACCAGGATAGTTGGGCTTGTAGAATCCATCAATGATAACAATTACAACAACTAGAGCACGTTAGTATATTGACGGGGTTCAACGCCGAGCTTATGTACTTACTGCAAAACGTGGAAAAGATACCGATAACGCTGGTGTAACTCAACAAGCGCAAAGGCAATGCATTTAGCACCAACACCAAGCCTGAAGCCACAACCTTCCAAGTGTTGACAGTTGCAATGCCTGGAAGCAGAAGGCCCAGAGAGTCGGCAAAGAGAATCACCAGAGCGACACAAGCTGCTATCAACTCAAGACTGAAAAGTGCAGAGACGATCACCCGAGCACGAGTACCAAAAGAGACGTACGCCAGATCGGAATATGTGATGAGACTAGGATCAAAGTCCATGCATTTGGCCAACAGCTTGCCTGTGTAAGAAGTGACAGCAGCTGTGAAAGTGAGAAGAAACAGGCCGGTGATCCAGCCCGTCATCTGAAAGGCCAACGGAAGACTGAGCAGACCAACACCAATGAGAGCGTTGATGGAGTTGAAGACGGACTGAGGAAGAGTACTTTGGCCCTCAACAGCAAGGACAACTTTGTTACCCTGCTTGACCTCTTTGACGAGAATAGGCTGGTGCTCGCCATGCGCTGCGTCTTCGCCTTCCTCTTCGTCCTCGTCCGCTACACCCCAACCACTTCCTTCACTGAAGGAAATGCGGTGGCGCGGGTTTCTTTCCATGGTCCCAAAGGGCGAGGAGTCCCGGAACGAGCCATAGCTGCCAACGATATCAGGGGCCGCAAGATGAGGCGGAACAGCAAAGATGCTTGATCGGGGCGATCCAACGATGGACGAATCGCCTGCCTCAACATCAAGCAGCGGTTTTGTTTCGTCGTCGCGACGGGATGTTCTCATTGCTCTTGGAGACGACTCAATGGCTGAGCTGGATTCGCCGTTGGCCTGAGAAGACGATGCTTCCAAGTGTTGGCGCAAAAGACCGGATTGCGGTTGCGACGATCCCGGAACATGGCTGCGACTGTATTGAAGATCATCGGCGTCTTGGTCGGGCGCAAGAACAAAACTCGGTCGACGAGGAATAACTTCATGGAATCCTGCGGCTCGCTGCCAACTCCTGGCAAAGGATCGGAAGCTGTTGACGCCGCCAATGTCGGCAATAGCAGCCAATTGGTAGGTAATGGAGGACCTGCGCGAGTTAGACGTGAATACTCTATGATGGATTTGTTTGGACCATACCGTCGCCGTCTCGAGAAGCCCCCTTCGTTGCCATTTTCAGCATCGTCGTTGTCGTCGTCGACGAGAGCTTGTTCGCGTTCAAGCATGCTCTCGGTCACGCTTTCTCCCGGCGAGGCACCGCCCTCGTAGCCATCCCAGCTCGTAGGATTCCGCGCCGCAGACATTGTGATTGTGAATTGCCGCCAATTTCACGTCTGACTTGGGTTGGTTTGAATATCGTCGTGTTGTCTCGTTATTCTTTTCGAAGCCTAATAGGAACTTCTGAGTTATCTCAATTGGCCTCTTCTTGGTCGGCCAAGTATGGATGGTTGGGGTGGCGAAGGTTGCAGAAAAAAATGGAAAGTTGGATGGATGGTCGCAAACAAGGTCAGCGATGCAATGGAAGACAGGGTTTGCAGACTCGGCAAAATTGAGGTATCACCAGTCCTCGACGAGCGAGTTGAGCAATTGCAAAAGAAGACGAGAAACACAAGACGGACAAGACAAGAGAGAGAGAGAGGGCAGACTCGGCTCAGGGTCATATGGCACGCGGCTCAACTTGGATAACGATAACTACTACCTTAGTACCTAGGTAGGTTTGGTTTGGTATAGCGAGTGACAGAAAGTGGGTGCGCACCGGAAGGACATGACGCTTATCGCAGCCAAGAATAGCTCGAGAACGCCTGTGCCCTGTGCACGCGATAGCCGATGGATGGTCAACGACTCCTCCTTTGTTGGCTTCAGTTTGGATCTTGATTTTGATCTTGATCTCAGGCTTGTAATTGGGTTGGCAGGGTCGAACCCACAGGGGTAACTGATACAAAAAGTTGTTCAATAGAGTAACCATGATAAGATGTTTGACTAAACATGCAGTAAGAGATCCTCTCAATCTCCAGGACCCTACGCTACCGCCAAGGAGACTAGTCTCTTGTAGTCTGTTTTTGCAGTTGAAGGAGGGGAGGGTGGGCGACTTGACGTTTGGCTCTAGAGCTGAGAGAGCTGGACTGCATGAACTGAACTGCCGGAGAATACAAGTGATCGATAGGACATATGCAGTAACTGCATGTGTGGTCGGTCAGACTAACAAACGTCTACGCTTAAACTGTAGACTAAATCTGCGTAGGACAACAGACAAAACAGTCTCGTCTCACCTCGACTGGGAAGCCATTGAGTATCATGAAAGGGTAGTTAGTATATGGCACAGCGGTTGTACCCGCTTCAATGCAGTCCAGACATCGCCTCGTCGCACTGAACCCCACCTGTAATTCGAATCTTGTGCAGCTCCAACAGGCCTTACGGGCTATGGCCTTGTTTTAGTTTAGGCATGGGGTCATGGGTGATGGTACGTGGAGACGAGACTAGGGGCTCACGAGACCACTTTGAAGGCAATGGCTAATAGGAACATTGGCTGCAGTTTGTTCCAGAGGGTTGTGCGGGCGTAATGGGCTTGGTTGTCAATGGAATTAGAAAGAAAAACGAAGAGTTGAGAAAGAGAAAAAGATATCATGCATGCATGACTGTTATTCTGATGTCAGAGCCTGGGGTTGGGATTGGATACGGGAACTGAAGACATGCATGCGGCAGGCAAGCAAGGCAGAGGCTCCTTCCTTTACTTCACCTTACCCATCAATGAATGGCCTAAAATCCACGACAGATTCAGCCTATGTCTTGCATGGACATGACAATCATATGCTCGCCATGGACCAAAAACAACTCGTCTTTCACTGAACTCCACAAAATACTCACTCCCGTTGCCTAACACTAACTGACTACTAGGTAAGCTATCTTCATGGGCTAGGTTAGGTAGATTACCTAGTAGTTAAACTCAAATCATAACAACCCCTTATCTTATCGCAACCACTGTAAAAGTTGCTTTGCACATGCTTTAGCTTCATTCATCGCAGCTTCAACGTCACTCCTTCAGCCTCAACCATCGCTATCTGCCTCTCTCGGCCGAATCCCGGACTTACACAATCAATTCTGAAACTCTTATTACCAATAATGAGCACAAATATTCCACCTCCATCCCCATCATGACAACTCCCCCCGATACCGCTCTCTTGGCCTCCACAAGCCAATCACTCGCTCCTAACCTCGCCATCCTGAATGCCTTCGCCCACCGTCACAAGAACCAACATTCTTGCACGCACTGGTGGTCCTCCTTCTCTATTCTTCGCCGTGCTTCCCAAAAGCTTTCCCAAGACCTCGTCTCGCGTCCCAAAAAGACAAAGTCTAGCAATGCGAAACGCGACAACCACCCTGCACTCGTCCGTGCAAAATGGATGATGCGCCATGTAATCCCTTCTGCTTTTTTGTAAGTCAAATCTTTGCCCCGTATTTGTCATGATATATGACCTGTATCGCTGACCGCGCATCCGTGTCCCATGCAGCACCTTGTCGCAACTAGCAGCCGATAACCAACATGCGCCTTTGGGTCTCCTCCTCCTCTCGGTCCTCGCTCGTATAAACACCCTACTATCCCACCTCGTTCCTCCCGAGCATCACCATGACCACGAATCTGTAGCAGCAGCTGTTGTTAAGTCAGCAAGTTCAGGACAGGGCAAGCTTGACTCGCTTAACTCTACAACGCAAACAATAGCACTTGAGGCGCCCGGTTCTGAAACGGATATGGGCGTGGCGGTTTCACGTGAGGAGCTCTTGTCATCGCAGAAGAATACAAACAAGCCAAAATCGAAATCAGACATGCCTCCGAAAGACCACAAAATGAAGGAACTTAAACAAAAGACTGTGCGCAAAAGCACACCAGAGGTAGTGCTGAAAGACGGCGCCAAGGATAAACCGAAGAAGAAAAAGAAAAAAGGCGGCGATGCATTTTCGAGTCTATTCGGTTCATTATAGGAACATCGAATTCATTTATGTTATAGAACATGTCAGGATATGCTGCGAATGAAATCACCACAGAAATCAGTGGAACAAGAACGTTGGGAATCGGTGATTTTCATTATTGACTTTCATAATAACACATTGCGCAACAATCAAAGGTTAAAAGTATTGTGCTAGCGACGTACCGGCATACCCTTCGTCTATCCTGCACAAAGCAGGAACAGGTATGCCCTCCAAATTCTTCCCATCCCTATGCGCCTCTGACCGTTCTTCGAGCTGTGAGATTGCGCCGGTGGAGCGGCCCTGTTGTCTGGTACCCAAAAAACAGAAATATTTGTCGCTCACTCTGGCTGGCCACCATTCGATGTAAAGATAATCCCTAATCGTCTTTCCAATATTCATTGAATCCCCCAAGCATGGATCTTTTCTCCCACCTTCTTACGTTGTCGAGTTGCAGCGTCTAAAAGGCAACCCACTGAGCCGGTTCCTTGTTTAGTCAAGAGAAAGGACGGTATGACCAGATACGAGCCTTCATGTCACCAGAACCAGTGGCAAAGTATCGGCCTTGAGGACTTGGCGCAACAGAGATAACAGAGTTCTTGTGGCCTTGCAGCATGAGTTGCGTAGTGCCTGTGCGGGGGTCCCAAAACTGTACTCCACGATCCTTCGAGCCGGAAAGCACCCAGTTGGTATCAGGAGTAAGAGCCACCGACAGGACAAAGTCCCGGTGACCCTCGAATGTCTTGACACACTTGCCACCCTTAGGGCCGGGTTGGTTGCCTTGTCGAGGAGTGCTGAGCTCCCACATTTTGATCGTCCTGTCAAGACTGCCGGAAACAAGATCTTTACCGCTTGGAGAGAACGCAACCGAGTAGACACTGTCCTTGTGGCCGTCAGGACCTTCAAGGCGCTCAACAAGGAAACCGGAGTGGATGTCCCACACACGCACGCTCTTGTCAAGAGAGCCGGCGGCGACAAATTGGGTGTCGGGAGAAATAGCAACGGTCGTCACCCCGTCCTCTATGGTGAGTGTAAGCGTGTTGGTACCTTGCTCAATATCCCACAGGCGGACTGTCCTGTCGCCACTGCCAGAGGCGATGGTGCGACCATCACGTGCAAAGTCCAGTGAGTAAATATCTTGCTCGTGACCTGAGAAGTGGTTTCGGATAGTTCTAGTTTGAATATCCCAGACCTGTATAGCGTTAGTGTCATTATCCCTTGATGATTTAGTAAGGTACTTACTCTGATCAACTTGTCTTCGGCGCCAGTAGCCAGGTAACGGCCATCAGGACTGAAGCAAACACTACGAATGTAGAGATCGGCACTCATATCAGAGGCATTGTGGTCCTCGAGCACACAAACCTTTTCTCCGGTCTGCACATCAAAGATTTGAGCCGATCGATTGCAACCGGTTGCAACATATTTACCATCGTGACTGAACCTCACACAGCAAACTACACTCTCATGGTTCAACGAGTGGACGAGGTCGACATCGAGAACGCGTTGCACTTGGGGGTTGAAGATGGCATACCAATCATTTCCCGTCTTCTTGTTGTGAGGGGCAACGTTGTCCACTTCGAGATCACCGAGTGAGTTTCCAACGGCAGAGGCGTGAGGGCCAGCCATTCGAGCGTGGTCGGGGGTTGGGTGGCTAACTTGGGGCGATGCCGCAGATCCGGGGTAAGGCACCGGTGTGTTGATCTGAGGAGTTGCAGGTCCGCCTACAGCGCCGGGAGGGCGGCCGATACCCCTCCTGCCAGGACCGGGAGAAGCAGTGCTCTGGGGCTGAGGTCCCATTCCGTTCGAAACAGGGCCAGGAGGATAGTTCTGAGAATAAGGGGCTTGCTGCGCATTGGGGTGAGGAGGGACCGGCAGGCCAGGAGGTCCTTGGCTCATCTGGTGCTGAGGTCCCAATGGCTGTTCTTGAGGAGGAGCATGGCCCTGCTGGGATTGCTGCGGCTGTTGCGCGCCCTGGGGTTGACCCTGCTGGCTCTGCTGCTGACCTTGCTGTGGTGGTGCAAGACCTCCCTGACTGCCGCCAGCCATGATGCCGCTGAAAAGACCATTACCGGGGGCGATTGAGGGTGGCTGTTGGGAAGGAGCAGCATGCTGGGGCGGTCCGGGCATGCCACCCTGAAGTCCGCCCTTTCTAGCAGCATCGAGTTGATGTCGCAGGGCACTGATCTCGTCCTCGTACCTGCAGATAGATAGGTTAATCGATGTCCATTATCATCACTAAGACGCAAGCAACTTACTTCTGCTTGAGACCCAGATGAGTCTGCTCCATCTGGTAAACCTTCTCACGGACCATTTGCATTTCGCTAACTTGCGCAGCAACTAAAGATACACATGTGTTAGCTGGAGCGAAAGAAATAACGCGGTATACACGTCAAGGTGCAAGTAGTAGACCTACTCTGATGCTCGTAGTTTTCAGTCGCGCGCATTTGGGTCTCGAATTCAACTCGAATCTGTTCGAGCAATTCGTTCAAACGGGTCGAATTGCCCTGGGGACCGGCCCCCATGGCGCGATGCGGATACATCGACATTGCGCAAGGTGGGTCTCGGTGACGGGGAGTTTAATAGAACTCGTTGAGACGAAAGGTGTATTGATCGCAATCGATGCGTGGTGCGTTCGGTGTGGTCGAGGTGTTGGCGCGTGCCAGTCAAGTCGGTGACAGCGCGAGGCTGGGTGTCAAGGCAAGCAAGCTGATGACAAGTACAGCTAAACGAGGCAGACGCGACAGCTAGGCGTTAAAATGCAGCTGTTGAGAATGCGTACAATTAAAAGCCCTTGATGGGCAAAGGCCGGTGAGGATAATCGTCGGGGGTGTGCGACGGGAGGGCCAGAAGTATCGTTGGGTTGACGATAGGAGTAAGAACAAATTAAGCGTGATGATGTTTTGATGGAAGAGGAAAAGAGAAGAAAAAAAGAGAGGCCCGGCCGAGGAGGAAGCGGGTTGGTAACTAAGTGCTAGAAGGAAAGCATGGGTTCCAGTGGATTGCAGCTCTTCACGCAGCACGGCCCGGGGGGAGTGGGGTCGCGATCCAGTTAAGTGGGGATAAAATCACCGGTACGTACCAGACTTTAACGCACAGACGCATTGGAATATCAGCCTCGAATCCGTCAGGGGTTTTTGGATGGTGGGTCCACGCTACCTGATGGGCGTGGATGTCCGGCGGCGGCTGCCCTGAGCTGGGCTGTGGCTTGAGATGACCACCTACTGGACAGGAGATAGAAAGGAAGTCCAGTTACAATTACGCCTGTCACTCGGGTCTGCACGCCCTCTCCTGCTGTACCTACGTCCTACTGCACTGAGATTGAGGGGTGGTGAGATACCTAGGTAGGTGGTCGCGTTGTTGATATTTTCCTGCGCACGCCCCCTTTTTTCACGTCCCTTCCTTTTCCTTTGTTTCTCTTCCTCCCTGTCGTAATCATCCAAAATGGTAGTGGCTTCCTGTCTACTACGAACCTCCTCATCAAGATTTTCTGAAGCTTGCTTATGCAGTATTATACCCACATCTTAAAGTCAGCACGTGGCTCTAGGTTCGGGTGTGAATGTTGCCCAGTGATTTCATGAGGGTCTAGGTTTTTATGATGTAACCGTTTCGAACCATTAATCGAGAGTTTGACCGAGCAAGATAACTTCAACTCTATCATAACTCTTTGCCGTTACTTCAAGACAGACAACGATCGTTAAGTTCCTTGCGCATTGGCCACCTCTGCTGGATATATGGATATATATGCAGCCGAAGAAGGTGTCAATGGTTTCCACTAACCCAAAGAATGGCCTGAATATACACGCATTTCTGAAGTAACAAACTACTCTGTGTCACCAGAGATTGCAAGGCAAACTTGATACTATGGATGAGACCCTCGGCTCCATCACAGGAAACGTACCCTGTACCTGTACCTGTACTTGGACTTGGACTTGTACTAGACGAGACACTGGAGAACCATGCGGGATGGTTTTTTTAAGTTTAGCTCTTCCAAGCTCGCAACAACCCTTTCCCACCACATGCTGATGTCCCTTTAGCTTAGGGAGGCTCCTCCGAACCAATTGGGGTCACTGGTCCTACATTGACTTGCATGGTTATATCACACACATCATATCAACAGAGCCGCGCCACCACAAAGTGACAAGTCTCGTCGGATTGACCAGTTTTGTACGACATTTGTGTGACATTTAGATGGATGGTGACTGGTGCCACATACCTAGCCCTCTCGCCAAAACAAGTTAAAGATTGTGGTTGTCAAGGATCAAGAGTTGCGAGTGGATGGCGTTGATGGTGATGATGAGTAGCATTGCTGATGCCAAGTAATACTGTATGAGAGTCTGCAGCACACAATTATTCACAAAATGGATTGAGCAAAGTGAAGAGGTAAATCTCACGACTCAGGATGGTTGCAGAGTTTGTGATTAGTTTTACGATACTGACTCGAGATAAGAGTCAGCAGCGCACACCTGTCACTACTTGATAGCCAAAAAGCCGGCAATAACGTTCATGTGAGAAAAAAGATACAATGACTGCCACAAAGCGGTATGTATAATTAATGTTGGGACGTATTTGGGATGCCAACCCCTGCCTTTGATGATGCTTACAACTTACTACGGTCACGTCTGTATTTGCCCGTAGTTCAAGCTCAAGGTTATATGGTGCAACAGCGCCACTGCAATAACTTCCAAACTATCAGGCAGGGAAACCGGTGGTTCCCGCACAAGATGATGAAACTCGAGGCTGTATTTCTGTTGACCGAGCTCGTTGGTTGGGTTTCTAACGGGCGGGCTGGTAATGTTGCTGGGGCACTGATGGAGACTTTTAGACAAATGTGAGATGTTTATTTAGGTCTGGGGGAGACGTGTGATGCAGCTGACAAGCCACATGTATCGTATTGTAAGACGAAGAATTGTCAAGGTCCCCAGATGTTCAGCGAGGTATTCTCTCTTATACCCGAAATCATGGCTCGTAATCCCGTGTTTAAACCGTAGCTTAGTCTAAATCCTGGCTCCCGCATCAAACGATGTCAGGCCAGTAGTGCCTGCCCGTATCATAGCGGCGTTGTACCTGCCTGAGCTGCAGCATCTTCAGGGTTTCCCCAGCGTATTCGTTTCCGTATCCCGACGTCTAATGATTCGATAAGCTATCTGCTATGTGTGATCCCAACTCATGATGTTTTACCTCAATACCGTGCTGTGTATGTAGATATTGACTGTTACCTGAAGAGCCTCCGTGCCCTTTGTCCAATGTTCAATAAGTATCTATTGCATCTGTCATCAAGGACTGAGTAGATACTGATCTGCTTACCGAGGTAAGCTTTTCAACCCTTTGCGTCATGTAGTAATTGATCCGTTGTTACGCAGTAAGGACTGGTCACTCTAACTTTTCGCGATGCACGCTGAGCCTCAACATATCAACTCAGAACAAGATGGTACTGAAATTGGCCAATTTTATTGCGGTAAAAGTGTACATGTCTTGTTGGCTTCCGCTTAGAGCTGCGCTTGGAACTCAGAATCGTTCGATATCTCGTCTTCGTGATATCGGGTAATAAACAGTCTTCGATGCACAGGGTTCGAAAGTGGAACATCATGCTCAATTGGCAAATTCCATTGGTTGACAAACTCCCGGGCCCTGAGAAGCCGGAACACACCACATCGACCAACATCGACGACGACTTTGGGCCATTGACCCCTGCAAGTCTTTGATAGATGGATCAGAACGCCTATAATTGTACTTTGATGTTTGCCCTCAGTATCTAAATACGTGCATTAGTTTACTCAAGAAGACATCACTGCCCGGGTGCCCTCGGAACTCATCATGCGACTTTCTTCTTCTATCTGGCCAACCATTCAGTGCTTAACAGATCCCATATCTAGCAATCTACCCCTATTAAAAACTATGTGTATTCGTATTGAAAGGTAGGCAGATAAACCCCATGTATTCGGTGTAGTCCCATGGAATTGAATGACAAGGACCCTGCTTGACTTGTCCAGGAGCCCGTTCTATCGTACGTCTTTCATCATAAGATGGCTTCAGAAGCTCTTTCATCCCAGCTCTTCAATTGGTTCAACCCAGCTCTCAGGACCCTTTTTGGAACCCCACTGCGCGATGCATCCCTGATAGTAAACATCGGCCCCGCCTCGCAAGCCGCCGCCGACCCCTTGTAGTATCAGACTATATGATTTCCTTCCCTATGATCGATTCAATGATAAATGAAGACAGGTCCCGCCTGTAAACCAAAATGTAGTTCTCATTCCTCAGTCTTACTGGGTTTGGCAGTTTCGTGTTTGTCTTGTGTTTGTCTCTGGGATTGTTCACTTACACCAGCTCAACCAACCGCACCACGTATGAGAGTCGACCTTCGCTCATTTATTGCCGACTTTTCTGGTTCATCCTGAAGGATCCAATTGCCCACCATGGACGTCGTCCTAGAGGTCGTCGACACCTTCATTGCCGATTACGCATATGCCTACTTTTATCCCAAACGTCCAGCTCCCTATGACTTCCCGTCACCATCAAACACAACCGATACCTCAGCCAAAGCCTTTTCAACATGGAATTACAAACCAGCTACACAGTTCCTCACCTTGGAACCCCCAGAACAAGCGTACATGAGCGCATGGGATCGCGATAACCCTTTTCGTCAAGCTCTTACACTATATCTCATCACTTGGTATGTGTCGATATCCATCCTGTTGATCATCTCAACTAACATATACGACCAGGATCTTTGGCCTTCTTGTTTATTTCATTGTCGCAACACTCTCATACATTTTCATTTTCGACAAGCGTACCTTTGAGCATCCGAGATTCATAAAGAACCAGGTCCGCCTTGAAATCATCGCGGCCAACAAGGCCATGCCAGTCATGGCTATCATCACAGCACCATTCTTCCTTCTCGAAGTCCGCGGCTACGGAAAACTTTACGACACCACTGATGATGGACCTGGGCTGTGGTACGACTTTTTGCAGTTCCCGCTGTTCCTCCTATTCACCGACTTTTGTATCTACTGGGCCCATCGCTGGCTTCATCATCGCCTGGTTTACAAGTATCTGCACAAGCTTCACCACAAGTGGATTATGCCCACCCCATTTGCCAGCCATGCCTTCCATCCCCTCGATGGCTTCACTCAGTCGTTACCTTATCACATCTTCCCTTTCATATTCCCACTTCAGAAGATGGCATATGTTGCGCTCTTTGTGTTCGTCAACCTGTGGTCTGTCATGATTCACGACGGCGAGTATCTCACCAACAACCCTGTGGTCAACGGTGCGGCATGCCACTCGCTCCACCACTCTCGCTTTGAGGTCAACTATGGCCAATTCTTCACTGCCTTTGACCGTATGGGCGGCACATACCGCATGCCTGAGCAGTGGATGTTCGAGCGCGATATGAAGATGTCTGAAGGTCGCTGGAAAAAGGAGATCGAGAAGGTCGACGAGCTCATTGAGGAGATCGAAGGCAGCGACAGCCGCACCTACACGGACAATGCGCCCAGCATGAAAAAGACTCAATAAGTGCGCGGGTGGCTGATATGTGGTCCTCGCCAATGTGATGGCATACCGCATTGGGACGACTGTAGAGTTGATAACCTTTGACGTCCATGTTATGGAATGATCTTGGCGTCTGCAGCAATGAGGCATGTCGATGCGCGTTGCCATTCCGCTTAGATGATATTGTGAGCTCGTTGGCTCATGATCAACGATTTCGGTATATAAATTTTGATCTTTGTAATGTTCTCACTCACTTATGGCGTTCGGCGGAGACGACGATGATTTAAATAATCAGTTGAATGATTTAAATAAACGAAGCTAGGAAAAAGAAACTACAGCAGTTGGCCGAGGAGAAAGAATCTGCCTCAGTGAATAATAAAACTTCGCGTTCCACCTAAACTCCTTGCCCGAAAGGTCGAGGTGACCGCAGGCCGCTGCTGACAAAATAAAAGAAAACCATTTATGGAATCAATCCAACAAACGCTACCGGTGCATGTAAAAGCAAGTCGAAAAGCATGATAAAAGAAAAAGGCCAAAAAGTCAAGAGGTATAGGAAATTGCATCTGGTGTGCCAACGTAAGGTTGTTTCTGTTTCGCAAGTCAAACTGAATGTAGTTTGGACAAGTTTCGTATATGATTTTTAATAGACGCTCGTGGCATCAGGAGCCGTGAAGAAATATCGAGGATTGCGTTTATAATCGGATATCGTCGTAATGCGCTGAGTGTAGTGCCGACTTCGTCCATCTATGCGACTCTTAAGAGAAGCTCACGAACTTCGGATCTCTCGGCAGACCATCGGCGCCAATTCCGTTGGCCTTAAATCGGTTCTCCATGTAGACCTTTCTCGCCTGGTCAAAGTTCATCCTTCTCTTCTTCATAATGGCCAGGACCTCGGCCTTAGCTGCATCGTCGAGACCGGCGCGTGAATCGCCAGACTCGACGTTTCCTGACAAATCAAAGGTGGTGCTGGACAGACCGGCCTCGATGTCGCCCGCGAAACTGTCAGGAAGTCGGGAGTAGATATAGTCGGCGCCGGGGAGTCGGGGTCGCATATGTCGGACGAGAGGGAGCCAGTGAGCGCGGGTGAAGAAGAGGACCGTGGCGAGGACGATGGTGAAGAAGGAGACGGAGTAGAGAAGGTAGGACATGATGGGCGGGTGGGTTTTGTATTAAGAGGAATGGCGTATGGTATGTGACGATCGAGTAGAATTCAAGGCGCAATGGTGAAAGATAAAAAGAGACTGAAATGATCGGGTACAAATGAGAGAATAGCCAGGCCGGAGAAGTCGCGAGGCGAGCGAAAGAGTTCAAAGAACAAGCGTCAAAGTGGCATGATAGACGCCTCTTGCTCCTGCTCGAGTTTTAGACCAGTCTATTGAGTCGCGAAATGGAGAGTTTAGTGTTGGTTGAGGTTTTCCACCCTCCGCAAGATCCGGATTTGAACAAGTCCAACCTTGTTTCCTTTGTCTTTGGAATGAAGATGGGGATAGGGAAGCAAATGGGATTAGCCTGGAGGTTTGGGAATGGCACTGACTGCTGACGTGACTCTGTACCTTTAGTCGGGCTACGGGCTCCCTCCTCTTCCAATCAATCAAGCCACGCGTATTTGCTTGGCATCCAGGCACATGAACACGCAAGTTAATACGAATGAATGAAGGGGAATAATGGTATTATCGAAGACTCTATCTATGTCGAAAAGATGTATTCTTGTCGATAGAACATATGTATGCACGATTATAGCAGCTTTGCTTGACTTACAACACCTTTTCAGATGACATCAGGGGTTATTCGCTTCCAGCTCTGACTGGAGTCACTGGACTCTCACGTCGCATGGAAGGTAACCAATTAACGATCTCGACTCCAAAGGCCACGCTAATCCATATTTGGAGCCCTAGGCGAGATCCACCGCACAACTCAACTCTCAACTCAACTCTTGTCAGTTTGGAACTGGATATCTCGACGACGACACCTCAAGCTTCATTCTCCCCGGTCAATTTTCACGCCAAAATCACAATCACAATGTCTACCGCTCAGGAGCTCTCTAACATCTCCTCGGACCTGATCTGGGAGATCGTCCGTGAGTCTCCCTTTCCCTAGGCGAATTTTTGATTTTTTAGAGACGGCCAACGACTACGCGCTCTATCATGTTGGGATCAATTACTGAAACGTTTTTTGCGATCGCGCAGGTGACAACAACTGCTACTCTGCCAAGAGCAAGAAGAACGGTGGTGTCCAGTTCTCCCGAGACCCCCTCAACCTGATCAACAAGAGCTCCCGCAAGGTATGATTCTATTTTTGAAGGTTGATCCGTATCGAAGCAATATTCGAGGGGTCAACCATGGAAGATCGATCATGTGGGCTAACTCGCTTTGCAGCACTCCGGCTTCGTCAACGACAAGGTACGACTACGACAACCACGACGATAATGTCTCGACTTGATGAACGAAAGCTAAACAATTAATCAACAGGCCATCGGTATCTCCGCTGGTGAGAAGGGTGCCGTTGTTGTCACCACCAAGAAGGCTCAGCCCAACAAGCCCGCTGAGAACCTCACCAAGACCACCTACAGCGGCTCCAAGAGCAACCGCAAGTGAGTATTGACTGCATACAACGCCATTGTGTTGTACTTGTTCAACATATTAGTGAACTCAGCTAACATCGAACTTCCTTCAGGACCTACCAGGCCGTTGCCAACCAGGCTGCCAAGAACTCTTACCGTGCTGACCTCCGCTCCGCCGCCGTCGAGCGCGCTTCCGCCATCAAGCAGTCCCACAAGCCCGTCAAGGCCGAGCCCGAGCAGAAGCTCCGTGGCAACAAGGCCAAGAAGGCCGCCGCTGCCTCCGAGGAGAACTAAGTTATAAGATGCAAAGATAGAAAGGGATTGTGAATAAGGCTAGGCTATGAAGCTAGGAAGGTGCTGCATAGCTCACTTCTGATGAGAAAAGGGATTATCAGAGTGGGCAAAGCACATGAACCGAGGTCTCTGGGTCATTCACGGCTGGAGTTATTGAGCTCAAAATGAATGAATATTCCGTCGGCGCTATCGTTGGCAACTCAAGAATTTGTTCCCTGACTGAAACGTGTATATGTGATTATATTAGAACCTTCTGTCATCTGGCGCTCTGATTCACTTTCAAGATCTATTGTATAGTGTTTAATTTGCTTGGTGACGTAGAAACTCTAATTCCATCCAATCATTGAATGCAATGCAATCCCGATAAATTTCGACAAGTCCGAGTTCAGTTCTTGCTTGTCGCATCGCTCGAAGCTCACGATTCTCTCTGGATATACAAGTGCGGTACGGTAGATGTCGGGTCATGACTTCGGTACCACGAGATACCGAGGATCATGCCAAGGACCAGGCCGCCGAGGATGCTCATGAAAGAAAATAAAGACGTCACTGTGCCGGATGAGTCCGGAGCAATAACAAGCAAATCGAGAAGATCAAATATCGGGATATTTTGGTCCTTATACAGCCGCAATTCGGAAGTCGTTTGTTGACCTAGACGCAGATCAATCTCCAGACCGAGGTGTAGGTGCGCCTTATGGTTGGTTAGTAGATTTGCAATAGGCGGGAGCCAGTTACGGAAGTAATAACAAGCTCCCGTCTGAAATAACCAGTGTCCGGCGGCGACGTAGCGTGGAATATTGTACTGGAGCCCGCTATTGTAGTGTAGTAGAGACTCTTGTCAGCGGAAGTATGAAAAGATCGAAAGTTGCTTGTTGAGATACCATGTGTCTCACCTGGGTTGCCATCGGTTTATGGTGAGTAAAAGTACAGCGAATCAATCAGCCACAAAGGTTGTAGAAACGCATTGCGATATTTCCATATTTGGTAATTGAGGAGGGACCAGCCGCCCCCTCATCTTTGTGACTCTCACGCTTCAGCAGCATTCAACGCGGTCATTAGGTCTGACTAACAACGAGCACTGCTTATAAGTAAAGAGCATTGGCCACTTGTAAAGAAGTAGTAGATAGAAGAGAAGGAAGAATCATTAAATAGATTGCGCAATACGTGGGGTTTATAAGATAGGATGACCAACAAATATATTCATTCACATCAATTCGTCTGGAGTTTGATCGGACAATTTGGGTTTGGATTTGGTGCGCTCATCGGAGTTGGGTCGGGGTGAAGACCGTTCTATCGCTCTCAACTCGGGGTTGCGACGATCGCCCGGTCACTTGTCCTCCGGTACTGTACTGTAGGCAATGCTGCCCGCTATGATTGCCATTGGAGGGGAAGCTTTGGTCCCTGGATACTGGAGACGGATCCCCACGGGCTGAGGGTTTACAGTGCATTGAATTTTGGGTTCCAGAAGCGAACCATATCGAGGTTTCACGGAGACTGGTTCTGGACAGATGGGACTGCTGTGAAACGGACGAGGGGGTTTCTATCCTTAGAGTGGCAGGGTCTCTCGCTGATTATCAATATGGATATGGATGTCTCATCAGTCGCGTTTATACCTCCAAAAGTCTAGGACGCTTGCGCACAATCCCCGCGCAAAGCCTCACGCCAAGTGTCCCGCCAGGTCTGTCACAACTGGCGCGGATCGTCAATGCGAATCAAAGTTCAGTTGGCGGACGAGAGGGGAGGATTCAAAGGGTGAATGGAAATCCATGATGGTAGAGGTGCAGAACATCATGAGGATTACATACATGCTACATCCATTAAAACACTACCCCGCCTCGTGTAGAGCGGTGGATAGTATTGAGAGGGTATCTAACGTAATTGTTCAAAATACAAACTCATGATAGAGAGTAATTAATAACAAGCCTGGCGAAAGAGAGGCGAGATGATGATGCCGCGCCTCTTAGTTCGCCCGGTTCAATAGGTCTGGTAATGGGCAGTGGGTTCTGGATTTGTGGATGATGCCCCTCTCCTCTTGTGTTGAGTTGATGATAGCCATCGACCCTTGTAAGCGCAACGAGCCCCTCCTTGAAGGAAAACACCCCCACTAGAGCTTTCACAGCTCCTGTTACTTTTCCCCTCCCCGCTCAACATCCATCCATCCATAGGTACCTAGCGTCGCAGTCGCACATGCTTGCGCTGGAGATAGATCTCAGTAGAGTGCATGGCTTGTGAAGATTTCGGACATGTAAATTTGAAGGGAACACACCAGCTCCGTCATTAGCCGTAGAGTTTCCCATCAAGTCGGGTCAGGCTCTCAAGTGAATTCGTCATAGGAGGTATGGAGGATAGGTAGCACAGTAGACATCCATACCTCTTTGTAAGGGACCCATTGGAACAAGTTACCTCCCCCGTGTCTCAAGAGGGTACCCTTTGGATGAACAGGCTAGTAGGGTGCGGCATGTATCGCCGTGGTGGTTGCCGCAGCGCTGTACTGTAATGTACCGTACTGCACCAGTCATCGCTGCTACCTGTACTAAGGCAAGGCAAGGTTTCTCCCTCCGCGGGTATTAACCAACCTCGACCTCGACCTCGACCTAGACTTTTCTTCCTACCTGCGACATACATATTTTAACCCTCCTCCCACTTCTGGACCCAGCTTCTGTCCTTCTCACTCTTCCATCTCAACATCTCTTCTTTCTTCACACGATTATCCCGTCTCGTCTTGCTCGAGCTACCTTCTTTCTTCCTAAACTATATATCCACTTATACACTCAGTCAAGATGGTTAAGGCTGGTACGTACGAACGGCGTCTCACACACCTCGCTTCACCTTGATGCCTGCGGTCTTTGTGATCCCTATTCTGTTTGCGCATTCGCATTGTCTTGAAGCGCCGACATTAACGTGCTCTCTAGTTGTTGCTGGCGCCTCTGGTGGCATTGGCCAGGTATGTACCGCTTTGCTCTCTTGAAAGTCAGAATTGTGCAAGCTAACGATGATGGATTATAGCCCCTCTCTCTCCTCCTCAAGACCTCCCCTCACATTGACGAGCTCGCCCTGTACGATGTCGTCAACACACCCGGTGTCGCTACCGATCTCTCTCACATCTCTTCCCGCGCCGTAAGTCGACCCCGGACTTTCCCCAGTCGAACATGCATAATTCCCTTCCACCGAGGCGAACTACTTGCTCACACCCTTTGCAGAAGACCACTGGCTACCTTCCCGCCAACGATGGCGCTAAGGCTGCCTTCAAGGACGCTGACATTATTGTCATCCCCGCTGGTATTCCTCGTATGTGAAGCTCCTACGGTACCCCGGACATCCGGTGTCGAACCCCGCGTGTCCGACCCCGGAACCCCTCCCCAGTTTTAAACTCGACTGACAACTTCCCCCGCATAGGCAAGCCTGGTATGACCCGCGACGATCTCTTTAACATCAATGCTGGCATCGTTAAGGGTCTCATCGAGGTCGCTGCCGAGGTTGCCCCCAAGGCTTTCATCCTCGTCATCTCCAACCCCGTCAACTCTACCGTTCCCATTGCTGCCGAGGTTCTCAAGGCCAAGGGCGTCTTCAACCCTCAGCGTCTCTTTGGTGTCACCACTCTCGACATCGTTCGTGCTGAGACCTTCGTCGCTGAGATTATTGGCAAGGCCAACCCCCAGGAGCTGAACATCCCCGTCATTGGTGGACACTCTGGCGAGACCATTGTCCCCCTCATCAGCAAGGCCTCGCCTGCAGTTCAAATCCCTGACGACAAGTACGATGCTCTCGTGAACCGAATTCAGTTCGGTGGTGACGAGGTTGTCAAGGCCAAGGACGGTGCTGGTTCCGCCACTCTGTCTATGGCTTATGCTGGTTTCCGGTAGGTTACTCATAACTTTATGATTTGACGCAGCAATTGACGTGATACAGATTCGCTGAGAAGGTTCTTCGCGCCGTCAAGGGCGAGAAGGGCCTTGTCGAGCCTAGCTATGTCTACCTTCCCGGAGTGCCCGGAGGTGAGGCTATTGCTAAGGAAACTGGCAACGACTTCTTCTCCGTTCCTATTGAGCTAGGCGTAAGTCGTCTATCCTTGACTTCTAGATCTGTAAAACCTGCTGACATCACATAGCCCAACGGTGCTGAGAAGGCCAACAACCCCTTGGAGGGTATTACCGAGAAGGAGAAGGCTCTGCTGGCCAAGGCCAACGAGGGCCTCCAGGGCAACATCAGCAAGGGTGTTAGCTTTGTCCACAACCCTCCCCAAAAGTGAATATCCCCTATTTGATATGTTTTTTAATACCCAGTAAGAGGCTTCCCAGAGGAAGCATGGACATTCTTCAAGAGGCCCATAGCTATGGCATTAGACCTAGTAATATGAGTCATGAGCACGTTTGCTGATGGTATGATTTTGCGCAGGCTGTGAAATGTTCCGGGCGATTATTTACGGTCGATGTCTTTATAGCCCCGATACTGGATCTGGGGACTGCTTCAGGTATGATTGGAGTTTTGGTCAAGGGTTGATCTAAACAACCGCGATATTCAACTCTTATGTGTTCATGACGCTCGATAGTCGGAAACTGGCGTGTTTTGCCCGAAGTTGAGAAAAAAAAAAAGGGTATCATGATATTATAGCTAGGCACACAGCTCTCCTAGGGCTTGTTTGGTATGGTTTTAATTTGAAACACGGCTCCCGGCAATTCGTTGATCTCGGCTTGTACACTTGTGTTGATTCCAAGAGCAGCCAACGCGCCCCTTACGATACCACATGGGAACCATAGAAACTGTAACGCAAAGTCAGCAAACCAAGGCACATGTGCGATGATTAAGGCATTCTATAACATACCGGTTGAGCGCGGACGATTGCGTGACCACCGGCTTCTGTACTCATGCGGGAGAAGGGTCGGAAGACGTTGTCAGTTAAGACGTATACTCCCTGGTCCAACGTTAGCGTGATACTCCATATAACACATATGCATCGAACGCTTACTCTGTGGTTTGTCTTGAGGTTATCAATATTCTTGCCAAACACCAGCGTCCACAAATCTTTGCAGAGGAACTTGATGACGTCTAGTGTATCGTTGAATCGTGGTCGATCTCTCGAAAACCTACTGCCGTCAGTCATCATGGCGCAAACACCTCGAGCATCGATGCACACCTTTCTACAAGGCCCTGTCCAACTCTGTAACCCAGCATCTCCAGACGGTAGTGTACCGCATCCATATCCTCCTCTTCATCCTTTCTTGTTGCAGCACCGGCCATTATTCCGGCGGCGTTGGAGCTGACCGCATGACTGGTAGAAGCAGTATCTGCAGGTGCGCTATTCTGTTCTGAGGCGATAGAATCTCGGTCGTGAGTGACGCGATAAGCCAGCGGCACAAGCTCAATAAGGAGGAAATCTAAACAGGAGGAGCTGAGGAAGTTGGCGGATGGATCGCTCGAATTGAAAGGAGGCATGACGGGTTCAAAAGACATGATGGGCGGTTCGATTGGACGTTCGAATATGATATTAATGAATGTTAATGGATGGTATTCGTTATTTGATCCCGGGTAGAGGAATGCGCAAGTCTTTGCGTGTGGTAATGAGTGATGTCGGTGTTGGCGAGCTCCAAGGGTTGTTGCTAAGCTCGCTCACTGGATACCTACACTGCTCCCCGGATTCAGCAAGCTATAGGAGGCTGAGTCATCATTGGCACGTTCTGATAAGACCGATAAGACTCCATGGATGGGTCGTCTTGGCCCCTCCAGACGCGGGGCTGGTAGGAGCGAGCGCGGGGCAGGAAAGGAAAAGTCGAAAAAAAGTTTGGTGATAAACTTTAGTTCCAGTTCACCACCAACATTCTGCCTCTTAATAGAGCTGGTTACTCTCAAGGGTGAACCAATTGAAGTAAGTCATTAACCAGGCACATGAATTATTACGAGTTTCTGACAGTGGCCAACTAAAGTAGAACCTCACAAGACTCTTCGCTGAGTTTTACTGGGACCAATTCACACCCGCCGAATTTCGGAATCGCATATCGTACTGTTTGTTTTTCTCTCACATTTTTTCCTCACGAACAAATATGGCCGACCTTCGAATCTTGCTCATCGGCAACGGTGGCCGTGAGCACGCTCTGGCTTGGAAGCTCAGCCAGTCATCTCGAGTTGAGCAAATCTACGCTGTCCCCGGTAACGGAGGCACTGCTGGATGTCCCAAGACTTCCAACGTCACTTCAGTCAAGGCCGAGGACTTCGCTGCCCTCGTCAAGTTCTCACAAGAAAATGGCGTTAACCTGGTCGTCCCCGGTCCCGAGGCTCCTCTTGTCGACGGCGTCGAGGGATGGTTCCGAAAAGCAGGCATTCCCTGCTTCGGTCCCTCCAAGGAGGCTGCACGCCTCGAGGGTAGCAAGACCTACTCCAAGGATTTCATGAAGAAGTACAACGTTCCCACCGCTGATTACGAGAACTTCTCCGATTACAACAAGGCCTGCGCCTACGTCGACAGTGTTGACCATGATGTCGTCATCAAGGCCACCGGTCTCGCTGCTGGAAAGGGTGTTATCATTCCCCAGACCAAGGAGGAGGCCAAGGCTGCTCTGAAGCAGATTATGGTTGACAAGGAGTTTGGCGATGCTGGCGACGAGGTTGTCATCGAAGAGCTCCTAATTGGTGACGAGCTCAGCGTTCTTACCTTCTGCGATGGCTACGCTATCCGATCTCTGCCCCTCGCTCAGGACCACAAGCGCATCTTCGATGGAGACCAGGGTCCCAACACTGGTGGCATGGGCTGCTATGCGCCTACAAACATTGCTACCAAGGAGCTTACTGAGCTCATTGACCGTGAGATTCTTGAGCCCACTATCTCCGGTATGCGACGAGAGCAGCAGCCTTTTCGTGGTGTTCTCTTCACTGGACTCATGATCACCAGCAAGGGCCCCAAGGTCCTCGAGTATAACGTCCGATTTGGCGACCCCGAGACGCAAACAGTCCTTCCTCTCATCTCTGCCGATACTGATTTGGCTGAGATCATGCTTGCCTGTGCCAACGGATACCTTGACAACTGCAAGCTGACCATTGACAACAAGTTCAGCGCTACTGTTGTTCTTGCTTCCGGTGGCTACCCCGGTTCTTATCCTAAGGGTAAGGCTATGACTGTTCAGACTCCTCCTACCGGATGCAACATCTTCCATGCCGGTACCACACTCGACAGCACTGGTCTCAAGACCTCCGGTGGTCGCGTTATCGCTATCAACGCCGTTGGCGACTCTCTCCGAGCTGCCGTTGATGCCGCCTACGCTGCTCTTGACAACAAGGCTATTGAGTTTGAGGGCGCTTTCTACCGAAAGGATATTGCCCACCGTGCCTTCCGTTCTGCTGCCCAAGCTTCCATGACTTACGCCCAGGCTGGTGTCGACATCCAGGCCGGTAACGACTTCGTCGAGAAGATCAAGAAGGCCGTCGCTAGCACTAAGAGACCTGGTGCTGACGCCGAGATTGGTGGTTTTGGTGGTGAGGTTGATCTGTCCAAGGCCGGCTACCCTCAAGCCCCTATCATCGTCGGTGCTATTGATGGCGTCGGCACTAAGCTTATGATTGCCCAGGCCATGAAGAAGCACGACACGGTTGGTATTGACCTGGTCGCTATGAACGTCAACGATCTTGTTGTTCAAGGTGCCACTCCTGTCATGTTCCTTGACTACTATGGCTGCAGCAAACTGGATCTCTCTACTGCCGCTGATTTCGTCCAGGGTGTTGCCGATGGATGTCGTCAAGCCGGCTGTGCTCTGGTTGGCGGAGAGACTGCTGAGATGCCTGGCATGTACCAGAAGGATGATTACGATGCTGCCGGCTGCGCTGTCGGTACCGTCACTGCTGATGCCAAGCTTCCTCGAAAGGATGACATGGCCCAGGACGATGTTCTCCTTGGTCTTGGATCCGCTGGAGTCCACTCCAACGGTTTCTCTCTTGCTCGTCGTATCGTCTCTCACGCCGGTCTCAGCTACACTGATGCCGCTCCTTGGGACCAGTCTACCACTGTTGGCGAGTCCCTTCTTACCCCTACTCGAATCTACGTCAAGTCTCTCCTTCCCGTCCTTTCTGACATCAAGGGTCTTGCTCACATCACTGGTGGAGGTCTTGTCGAGAACGTCCCCCGCATGATTCCTGAGTCCCTTGCCGCCGAGATTGAGTTCGGTTCATGGGAGATCCCTCCTGTCTTCAAGTGGCTTCGTGAGGCTGGCAATGTCGAGCCCCTTGAAATGTGCCGCACATTCAACTCTGGTGTCGGCATGGTCATCGCTGTCGAGGCTGCGAAGGCTGACGCCGTTTCCAAGACCCTCGCCGATGGTGGCGAGAAGGTATTCCGTATTGGTCGTCTCACTCGACGTGACCAGGGCGAGGCTTGCCTCATTCACAATGTCGATTCATGGAAGGCCGAGACGACGGTGCCTAGTAAGCGAAAGGATATTGAAGCATGATTGGGATAAGAAAACTGTGCAATTTATGGAGTCAATTGGGTTTATGGGACAGGATATTTGTTAAAAACGTGGCTAGAAATGATGATTTGAGGACGAGATAGAAGGCATGCCTGCGACGATATTCTCGTCAAGCCTATTCAATGTGAATGAAAAACGATTTTATGCGTTTTGGAAACTCGAGTATGCCATCTAGGTGAGAACTTTGTCAGTTATCAAGGTGGCTGTATCAAGCAAATTGGATCTTCCCGTTTTCAAGGTTCATCGGGCCAAGCGGACAAAGTCCAACCATGAGGGCCGTCCCTCAGATTCTTGTATTCAACAATTTCCGAATCTTGAGATGATGAAGAAAGTAGATAAGCCTTTTTATTGCTCTTTAAGATAAGACTGAGGCCTATCCTTTCCCCGTCCCTTGTGAGAGTGCGAATCAATCATTAATGATGAGTCCCCCATCGCATAGTTACTCCCTTACACCTCGCGAAAACAAACGTAATAGCAATGCCGCTAGTTGTATCACCTCGTTCTTTGGTAACAAGGGAATCCTTTTCCGTCCCCTCCAACGCCGAGTCAGAATATGCTGAAGTCAAAAAGCGCCAACCAACACCAGAATTACCAAGCAGTTAGATGAGCTGTCCGCCAAAGACAATTAACTGCTATAAGATAACCTCTAAGAAGTCTTGCGTCTCCGTTCTCTCCGTTCTCTCTTCTTCTTCTTTCCTCTAGACTGGATATCATCCTAGAGATACCCATATCCATCAGGCGAGACTGGAGAGGAGCCAGATACGCCATTTGATCCTGAGTATCCGTTCGTTGAAGTGTTCTGCCTCTTGGGAGGCGGAGCTGGCTCGTCATCATCAGAAAGGGTCAGGTCGATAATCGCGGCTACTGGGCGTTTGGCGCTGGTAGATGCTATGCCTCTAGGACCAGCCGATGAGCTATCACGACTCGCCGCCACTGGTGTGTTGACACTTGGAGTGGCGTTCTTAGGGGTCTCCATGCGGCGATGACCGATAGGGTTGACCTCTGATATCACCAGGTCATCGTCGTCGTCGTCATCCTCGTTTTTAACAGAGTTGCCGTTCGTCTGCCCCTGGCTGCTATCTTCAGACGCCTTGGTATGCCAGTCGCCATTAGGTTCAATAGTCACAGTCTCTTGACTTTTTGATGTCTTGGCAAGAATGTCTCTTACATATCTGTTACCATAGTCAGTACTACTGTGTTTGATGAGATGCATCGAGACCTTACCCGTCAACAGCCAGCAGATCAAAGGTTGCGGATTTGTAACAAATGGGACATTGCCATTGCGGACCCTGTTCCTGCAGTTGAAGATATGATGTAGCATCAAAGCATTGCAGATGGGTGCAACTCAGGCCACGGCATGGAAGCGCTAGGCGCATATATGACAGTGGGCACTTGAGCGACAGTACCTGTGAGGTTGCTACAACATCGGGATCCTGCGCTTTGGCATTGACTACAGCGCCGTTAGAGTTGTATCCAATCGTTAAATATGCTCGTACTTACGTTCTTGCTTCACAGCCTCAATCGATATTTTCTTTCCGTTAGCTATACGTCCTGCAAGCTCTTCAACGGAAGTAATCTTGCAGATGTTGATCACAAAATAGAATTTCTGCGCTATGTTAGGCTTGCAACACAATAGAGGGATGCCAAGATTGACAGGGAATCATGACTTGACTAAAACTTGCCTTGGAGGTCAACGCATATGTAAATTCAACGTTGTTCGTATATTTTGGCCGAAGCCTGAGCGCTTTGGTGATGTCAACTGGTCTAGTAGAGCCAGGTTTGTTCTTCAGGCCGCGCAAGTTGGCTTTGATGTCACCACCATTGACCTTAAGCTCAGACTGGTGAGGAAAAGCGACTTCTTGCGTTCCTAGGCAGTCCCCAGCGCAGAAGACCATCACTCGGTACGAAGGATCATTAACACACTTCTGTAGATAATGATGGTCTTCCAGTTTGATGGGATAGGTTACCGTGTTGCGGTGTTGCGCCATGACTTGACATGACATTAGCATACTGACCAAAGTTGGGAAAGAATGCGCATGACCTACCATCGCAAACCTTCACGTCGCCAGCACGCGCCTCGATCTGGTAAAAAGGACTCGACTTAAAAGCAAGTGTCACTGATGGCGACCCGTTGAAGCGCTGGCCATTAGACAGGCTACCGTGGGTAGTGGGAAATGACATGCTGGGGAGGCCAAACGGCGCCGAGGGGCCATGACCATGTGAGTGCGAGTTTGAGAAAGTCGATCGAGAAGGAGAAGAGCCGATAGGCGAATTCGAAATACTGTTGTGTATGCTCTGGCGGATTTGCTGAAGGCGCACAGGGTCGTTGGCGTCAACGGCGTCTTGGATGACTATATGCCGTGGCAAAATAGGCATGATTAGTTGTGGTCTTGAATAGTTTGGGATTGTGATTCAGAGCAGATGTGCGGGAGCGTGTAAGTAAATCGTAGGTTTGGTGGAGCGCTCAAGGCAACCGATTCAATGTGAATTGACTGAACTTACGACGATGTATGCGACCTATCAAGTCTGCCTTGATTCCAGTGCTCTTAACGCCGTTTACCTGGCACACAGACGAGAGCTGGCGATTTAACAGTCGATTAACCTGTCGTGCAAGCGCGGTCGCTTCGTGTCGTAGATTTCCACCACCTTGTGAAGAGGAAGCATGCGCGGTAGAGTGCGAGACCGAGCTTAATCCCGAGGAAGCCATGTCGAGGATATGACCTTCCGTTTATTGGTCGGTATTGGTATCGTTATCGGGAAGGAGCGGACGTGCGTGTGAAGTAGAGAGCGACTGCCGATTTCGAGCTTGGATAATGATTGCAGTGGTCGCGGTTGGCAACCGCATCCAAGGCAGATGCGCAGGCTGGTGCAGCCTGTATCGGAAAGAGGTACCGTGAGCGAACGCCCGATCAATTGTTGGCTATAAGGAAGAACAAGGGACAAACACTACGCCACATGTGAGTAACAAAGTTGGCGCATGCGTACAGCGAGTATGCTTAAGTCTCACCGGAGTACCCCAGGGCAAGAAAATGTTCTACTACTACGCGTGCTTCGAGTTTGCCGTCGTCGCTTTCTCACGCTACTTAGTATGTCATGTTTGCCTGAGTCCAGATCTTGTCTATAGAAGGAAGGCGGTGATAGTAGGCAGACGTAGGGGGTTTTATAATGCGATGTCTCAGAAGCTAATACAGCCACAGTGCGCCACAGCCTTCGGTGTGCCCCTCTGGCCAAATCTAGGCCGTCCCAACTTTTTTTCTTAGCAGCAAAGACCGATAACGACTTTTTCCCTACCATCTTTATTTAACCATATCGACAAAATGGCTAAGAGCGCCCGAGCAAGCACCAGAAAGGCCAACAACAGGCGCCTTGTCCAAAATGTTTTTGGACCTGCTGAGGCTGCTCGAAATGAGCGCCTTTCTGCCAAACTCCTTGAGCTGGCCAAGCAGCCCAAGCCTGAGTCTTCAGATGTGAACATGAACAGTGAGTGAGCTCGAGATTGAGAATAACCAGACAAGCCTTTGCTAACATTTCTTCAGCTCAAGATGAGGAGGTCGACGACGACTCCAACGAGAACGCTCAGGAAGACGAGACATGTAAGTTTGATTGAAATGTTTTTCTTTATCATCATTAACATGAGTGTTTAGCAATGGATGTGGACTCGGCGAAGAAGCCTTCAAGTGGACGAATTGAAAAGAAGCGACCTGATAAGCGCAAGCAAAAATCTTCCAAGATTGTCTTCAAGTCTTACGGCAGTCGATCAAAGGCAAAGGGCAAGAAGAAGAGCGCTTAAAATGGATTATTTCGTTTACCAGGTTCTGTTTTTCCTTCCACTGGATCGGCGTTTTAGCAGCAAAATCTTAAGTCAATCAATGTCAATGAATCTGTAATACCCGAAATTTCTACATATCAATCTCTCTCTCTCAGCCTTGTCTTGTGTGGCTCAACACTTGAACCTCAACCAATCATAGAATACCACCTTTGTAGTTCGTCTTGGCAAGGCTATTGCACTTTAACATGGATACCCGCGCTCTCATCTCATCTCGACACGTCCATCCCTTCTGCGGCTGACACATTTCGCTGTCCCAGATGGCGCATTCTTGAAAGTTTTTATTTCCTATACCAATTTCACTTCTGTGCCCATCCCAGTCACTCCTTTGTTCTATAATTGCCTTATATAATGGTGTCATCTCGCACTCTGCTGCTGGTCGCAGCCAATCTTCTAATCCCAGCCTCAATTGTCGTATTCGCCTTGGGATTCTTCCCTTATAAGCCATTTCTACCAGGTCTGGCTGAGTTTGAAACCCTCGACTTTGGGACCCCTCCTGATGCGCCATTCGATCGTTTAATATTTATGGTTGTTGATGCCCTGAGAAGGTTGAATGATAATCCCTGATAATCCATCCCACTTGACACTCAATTGACTCTTCAATTAGCGACTTCGTATATTCGGACACCTCGGGATTTAACTATGTGCAAAGGTAATGCAATGTAGCCGGATATCACTTTGTTGGCATGTCAACTTACTAGAATCCAGCCTCATCCGAGATGGCAGCGCAATGCCTTTCACAGCCAATGCGCGGTCACCCACAGTCACTATGCCAAGGATCAAGTCCATGACAACTGGGTCTATTCCTTCTTTTGTTGACCTCATCTTGAATTTCGATGAAGCCGATACTTCATCAACTCTCGCATCTCAGGACACCTGGCTAGCTCAGATCAAGGCCAAGCAAATGGGCAAGCTCCTGATGTACGGGGATGATACTTGGCTGAAGTTATTTCCAAACACCTTTGATCATGAAGATGGAACTTCCAGTTTCTTTGTAGCGGTATGCCTCCCGTATCCTGCTTGGGAGAATTGTTACTGACATTGGCAAAGGACTTTACTGAAGTGGACAACAATGTCACCAGAAACATTGCTCCTGAGCTGGAGAACAACGACTGGGGACTCATGGTCCTCCACTACCTTGGCCTGGATCATATCGGACATAAGGCCGGACCCAAAAGGTTTGTTCCTGCGGAGTGGCTCATGTTGCTTACGAACTAACGTGATAAAAGCTCGAATATGGTTCCAAAACAGCAAGAGATGGACGGCATCGTCCAGACTCTTTTTGAAGCTATGGAGACCAAGCCGCATTTGGATTCAACCCTGCTTGTTCTATGTGGTGATCACGGAATGAACGATGCTGGGAACCATGGTGCTTCTTCACCTGGCGAAACATCGCCCGCTCTGGTTTTCATGTCTCCTAAACTCAAGTCGATCTCCTCGAAGCTCCCTGCACCAGCTCAGCCAAAGGATGAATTTGACTACTACTCTATGGTTGAGCAATCTGACTTGGCACCGACTATCGCTGCTTTGCTAGGTTTCCCTGTATCAAAGAACAACCTCGGAGCTTTCATTCCTGACTTCCTCCCCTTCTGGCACAAGACTAGTGACCAGGTCCAGATCCTCGTCCGCAACGCTCGACAAATTCTCAACATTGTTACGGCTGCATTTGGTGGCGAGCTCTTCGATTCAAAGAGCAACGTTGACCCATGTTCTCTGGAGAAGACTGAAATCAACGAGCTGGCTTGCCAATGGCGGAAGATTGACAGAGAGGCTCACGTTCTTGCAACCGGCGACAGTTTAGACCAGAAATGGCTTGACGAAACGTCTCAGTGGCTTCGACGGGCTCAAGATTTGATGAGTAGCATGGCTTCCAACTACGATATGCCAAAGTTGTATATTGGTCAAGCGATTGCTGCCATTGCTGCAATCGCAAGCGCAACGGTAGTCGTTAGTCTTGGGGCTCACCGCGATGGCCAAATTCTCCCTTTTAGTCTCCTGACCTTAGCTTACGGCGCGATGATGTACGCCAGTAGTTATGTCGAGGAGGAACAGCATTTCTGGTATTGGTGCTCAAGCATCTGGCTTTTACTCCAGGGCGTGCTACATGTCCGAAGGTACGTACATTGGAAACAAAACGCTGATGATTCTTTTGCATTACTAACTAGATAATAGAAAGAACAGTCTGGAAGAGGCTGCTTGGGTCATCGTCGCCCTCGCGGCGTTAAGAATTACCAGAGGCTGGAATCAAACCGGACAGAAGTTCGCGGGAAACCCTGACATTGTCAAAAGCTTCATCGTCACGCACCCGCAATTTCTTTGGGGCATCATCACTTTCGGATACATGATCTTGTCGTTCCGACTGCTCGCTCGTCTCAAAAGTCTCCCCTCCTTGGCGAGCACGAGTATCACTTCAGTTCTGCTCATGTCGGCTTATAGCTTCAAGCTTGACTTCACTAGTGAAGATGCTCCTGAGCTTGTTGTTGGCTTCGCCAGGAGCTTGAACGATCTATTCGTAGGCCAGTCGTTGCTTTGGAGAGCCAGAACCGCTTTCATACTCCTTGGTATCCTGTTTGGATATGGCATCTACCGATCGTTCACCGGTGGCCGGAACGGACAGATGCAATCAGGTAAGAACCCCTATTTACTGTATGGGTGGTTGTACAATAACTAACCTCACGATAGCATACCTCTTCCACCATCTTTATACTATTTTTGGCATGACCCAATCTCGTGCTACCAACATCCCTCTCTTCCTCCTCTCTGACATTCTCTTCCATGCACTCCAAGCCACGGACCTCTCTGTGACTGGAATCACCATAACAGCTATTCTCCTTCAGTACACCACTTTCTTTGCCTTTGGCGGCTCAAACGCCATCTCCTCAGTCGATCTTTCAAGTGCCTATAATGGCATCAGTGGCTTTAACTTCTTTGCTGTTGGCTTCCTCACTCTCGTCAGCAACTGGGCCGGGCCTATCTTTTGGACCTCGGCTGCTAATTTACTCTTACTTCGCAAGTATCACGAGGGCCAGCGCAATGCGTTCTTGCAGTATATTACCCTACAAACTGTGTTTGTCTCGGCATCAGTTGCATTGGTTATGGCAGCTTGCACTTCGCTAAGAACGCATCTTTTTATCTGGACTGTTTTCTCGCCCAAGTACCTTTACTGCATGGCCTGGAGTTTAGGTCAACACTTGCTGATCAATATCGGTTTTGGCGGTTTGCTCTTCTGGCTAGGGTCACGCAACTAAAGCATAATGATGTCTCCGTACACAAATATTCGAGATGGTTGTAAACAAGTGCTCATTAGTCCCAAGCTTCAAACGGGACTACAATTACAAACAATAGTAAATCAGATATATATCCTGTAACCTAAAGTCCCAACCCCGTTCTAAACCGCCAGGTATCCGCCTCATCTCATGATAATTCGTCCAAATCCCAGTCGTTACTTCATCAAATGCTTGTTTGCTCAGACGTCTGTCATCTCTACATCATCGCCATCCGACAAGAGATCATCTACAAGTGATTCTCTGTCTTCTTTGGGGACCACTGTGTTATCGCTGTCTTCCTCCTCCTCCTTGATACTTGGTTCTTCTACAACAGACTTCTCCTCTTCGGGGGATTGTTGGTCTGCAAGCACCGACGTGCTCCTACTGGCACGCCGGTAGGTTGGTTGTGATTGTTCATCAAGTGCATTGACAATTTTGCCCAGGCTGACATGAATCTTGTAAAGCTGGTTGCGGCTAGGGGCATCGGACAGCAGGCCTTCCTCGACAGCAATGCTGACCTCTTGGTAAGCCTCGCGAAGCTTCTCCTCGCTTGAGCCAGGTGAAACGTGAAGCTTTCCAAGAAGTCCAGCGATAAGCTTCTTTTCCTCTCCTATCAAAAATCAGTATACAGTATACAGTTTGCTTGTTTGAATGTGTGACTCACGTGTGATGTTGCCTTGCAGCTTCTCCAGGATATCCATAGCAAAGTCCAGATGAACATCGCCATTAACCACCTTCTTTTCGGTGTCCAATAGGTTTGTAGGGCTGTAGCACTTCCGAGGATCGGTCCAGTCTACCAAGCAAGCTCCAATAGCAGTCATACTAACCATATCTTCGTCGACATCGACATCGTCATCCTCTAAACTTTCACGGATATTGAACAGAGCGTGGATTGCGTCAAGAGCAATGGATCGCAGGAGATCCTGGTTCTCTGCTCTAGAGAAACAAAAGACGGGGAGAAAGTAGTTGAGAGCTTGTCGAACTGTCTGGTTGTGCGAGGAGGAAGGGTCAAAGTAGACAATCACAAGTGACTTGAGCAAGTCTTGACATGCTTCTTCCTCACTTACAATGCGACCGAGCAAAAGCTTTGAAGCAGCAACAGTCGCGGCTGCTTGAACCTCAGGTGCTTTAGAACCGCCCTTGACCGCCTTGACGTAAACCTTGAGTAGTCCAGGAGTAGATGATAGGAGCTGGGCACCATGCACATTGAGGATATCAGTAAGAATATGCAGAGCTGTGATCTGAAGCGCTGTGTGGCCCTTGCTGAAGAAATGCATGAATAAGCTCAGGTTCTCATCGGCAAGAGAACGGTCGAGGAGGGCACAGAGACCAAGACAAACCAGACCGCGCTCGCGCACGGGTGCTTCGTGGCTGCGAACTGCTGGTACAACGAGGTTATTAAGCATTGCGACTAAGTCAGTGTTGTCTTGGAGATTGCTGGAGACATGAGTAAGCATGCACTGCACGATATGCAGGCATTTCATGTTAACAACGATCTCCCTAACAGCCTTTTCTCGCGCTTCTTCCTCACTCAGCTCAGGGCTGCCGCCTCGCTTGCTTCCCTTAGTCGGCGTGCTAGGGCCGCTGACCTCTGATCTGGCCGAGTGGAAGCTGTCTTCAGCATCGTCTGGCGGGGGGTCATCGACAATAGTGTCATGAACGTCAGCTACAGACTCAAGAACGATGCTAATGAACTCTCGCTCGCCCGCAGCATCTGGAGAACAAATACCCTGAAGCGCTTCGACTGCGAGCTTTGTAACTTCATCGGGCAGATCGGGGATCGAGATGGTTTGTCGAAGTAAGGTAAACATCTTGCGTCGTCCAACCTCGTCAGAGTAGTCGAGGGTCAGTGCGATCTGTAGCAATTGCTCAACGATAAACTCTTGCTCCACTGTATCTTCTTCCTCATCATCCTCGTCTGCTTCTGCTACTCTCTTAACGGCAGTAACCAGAACGTGAAGATACCGTTCCAGGAAGAACGCGAGCTTAGTCACCTCGGGCAACTTTTCCTCGAGCAGGTTCAGATACTTGCCATCGCCCTCGACACGACAGAATTCGTTGAAGCTCCTTGCCATGAAGACCGATTCGGCAGATAGGGTTTCCCAAAAGTTATCGTCAAACTCAACCGTTTCACGGTAATCCGGGCGTCCCTCCCAGAAACCCTTCATTGCTTCCAGAGCAACGCCGTTCTCCACACCAGTGTTGACCACATCAATTCGTTCCAACAACTCACAGAGCCCATCGAAGTTGGGAGGTGCTGGTTCCGCAGCCGCGCCATCTTCTTGGGGCGGTGCACCAGCACAGTCCTCAATCCATCGCTCTCGGAATAGGCGGCTTGCGGCCTTTCTAACATTCTCATCTCTGTCGCGAATACCCCATCGCAGAAGCTTCTCTCGCATCTTAACGGACAAGTGACGGAAATCGCCTAGAGCAGGGAGCAGCCGTGAATAAACAGCCCTTCGAGTCGCTGCATCTTGGTCTCGTGCGCGCTCGAGCAGCACTGACAAAGTTTCTGGTAAGATAGGGAGGTTGACGAGAAGAGATCTTCGCACATCAGCATTCGGGTCGTGTTGAAGGACTTCCAGAAGCTTCGCGAGTAATCCGCTGTTATCATCATCGCTGTCATCTGAGTTGGTGCATCCCTCTGTCTGGTTTCCTGCAAGGCGGCCAAGACCCAGCACCGCCTGAGAGCGGACCATGGCCTCCTTGTCGCGAATCCTCTTAAGTAGTCCATGACGAAGTTTCTGGAATAGCTCGTCGTCTATCGCGTCGAGTGAGTTGATAATGTGCGAGATGAGCTGGGTTGATCTGAAGCGGACCACCTTGTCTTTGGCGGTCAGCATAGGGAGGATTGCCTCGAGCAGTTGTGCAGTCAGGCGAGTGCTTGGGGTCTCCGGCATGACACTCGCATCTTGGTCGATCTCTCCCAATAGCTCGTTGTCCTTTGCACTCGCATGTTGCAAGAACAAACCGGTAAATCGAATTGACTTTTCTCCAACGCTCTCCGATTTCTTGACTGGCATTATCTTACTAACGCAGCGTATAAACTCGCGATTGAATGCTTCTTCGTCAAATTCGTCGACTTGGGATTGGTCGGGATTCGTTGGTTCGTAAGCGCACGACTCTTGAATCTTTCGTAAATTCACAACGAGCTTTCGGTGTGTTGCTGTTGTTCTCTGTGCATCACGAAAGATAGCACAGACTTTGGTCCGTAACGCATTATCAGGGGTGTCTACTACTTCGGAGGCTGACGAGGCGCGGGAGGACCTCGTGGCCGAAGGTTTTGTTGAACGGGCGGTAGTTCGTGCAGGCATTTTGGTGTTGATGTTCTAGTCCATTGAATCGGAAAGGAAGCAGTGTTGATGGCTAAGGAGCCTAGGTTCGCATTGTTTGTTTACAAAATATTCCCTTTACAGCCTAGTGCTTGTTAGGGACTGAGGGGCTGATGTGGCGCTTGGTGGGAGAAACAGTAGACCCACTTCCTGAAAGAAAATCAGAGATCAGAGAGGCTTTAGGCTGGGTAGTAGGTACCTAGGTACTAAGACTTCGTACTGTAAGTTTTGTGTTCGTGCGATCTGGAAAGTTCTCAAACAAGACATACTAAAACAAATATTTTGATGCAGCTGGAAATTAGGACTGGTGCAAATTGATTCGATATACCTTGCTTCGAGTTCTATCATGTTTTGGAATAAATTGTGTAAGTCATAAAGGCAGCAGCCATGCTGGGTTAGCAGATTACCCGGCAGGAGCTAATCGATAAGCGCTCTTCCTTATCTAATTTTTTTTTTCTTTGGTCGCAAAGTACAGTAGCCGTTTAACATTGAGCATCTCAGTTTCTTTGCACATTTACTTGCACGACAAAATGGGTGCATCAAATAACGACCGGAAGCGTCCTCACACCGAAGCTGAGGATATCGACCCTGCTTCCTTCGAAGACCGCGACAATGGCGCAGTAAAATCTACAAAGAGAGCTCGAGTCGAGGAACGTCGATCGCTCTTTGTTCGCTCGCTCCCCCCCGGTGCCACGAGCGAAAGCCTTACCGATTTCTTCTCTGAGCATTACCCTGTCAAACATGCCACTGTGGTTGTTGACCAGAAGACTAAGGAATCAAGAGGTTATGGTTTCGTAACTTTCGCCGATGCTGAAGATGCGGTGGAGGCAAAGAAGGCTTTGAACAACCAAGAGTGGAATGGTCGTCGCATCCGTCTCGATGTTGCCGAGCCAAGACAGAGGAACAACACGACCGGCGAGTTGCCTGCTCACAAGATTCGCAAGGAGGAGATTCAAAGGCCAAACAAGTTGATTGTGCGCAACCTGCCTTGGAGTATCAAGAAATCAGAGCAGTTGGAGCACCTATTCCGAAGCTTCGGAAAGGTCAAATTTGCCGATCTGCCTCAAAACAAGGGCAAGCTCAAGGGATTCGGATTCGTCACTCTCAGAGGAAGGCCAAACGCAGAACGCGCACTGGAGGCCATCAATGGCAAGGAGATTGACGGCAGAACACTGGCAGTTGACTGGGCTGTCGACAAGGACACCTGGGAGAAACAACAGCCAGAGGAGGAGAGCAAGAAGCAGAAAAAGGGAAGCAAGAAGCAAGAAGATGTGGAGGAGGAGGAGGACGATGATCCGACATCATCAGAAGGGAGTGACGATGAGGATGATGAGCAAGAGGGCGGTGCTGAGGTCAACCGAGATGACCAACTGGACGCCGATCTGAAAAACTTTTTCAAGAACCACATGGAGAATCTTGAAGATGAGGAAGATGAGGAAGATGAAGACGAGGACGAAGACGATGACGAGGAGCTTGAAAAGGAGGTTGAGGCTCTAGCGCCCAAGAAGACCACGACAGACAACACTTCAACTGTTTTTGTGCGCAACCTACCATTCACGACCACAGATGAACAGCTCAAGGACTTTTTTGGCCATTTCGGCAAGGTTCGATATGCCAGAGTGGTCATGGACAAAGTCACTGAGAAGCCAGCTGGCACCGGCTTTGTCTGCTTTTTCGACGTCGACGATGCCAAAAGCTGCATCAAAGGCGCCCCGCGCCCTCAAGCACCTGCTACCGCCGCCAACAAGAACTCCATCCTTCAAGACGAGAGTGCTGATCCTGATGGAAAGTACACTCTTGACGGCCGACTTCTTTCGGTTGCGCAAGCAGTCAACAAGCAGGAAGCCACCAATCTCGCAGATAGCTCCCTCGCCAAGCGCAACGAAAAGGATAAGCGTAAGCTTTTCCTACTGAACGAGGGTGCTATTGACAAAAGTTCGCCCCTCTTCAATCTTCTTACAGAACCAGAGATTCGAATGCGACAGGCCAGTTCTGCTCAACGTAAGAAGCTCGTCCAAGGCAACCCTAGTCTACACTTGAGTTTGACCCGACTGGCTCTCCGCAACATCCCTCGCAACATGGACTCGAAGGATCTCAAGGAGCTAGCGCGAAAGGCTGTCGTTGAATTCGCCAAGGATGTCAGGGCCGGACGCCGACAACCACTCTCAAAGGAAGAGAACGCTCGAGACGGAAAGGACGCTAAGGAAAAAGAGCATGAGCGTAAGGCTAAGGGTAAAGGTATCATTCGGCAAGCAAAGATCGTTTTCGAGAGCGGACAAGGAACAAAGATGCAGGAAAAGGATGGCGGCAAGAGTCGCGGCTACGGTTTTATCGAATACACTTCTCATCATTGGGCGTTGATGGGACTTCGGTATCTCAACGGTCTCCAGCTTCAGAACGAGATCGGCAAGAAGCAGCGATTAGTCGTTGAATTTGCCATTGAGAACGCCCAGGTTGTTCAGCGACGACGTGCCAACGAGGAGAGGTCTCGGCAACTGAACCCAGAGCATAACAAGGCTGCTAAGTCTGAGGCTCAGTCGAAGACCAATGCCCAATACACAAAGGACAACAAGAAACGGGGACACAAGGACAACAAGGACAACAAGGGCGGAAAGGACCGAAGGCCTGGAAAGCCTGGAAGGGATGCGGGTGGCAAGCAGCCAGAAGAAGAGGGTGGTCGAAAGCCTGAGACAGACGCTGAGATGAAGCACAGGTTGATCGCCCGGACAAGAGTTATGCGCAAGAAGAAGGCTTTGAGCCGAGGAAAGAAATAAGTGCTAGCATTTTGATACCTATCTAAAAGTGTTTACCGTAAACATTCCACTATTCGGGATGTGTCACCAAAGATATCGCGGGCTGTTTCTGTTCACGGGAAATTCTTTTTGTTTGAGACTTGGCTAAGCGTTACCTGTTTCGTACTTAATATTACATGCTACAAAATATACATCATTGAGGGGAAACCGAGTATTTGAATGAACTATTCGCGTCATATCTTAACCTTTTTTTTTTTTTTTTTT